TGTTTAAGGATAAATCATTCCAAAATAAAAATACCAGTTCAGTAGGTTATACATTTAGTCCATTATGTACAATATAACAAAACTTGTATCTACTATCTCTTTGCCTTGTTGCTATGGAAATGTTTTGTTTTACTTTTCACCGATTTTATCAAAGAGGCTAAATTATCCTCATTTGTAGTTTGTTTATTTATTAATTTTGGTTTCTTCACTTGCTCCTCCTCCCTGTCGGACACGGTCATTTTATGTTTATCTCTTTTCCCACTTCTTTTAATTTTCTCTGTAATGAGTGCCTCTGTCCCTTGAGTTTTGCGATATTCTGGTGCAGAAGGGTCTATGTTGAAATAATGGGAATCATACATGGCAGAAAATCGTGGATCAGCTACATTCACCTGAAAAGAAATATAAGTGCAGGTTTTAGGTTGTTAAATTCTTAAGAAGAACTAATATAAATTTGCTTCAATTACAGTAACAAAAAAGTTTCTGAATTTCAAAAAAGACAATTGAGGTGCCTATACTTCTTCGTTATGTATAATCTTTAATGTCTGGTTTCTATTTAACAACAAAAACTGTTTCCTCATTCAGTACAATTTAATAATACCTAAGTACATTTCTACCAATTTTGGTCAGAATTTGTTTAGTATCAGGGGGAGAAATTCTCTAAATAAATAAATACCATAAGTCAGCTTTAATTTGGCAAGATTTTGGGGGCATTAATTACAACAAATTCTTGCCAAAGTGTCAATACATTAGTTAAACCATGTCTGTTTATAATGAAAACTGATATAATAGTTAAGAAGAGTTACATGTACTTTACCTGAAAGTCATCCTCTTCTGGCTTGGATTTTTTAGCCTTCAATTTCTTCTTTTTCTTTTTACCATCTTCTTGCATGAGATCTTGAATATTAAAATGCTTCTTGTTATCTCTTTCATCCATCATCAATAATGATAACTCTGCCTGTTAAACATAGAATTATCATAGAATAAGATTTTGATCAATAAAATAACTATTATCCCTTTCCCTCATTAGCATAATGTGAAAAATGTCCGTTTTCATTAAAAAGCCTCCTGTTACAAGTTCAAACTGCTTTGAGATTATGAAAAATGCTTAAATACTAATCAAACTTGGCACAAATGTTGACTGGACCATCGTCTTTGTAACGACATCCCCAGTCTTGAATTGCCTGTTACCATGGCCACAGGGAATTTTTACATGAAACACAAGGTTGTTCTATCTCAAAAGATTGAGGTATGGATCTGGACTGTCAGTGCAAAATTTTGATCAATGCTATTTCTGCACATTCCAGTAGCAATAAATTCATTAAAGAAATATAATGAAATAACTCCTGTCACCGTGTGTGTCAACAGAAATACATTTGCATACTTGTTATCATTATTTCAAAGCCACAAAATGTGACAAATACAAAATCAATACAGAAATTGGTCTGTTACAGTGTATATTTCGTGCCCAGTCATCAATCAAAGTATGAGGGCATTTCACCAATGACCACCAATTTTATTTGCATGGGCTTGGCATTATACACTGTAACAGCCTATTTTAGGCTTTGACCTCTATGTATGACCTTGACCTTTGAGGTAGGCAACCCGGTGTTGCGCATGACATGTCATCTTGATATTGTTTACATGTATGATAAGTTATTTTTAAATCCCTTGATTGATGAAAAAGTTATATACCGTGCACAAAATATACACTAGAACAGACCATGCTAAGCTTTGGCACTCAAGTATGACCTTGACATTTAAAGTAGGAGTCTGGCTGTTGCAAATAACACATGCTCCAAATATGGTAAACATTTATCCAAGTTATTTCAAAATCCCTTGAAAAATAAAACAAGAGGGCCATGATGGCCCTGAAGTCGCTCACCTGTATATAGGCCCCTGAAGAGGGGCCAGTTTAAACCCCAGGGCTTTTATTTGAACAAACTTGGTAGACACCCATTAGAAGATGTTTCATGCTAAACATCTAAGGTCTAGCTGGTCAAGTTATTTCTTTACACATTTAGTTAAAAACAGTGACACACCATGGGCCGGGCCAATTTTGACCCCAGGACTTTTATTTGAACAATCTTTGTAGACACTTACTAGAAAATGTTTCCTGCTTAATATCTAAACTCTAGCTTTTCCGTTTTTTTCAAAGAATTTTTAAGTTTTTGCTATACACATATAAGGAAAATCAATTTACCCCAGGGCGGGCCCAATTTTGACCCCAGGGCTTTTATTTTAACAAACTTTGTAGACACTCACTAGAAGATACTTCGTACTTAATATCTAAACTCTAGCTATTTGAGTTTCTTCAAAGAAGATTTTTAAAGTTTTTGTTATACACAAATAAGGAAAATGAATGTCCCCCGGGGCGGGGCCAATTTTGACCCCAGGGCTTTTTTTAACAAACTTGGTAAAGACTCACTAGAAGATATTTCATACTTAGTATCTAAACTCTAGCTATTTGTTGTTTTTTTTTTCAAAGAGAATTTTTTAAGTTTTTGCTATACACATATAAGAGAAATAAATGACCCCCGGGGCGTGGCCAATTTTGACCCCAGGGCTTTTATTTGAACAAACTTGGTAGACACCCATCAGAAAATGTTTCATGCTAAATATCTGAGCTCTAGCTCTATGGGTTCTTGAAAAGAAGATTTTTTAAGTTTTTACTATATGCATATAGGGAAAATCAATGACCCCCTGGGGCGGGGCCAAATTTTGACCCCAGGGCTTTTATTTGAACAAACTTGGTAGACACCCATTAGAAGATGTTTCATGCTAAATATCTTAGCTCTAGCTCTTTGGGTTCTTTAAAAGAAGATTTTATAAGTTTTTACTATATGCATATAGGGAAAATCAGTGACCCCCTGGGGCGGGGCAAATTTTGACCCCAGGGCTTTTATTTGAACAAACTTGATAGACACTCACTAGAAAATGATTCATGCCAAATATCTAAGCTCAACCTCTTTGGGTTTTTTAAAAGAAGATGTTTTAAGTTTTTTCTATCGGTTGCCATGGCAACCAGACTTCTGCATGGAATTAAATTTTTTGAACAATTTTTAAAGGTGACCACCAAAAGAACATTCCTGTGAAGTTTGGATGAAATTGGCTTAGCGGTTTATGAGGAGATGCCACTTAAAGAAAAAGTTCACGGATGACGGACGGACGGACGCCGGACAAAAAGCGATCACAAAAGCTCACCCTGTCACTTTGTGACAGGTGAGCTAAAAATTATGGACTGCAAACTAAAAATACCATATAAAAGATCATATAAATCTTTGACCTCTAAGTGGGCCTTGACCTTGGAGAAATGGGTCGGGTTGTTGTGCTTGACACATCCTCTTATTATTGTCAAAATTTATGCCAAGTATTTTTAAAATCCCTTCATGTATGAGAAAGTTGTGCACTGGAAACAAAATATACCCTATAAAAGACTAAGTTAATCTTTGACCTCCAACGGTGACATTGACCTTACATGTAAGCGACTAGTTTTAGCCAAGACACATCATCTTATTATTTTGAACATTTGTACCAAATAATTTCTACATCTCTTAATCTATAAAGAAGTTATGGACCGGACACAAAATATTCCCTGTAACAGAATAGTTAATCTTTGACCTTCAACTGTGATCTTGACTTTGGTGGTAGGTGATTGTTTTGGCGCATGACACATTGTCTCATTATTGTAAACATTTGTGCCTAGTACTTTCAAAATCCCTTCATGGATAAGAAAGTTATTGACCGGACACGATATATACTCTTAAATAGACAATGTTGACCTTAAATCCCCAAGAGTGACCTTGACATTGGAGGTATTACAAACATTTGTGCCAAGTTATTTCAAATTCCTTTGTTAACTGACATACAAATGGGCCTGACACGAAAATGTGACGGACAGACGGACAGAATGATGTTCTTTCTGAGTTGGCATAATAGGGTTTTTTTCTTCTTGATCTCTTAAACCCAATAAGTAATGAATTTATACCAAATAAGCAACCTTCTTCCCAACAAGTACAAGTCTGTACGGATTGAACATTGATATTCACTCCATTATGTCACTTGAGTTTCTACCGACGGACAGATGTGCACAGAACTAAGATAAAGGGCCATTTCTATTGTTATTTTCTTTTGATTAATTGAGAGCCATTGGCCCCTTCCTCTTTTGTGTCAGAATAACTCTATTTGTTCTCTTTTGTTCTGTTTACAGTTAGAAAGTCCCTATCCCTATCAGTAGTGTGGGCAGACAGACAAAGCCTATTTCTTTATCCCCCTTTTTTCATCGAAAAGACAGGGGATAAAAATATGCAAAGGATAAGTATTACAGACTTGGTTGTATATTAGGTAATATAGGAAATTTAACATTACAATGCAATAATAATACTTGAAGCAAGGAGTATCAATTTGTTCATCATTTAAGACATTTTAATTCTGATTTGGAAACGAAATATATAATGTCGTCTTTTTTAATTTTCTAAAAACTAAAACTTTCTTCAAAACTAAAATATACATATGGTAGTACCTATTCGCAAGGTTATTCATACTAATAAAGCCTTTCAAGTTTAAGCACACAAAAATATAATTTTTAAAAGCATACTTTTCTTTTTTTTTTTTTTTTTTTTTTTTTTTGAAGATGTTTCTTCTACCATAAATGAAGCCATATCTGCATCAACTGGTACATCATCGTCACTGAATGCTTGTTCCCCTAAACCTACTGATTCCTGTAAAAATAAGTTCAATTTTTCAAGCTTTTTAATGTGAAAACAAACCCACTTCAAATTTAAGATATTAAAATCTTTTAACAAAGAATCAAAGTGGTTCTTCATTCGCATTTTATAAACATTATAATTAAGTTTCTACCAAGCAACAGCAAAAATACAAAAAGGGGCATAACAATGTTAAAATGATATGCAATTGAAATACACTGAGTTGCCTCCCATACTATCCCAAAATTGTTGAAACCAAAAGAGGAAGTTTAAAAAATTCCAAGTGGATTTCCATTTGTAATAAAAAAAAATCATATGACATTTATTTATATATCTCTCGTCATTATAGCAGCAAATAATATTTTCATAGATTATCCTGATTCTACTTACAACTAGCAGGTAACAAAATTTATATTAAAAGTGTTAACATTTTATAATTTTGCTCAATATGAATTTATGCTTTAAAGTGTTTTGGTCTATAATGACAGTTCTGTTTCTATTAATCAATAATTTTGCTGATAAATTTTAATATCAGACATAAAAACAAAGCAATGAAGAATTTATACATGAATGTTGTTGGCAAGTATGAGACAGATAATCCCATTTTACATAAATGTAAAAACAAAATTGTGGTAACCATAAGAGGCAGTCTAAAATCTCCAAGGGGATTTCCATTTGTAATATAATAGTATCATATGACATTTATTTATATATCTTTCGTCAGTACAGCAACAAATAATATTTTTATGGATTATTCTGATTCTACTAACAACAAGCACGTAACGAGATTTATATTAAAAGTATAATTTTTTTATAATTTTGCTCAAAATTAATTTCTGCTTTAAAAGTTAATTGGTCTATTATGGAAGTTTTATAATACAATGAATAATTTTGTTGATAGTATTAAGAATTAGATGTAAAAACAACCATGAAAGAATTATACATGAATGTTGTTGGCAAGTGTGAGATCCAATTTTACATACATGTATATATTAATGTAGCAGATAATAAATTGTTCAAGAATAGAATATTATTACCGGTATTCATAATACTTAAATGTTCATACTGAATCATTTAGAAATTTACCAATCATCTTTTTCCAGCAATATTTTATAATAATATTCAAAAGATTCATTTCTATTGTTTTTATCTATATTTGAAATACATGTACTAAGAAAAAAATATGCTGATTGTAGACCTACCCACTTTAAAATGTTTCAAAATAAATGCAACAGCCATTATTCATGACCTGTTTTTTATCAAATCTAAATTTACTCCAATGCATATCTACATTTGGTACATTAATGATGTTGATATCATCATTCTTGTTTGTATTTTGACAAGAATAATTCAAGTTGCACATAAAAGCACTATAAAAATCAAACATCGGTAATTTGTACATGTCACAAACTTAGACTATATAGTTGTATTATTAATTTCCAATCTCAGTTTATTTCTTGTATTACCTATTTCAGCATGTATCACATAAACGATTACTCCCATAACATATCTTTGAGACTGTCAGAAGTCTTAGGTGACATTGGTGTTAATGAGACAATGGTGATGAAAAGAAGAAAGATACACATGTTGATGGAGACAATGAATACCATCACTATAAGGTTAAATGATAGAAACGAAACAATATTTTACCCAGGAAGTCAGAGTGAAGGTTCAACAACACTAGGACTTCACTCTGATATTGATATTTTACAATGTTTTAATAATTTCAATGTGATACAAGACTGGGCTGACTGGAAAAAAGGGAAGACAAATCTACTGATGATACAGGATAACAATACAACACCCGGTTACTGTTCTCTACAACAGTTAGGAACTAATGTACCTCTACCAGTAACTGATGTTAGAGATAAATATCATATTAGAGATATAAATGGAAGAGTACTTTTAAAAAATGATATACAGGAGAGCATAATCCCTGAGGGAGGACAAATACATGGGCCATCAATTGCAACACAAGTGAAAGATGGATTTGCTGCAACTGACAGTGCTCTAGCCCTTCTCTGTGTATCATGGCCCCGTTCAGCTTTAGATTGGTTACATTACCAGGAATCAGATGTATGGCCAACACAAGAAATAAAGCAATATGCTATTAGCAGTAGTTGTTATGTCGTTCCTGTTGGCAGCAAAGTTAGTATTGACTCACAGATAGAATGGAGAATTTCTACAACACTAGCAGAAAGATGCTTGATGTTTAATTTGAACATTACACAGTTGAGGTGCTATGTTTTAATGAAAATGATTGTGAAGTCATATCTCAATTTGAATGGTGAAAACAATTTGTCTAGTTTTATGTGTAAATCGGTTGTTTTGTATTGTGTAAAGAATATTGAATCAAAAATGTGGAAAAAATGTTATTTAATGCAGTGTTTAACAATCTGTTTATTACAATTATATAACTGTTTACAGAGGGAAGAATGTCCACACTTTATAATAAAAGAAAATAACTTAATGGCAGGACAATTCACAGCTGATGAAAAATACAACCTTTTACAAACAATAAATCTTTTAGTACAAAAAGGTGGTCTTGGATTACTTGGTATTAAAATTGATGATGTCGGTCAAAGACTGAAAATAAAATTGAACATAATTCCTCAAGCCATTCATTACCCACCATCTAAACTTGAAATCAGTAAAGATGTGTCAACTCATTTATATCTTAACTTTTCAAAAAACAATAATGAATTTCAAAAACATATCTTGTATGACACAGAATCTCTATCAATCTGTATTCAAAGATTAATGAAGTACAGTAAAGAAGGAAATAAACTAGAACAGTCAGCATGCAGATTTCTGGCACCTAAATTGTTCACTACTTTGGGATCTATCTTGGCATCATCAAGTATTGGTCAATCTGGATCCATATCACATCAGGCTTTAACCTGGTACTCAACAGGCTTGAAATCAAGTGATGTGTCAGACAGATTAAAACTGGCTTCTATGTTTTATTGTACTGGAGATTTTGGAAGATCTGAAATTACTTTGAGAAATATAGCGCAACAATTCAATAATGATGTTACAGTTCCTCTTTGTAGCTGCTATGAAAATCATCTTCGAAAGCCAAATCCAGATTTTTTTGAAATATGCAATGACCAAAATGAATCTTCTCTTCAACAGTATATAGCATATTGTGTACAATTCCTGCAAAGTGAAATAAACTGTGTTCCTCCTGAACTACGATATGAAATGTTCAGATCTACACAAGATGATATGCGACATCATAGAAACGAACATTTGGACTACTGGATGTATTGGGCGGTTGTGGATTCTCTCCCTTTTCTTCATTTTTTACAATACCAAATTTACAGCCGGCTACAGAAACATCAGGATCAACAACAAGCACTGAATGATCTCATATGGATCATTGATACAAACGAAAATCTCAGACACAAAGAAACAGACCTCAATCTTCTTGGACAACTAATGGAACAAGCAAATAGACTTCAAGATGCACTTAAATGCTATATGATGTCTCTGCAGATAAGATCAAGAAACAATGCCGCACGGTTTCATGTCTGCAGGCTACTTGCTACCCTTGCTTCCAGAAGATTCACATGAACTTTAATGAAATGGAATGTGACTTGTTTTTGCCAATGCAAATATACCCATGAGTAATAAATGGAAATGTAGTATAGTGTGCTTATGCCAACATTCACATGAATTATAATGAAATTGAATGGTCAGAAAGGCTTTAAAAATTATCTCTCATCTGATAAAAAAGAGTGGATAGAGTGGATAGAGTACAAGCACATTAAACTAGTATAATATATATTTTGTACAATGATAGACACCAAGAATGTTCAATCATGCTTGTATGCTCCTTTTTAAAAACCAGTGAAGTTGGAACAAAAATGCCTGTGAAATAAATTTTAAGGTATACTCAGAATTTTAAATATACCAGTCACCACAATTAAACATTGCCTGTATAAAACATTTTCTTAATTTTTTTTCTAATTTAGTAGAAGATGTTTGATTTTTTATATCAAGTCAAATAATATTTTATATCTATTCATTTATACTTTATCTATTCATTTAGCTTTTTTTGCAATGGTCTAACCAAAACATTGTAGCTTTAAAACTGAAGTTTGATTGTTTATTTTGTACATGAGCATCACTTGATCTTCAAATTGTCCTAAACTTCTTATTTTTATATTTCTTGACCTGTATATTGTTTTCATTGATATTGCTTGTTTTGTACATGTAGATAGTCTGTTCAATTTGTGTTATCTAGAAAAGTTTAGATAAGTGTTTGGTATATAGATACTAATAGTTTACGTGTCTTTGAGGCTTTCTAATTTGCTGTTAAAGACATTTTAGGGACATATAATATGGCAATATAAAAGTATATCCTATTATGTAATAGTCTTTACAGAAGAACTTATGAAAAACTAGTATGTAGTGATTGATATTTTCATACACTTTTTTGTTAAAGTTATTTAATTGATGAAAGTTTTTCTATGAAGAAATTAAATACATGTATTACCAGTTGGAAGTTTGATCATTTTATATAAACTTGAACTTTTAAACAATAATGTTTTTCCTTACAACTAACATAGTTTAACTAATTACCAAGCAATATTAATGTCAAAAAGCTTTGTATTAATCTGTTTGTTTAATAATTTGATGCAGGAATAAAATTTGCAACAATTATTTATTATTTTTGTGAAAGTATTTATATTTTAATATCATTCCTCACCAGTTACAGACTATATCAAGAGTTTCTTGCCACAAATTGCACAAAACTTTTCTCAGTGAAAGCGCGTCAAGAGAGTGGATAAGAAGACAATATTGTTAGATGTTTGGTTTAAGGCGATCCCGATGTGGTGTTTAAAAACGCTTTTTTTAATAAAAATTTTTTAAATAAAAATTTTCCCAAAATTTAAAAAGAGACCCTGTATTTTTAACTCCCCCAATTCATGAAAAATAAAAAGTGTTTCTTTTTTTAAATGATGATGTTATTTTTTTTTTTGAAAAAAACCCAAAACCTTAAAAAGGAAATTTTGGCCAAAAAAAAGGGTTAAAAAAGGGGCCCAACCAAACCTCCAAAAAAATTTTCCCTTCCCCGGGAAAAAATCCCCCCTTTTCTAAAACAACTGTATTTAAAAAAATGATAATTTCTTTGTTATACCTTTTCTTTATTTTTAAAAATAACCCTACTGGAATAAAAAAATTTTAAAAGACAAACATTTTTCTTTAAAAAATGACCCAAAAAAAAACCCAAAAAACCAAAAGGGCCCAAGGTTAAAAAAAAAATTTTCAACCCCCAAAATCTGAGGTTTTTTCCCCCTGGCGTAACTGAAACAGAAGGTAAAATTGCCCCAATGAAGAAAAAAAATTTAGATTAGATAGGGGAAACTCTAAAATTGACTGAAACCCCTTTACAAATGGCTAAAAAAATTAAAAAAATTGGGTTTTGGGAAAAATTGCTTTTAAAGCTGTAAAAAGTAACAGGGGTTAAAAAATCCCTTTCCCCCTTGGGCCCCCCCAGTTTTTTCCCCTTTAAAAACCCCATCTGTTTTTTTTTAAATTTTCCCCGAAATTTTGGGTTTCAAAAAGGAAGCTTTTTTTATTTACCCAAAATTTTAAAACCCACCCAAAGCCCAGCCCCAAACTGTCCCCATCTCCCTAATGTTTTCAAATTTTTGCACGATAATCAGCACCTTTATTAAAACAAAGATATCAAAGAAAATCAAATTATCTCTGGACAAACCATATTTAGGCTTTTATCTTTAATACTATCTGAATCATTTAAGGCTTGTTTTACAATTATACTCATAAAGTTTTGTTTCTAAGTGTCTTTTAAAGTGACATTGCCTCTGGTAAAAAAATAAAACTTTATAAAAAATATGTGAGGGGTTGCCAATTGTTTTAACATTCAAATTTTGAACAATTCCTTTTTCATAGCAATTAAGTTTTGTAAAATAAAAGGCTTCTGTTTTTTTTTACAATGGTTTCATTTCAGTGATGAAATTGTTTGATTTTTTTTTTATAACCAATTATGATTAAACATGACATCAACTTTATTTTACCACCCTACAAAATATAACCAAATGCCACTTAAAAAGCATTCTGCAACATGTGATTTCCCAAAATAGAAATCATTTTGGTGTACTGTTACAAACCCCTTTTTAGTATTGTATAAACAATGTTTTAAAAACTAAAAAATTTCCCCAAATCAAAAAAGGGGAAACATCTGGTTTTGAAGCAAATAACCCCTTGAAAATCTTTTTCCCTCAACCCCTTTTTAGAAATTATTGGAAAAACCCTCTGAAAAATTTTAATTCCCACACGTTCCCACGTTTGTTTTTGGGTATTTTAAATTTTAAAAAATTAAAAAAACCATTTAAAAAATCAAACGGTTTTTTTCTGTAATTTATCTTTTTTTTCCAAATTGGGTTAAGAAAAAAAATTTAAAAGGGAGCTCCCGGGGTAAAAAAGCAAAAAAAAAAACCCAAAATGGGGAATTAGCTTGGAGGGGGAAAAATTTTAAAAGGGAATAGTTCAGGAAAAAAGCCCCAAAAAAAATCGAAATTTCCCCTTGCCTTTTTAAAGCCCCAAATTTTGAGTAAAAAACCGCTTTAAAAACCCTTTTTAAATTTTGGGGCCCTTTTTTCCCCAAATTAGAAAAAATTATTCAAAAAACCCCGGAGTAAAGGGGGAATGATCTTTTAATTTTCCCAAAAAAATTGATGGTCTAGCCCTAAAACAAAAAATAAAAAACACCCAAACCTAAAAAAAAAAAATTTCCCCGTCCTAAAAAAGCCCAAAAAAAACCCGGGGGGGAGTTCTTTTTTTTTCTAAAGGGGAAAAAAAATCCCAGTCTATTCTTTAATGAAAAGGAAAATTTTTAAAACCCTAGCCCTAAAAACCAAAATTATCCCCCAATTTTCCATTATAAAACCATTTTTTTTTTTCCCCTTTTTTTGGGGGCCAAAGTTAACCCCCTTTTTTGGTTTAAATTAACATTTGGTGGGCCCAAAATAAAGTATTACCTTTCCCCAAAAGGGGCCCAACACCATTCAAAACTTTAATTTTTAAAAATTTAGCGGGGGAAAAGCCCCAAATAACCCCTTTTAGTCTGAAAAATAAATTTTAAAAGGGAAAAATTTTTAAAACCCTTCCCGGAAAAAATTCTAGAAAAAATCCTGGATTAAAAAATTCAAAAATGCTCCCCTTTGTTGTCTAACCCAAGAGACTTTTTGTAAAGGGAAAAAAAAAAAAGTAAACATTTTAAAAATTTTCCCGTTCAAATTGCCCTTTTTAAAAAAACCATAAAAAGAAATCCCACCCTAAAGGGAAAATTTACCAAACAAAAATATTTTATTACAATTTTAAAAAAAAACCAAAAAACCATCAAAAACCCCTCTTTTTAAATTCCCCAACCCCAAGAAAAAATTTCCTTTTTTTCTGTCAAAGCCCAAAAATTTTAATTTAAAAAGGGTTGAAACCCAAATTTTTCCAGAAAATCCCGGGTTTCCCCTTTTTAAAAATTTTTACCAAGACATCTTTATAAAAAACAAAACATGTTAAGTTTTAAAAAATGTTTTTTGAAGAAGAATTAACCACTGATTACTTACCCCTTTTGTACAAATTTGTATGTAAAAATACAATTTTTTGTGATGATAATTGGTTTTCCCAATTTATGTAAGGTTGGGTTTTCCAAAAACCCAAAAAAATTTCTAAAAATTATCCTGACACAGTAAAACTGACCCGAGATACATACCTTAAAACGGAAAAGGGGCATTGGGAAAAAACTGGGGTTTATAATTGGAAAGGAAAACTCCCAAAAAAAGCACCCCACATTTAAAATTTTTTTCAAATGTTTTTTTCATGTGGTATAAAAACTTAAAGCATTAAAATATTAAGAAAAACTCCCCTTTTTATTCAGCACCTTTTAATTGCCAACCCCGTTAAAGCCCTTTTCCCCTGTCTAACAGATCTTTAAAAAGGGGGGGAGGAAAATATAAAAACAAAAAACCCAAAAAAAAAATACCCGGTCCCGGAAAATTTTGGGGTAAAAAGCAAAATTTTCATTAAAAAAATTTTTTAAACCCCATTCCCAACAAATTTATCCCTTTTTAAAAAAATTTCCCCTGACCCAAAAAAAAAAACCCCAAAAACCCCAAAATTTTTAAAAAAAATCCCTTTTGGGATTTGGGGTTTTTAAAGTTTTCCCTTGAGGCCAGGTGTGTTAAAAATGAAAAAAAATGTTTTATGGGAAAAGTTTAAAACTTTCCCCAGGTGGGGTTTAAATAGCAAAATTGTTTTTAACCCCCCACAAATTCCCTTTAAATGTATGATAGCATTTTTTTATAGGAAAAAAAACCCCTATGACAGCGTTTAAAAATAATTTAACCCAAAAAAAACTGGTTTCTACCTAGGGTTTTCCCCGTATATTGTAAAATTTAGGGGAATAAAATTTTTTACAAAAAAATTTAGACTTGTTTTAAAATTTTAAAAAACCCCAAACCCGGGGTTTGGGAAAAGGGTTTTCAGCTTTTTTTGCCTTTTTATTTTTTTTTTTCCTGCTGGAAAAATATTTCCTTTTATTTTCTTGGATTAACTTGTAAAAAATCTTTCTTTGAAACTTTCCCTTTTCCTTTCCCGTTATTAAGGCCCCAAAAAAGGTTTCCTTTAAAAAATAAAAAAAGTCTCCCTTTTTTCCTAATTTTGGGGGGTCGACCCCAATTTGTGAAATGGGAAGTAAAGGCCCAACCCCCTTAGAGCCCAAAACCCCAGAAAAAAATCGAGAAAAATTCAAAAAAAAAAATTTTCCCCCGGAAAAAGTCCCGGGAAAAAGTAACCTATGGTTTAAAAATTGGGGGTTTAAAAAAATTTGGGGGGTGTAACCCTTTTTTTTGACCCCATTTTACGTTTTTTTAAAATCAAACCCTTTAAAAAGTCCTCCCCAAACCCAACCCCTTTCCCCGGGGGGGTATAATTTTCATGTAAAAAGAAATGCTTTTTTGTGCTTTTAAATTGAAATTTTAAATTTTAAACTAGCCATTTTATTCAAACGTCTTACAAAAGGTTTTAACCCCCTTTGTACTCAGGGGTTCATTTTATATTCAACAAAGTTTAATATAAAATTTTTTAAATAAAAACGATAGCAGGGTGGTTTTAAAATGGGGAATCATTTTTCTTAAAAATATTTTTTAAAAGGAAAAGAAATTAAAATTTGATCCCCGTTTACACCCCCCAAAATCATAAAAATACATGTTTATGAATCATTAAGCTGTATCTCTTTATCTACACTTTTTTGAACAGTTATGTGCGTGTGTAATATTGTTGATCATTGTTCTGCATCATACAATGGGCAATTATTGTAAACTATTTAAAGGTTAAGCATGATATCAATTCTTATAGGCAGCGGTTAAAGAGGTTTCTTAACAGTCCAAATTTTTTTATTTATACACATGATAATATGATATAGTTCCTTGTTCGTTGACTTATATACCCGATCAAGTAATAATAAAAAGAGCTGTCGGTAGGACAGCATGCTCGACTATTCTTAGTGCTTGATAGTAAAAAAAATGCCTGATACAGTTACCTCCTCCTGTTTACAGGTTGGGGTCATGATGGTGAACAAGTGTGCAAAGTTTCAAAGCCATATGTCAATGGACTTTGAAAATATTTGAACTATTACAAAAACTTTAACGTAAATTCTAAGTCGAAAAAGGGGCATAATTCTGTCAAAATGCTTGATAGAGTTACCTCCTCCTGTTTACAGGTTGGGGTCATGATGTTGAACAAGTGTGCAAAGTTTCAAAGCCATATGTCAATGGACTTTGAAAATATTTGAACTATTACAAAAACTTTAACGTAAATTCTAAGTCGAAAAAGGGGCATAATTCTGTCAAAATGCTTAATAGAGTTACCTCCTGCTGTCTACAGGTTGTGGTCATGATGTTGAACAAGTGTGCAAAGTTTCAAAGCCATATGTCTATGGACTTTGAAAATATTTGAACTATTACAAAAACTTTAACGGAAATTCTAAGTCGAAAAAGGGGCATAATTCTGTCAAAATGCTTGATAGAGTTACCTCCTCCTGTCTACAGGTTGGGGTCATGATGGTGAACAAGTGTGCAAAGTTTCAAAGCCATATGTCAATGGACTTTGAAAATATTTGAACTATTACAAAAACTTTAACGTAAATTCTAAGTCGAAAAAGGGGCATAATTCTGTCAAAATACTTGATAGAGTTACCTCCTCCTGTCTACAGGTTGGGGTCATGATGGTGAACAAGTGTGCAAAGTTTCAAAGCCATATGTCAATGGACTTTGAAAATATTTGAACTATTACAAAAACTTTAACATAAGTGGTTACGCCGACGCCGACGCCGACGCCGACGCTCGGGTGACTGCAATAGCTCTACTTATTCTTATTGAATAGTCGAGCTAAAAATGATCATAAGCGTGTATCAAATTAAAATGGCTAAGATTGTGTTCGATTTTAGATATACTTTTAATCTTATCAATTATTTAAAAAACTTGCCACAATCTAATATAGTACATAAAAAGTGCAATTTTCAATCAGACAGATATTTCGAAAGGCCACCTATCTCAATGTCTATGTTACATGAATGAAGTATTTTCAAGGTATTAGTAAGTGTGACAGTGAGACTCAATATTATAATAGGTATCAAATTTTCGACACGAGAAAGGACGGGAGGAGGGGGGCAATTTTGACATTTCTTGCAGGGAGGCAGTTAAGGAGTTTTAACAGTGAATAACAATAAACAGTTTCATCATGTTTTTAAATATATTATAACGCTTAGATTTGGTGTAATGCAAAAAGTAAACTAATATGTATATTTTGTCGTCTTTGATGCTGATTTAACTTTATGCTGTTTAAATATTTGAAACATACTTTATGTAAAAGTAAAAAAGATACCAAATTATTATGCAAAAAATATTTCCATTTCTTATTATTGTACATTAAGATGCGTATTAAAGCATCAACGAAATGTATGTTGTATTTTGTTTTAATAAATTCTTCATCAATAATACTATCAGTTCATAAAACTGAATAATATCTTGATCACTGGCGACAATTAAAATTGTTAACAACTTAACAACAAAATATTTTTTCTTGTAATTTTAATCAAATTAACAGTTACCCGTTTCAATATTTTCTGTCATTTGTTTTATAACCAAGTTTGAGAAAGATTACATCTCTGATATGATCCACTTTCAAACATGTTACAACTCAATGCAATATCATTAAGATGATGTATATCGTTTTGAAAAATAAAATTACAAACCAAAGGAAAAGAAGTTAAGCAAAAAGAAACAGCCGTATGAGCCTTTTATCTTCATCTCTATAACAACAAAAATGTTCAGTTATCATCATTTATTTTAGCCTATAATAAAAGGTTATATGATGTCAGTTCAATAACATTCTAGTATCACACCTATTGATGAGTCCATGTCCCCTGCAATTTAAATTTCATTCCAAAATAACAATACCAGTTAAGTATGTTATACATTTAGTCCTTTATGTACAATATAACAAAACTTGTATCTACTATCTCTTTGACTTATTGCTATGGAAATGTTTTGTTTTACTTTTCACCGATTTTATCAAAGAGGCTAAATTATCCTCATTTGTAGTTTGTTTATTTATTAATTTTGGTTTCTTCACTTGCTCCTCCTCCCTGTCGGACACTGTCATTTTATGTTTATCTCTTTTCCCACTTCTTTTAATTTTCTCTGTAATGAGTGCCTCTGTCCCTTGAGTTTTGCGATATTCTGGTGCAGAAGGGTCTATGTTGAAATAATGGGAATCATACATGGCAGAAAATCGTGGATCAGCTACATTCACCTGTAAAGATATATAAGTGCAGATTTTAGGTTGTTAAATTCTTAAGAAGAACTAATATAAATTTGCTTCAATTACAGTAACAAAAAAGTTTCTGAATTTCAAAAAAGACAATTGAGGTGCCTATACTTCTTCGTTATGTATAATCTTTAATGCCTGGTTTCTATTTAACAACAAGAACGATCAGTAATCACATGTGTCGCCTCATAATGGCCAATTTCATGTTGGGACAAATTTTGGGACAGACGGACAGACAGACGGACAGTGCACAACTAGACTTGGTACTGATCAATCATGTAAAGTTTGGATAAAATTGCACCAGTAGCTTATGAGGAGTAGTCCGGACAAGCTTTTGCATATCTGGCAACACACAGAAAAAAACACCTTTTTATCAAAGGGCCATAACTCAGCCAAAAATCATTCAACCGGAAAACCCGTGCAATATGCGCAAGGACTTGAGCTACAGATCAATCCTGTAAAGTTTCATTGAAATTGCATAAGTGGTATAAGAGAACTAGTCCGGACAAACTTTAAAAATAAAAATTATTAAAGGGCCATAACTCTGACAAAAATCATTGAACCGGAAAATGCTGACAATATGCACAACTAGACTTGATACTGATCATTCCTGTAAAGTTTGGATGAAATTGCACCAGTAGTTTATGAGGGGTAGTCCGGACAAGTTTTGTGACGGACGGACAGACAGACGGACAGACAGACGACGGAGAAGTGATCCCTATATGTCGCCACTACTCCGTAGAGGCGACACAACAAAAACTGTTTCCTCATTCAGTACAATTTAATAATACCTAAGTACATTTCTACCAATTTTGGTCAGAATTTGTTTAGTATCAGGGGGAGAAATTCTCTAAATAAATAAATACCATAAGTCAGCTTTAATTTGGCAAGATTTTGGGGGCATTAATTACAACAAATTCTTGCCAAAGTGTCAATAAATTAGTTACACCATGTCTGTTTATAATGAAAACTGATATAATAATTAAGAGAAGTTACATGTACTTTACCTGAAAGTCATCCTCTTCTGGCTTGGATTTTTTAGCCTTCAATTTCTTCTTTTTCTTTTTACCATCTTCTTGCATGAGATCTTGTAGATTAAAATGCTTCTTGTTATCTCCTTCATCCATCATCAATAATGATAACTCTGCCTGTTAAACATAGAGTTATCATAGAATAAGATTTTGATCAATAAAATAACCATTAACCCTTTCCCTCATGAGCATATTGTGAAAAATGGCCGTTTTCATTGAACAGTCTCCTGTTACAAGTTCAAACTGCTATGAAACTATGAAAAATGCTTCAATACTAATCAAACTTGGCACAAATAGTAAGTAAGTAAGTAAGTAAGTAACGACTTTATTTAATGAGGCTAGCACATTCGGTTTCCCGATCTTCCATGTGGGCCTCAGCATATACATACAATGTAACATAACAACATATAAATACAATGTGACATAAATTATATACAACATTATATAGTCAACATTTACAAAACATCATTTAAGAAATAAACTGTTAATTTTTTTTTTTTTTTACACTTTGTGGCATTTTCAAAACTTCAATATTGAAAAATACAACTAATGTTAAAAAACAACACAGTTAGTCATCCTGGTATCATATTTAGAAAACTATGTACACAATAAAAATGGAAAAATGACATATATAATTTAAATGGAAAATTGCCAATGAATATAGTTGGCTTGAAATTTTTTCAAAGTTTCAGAATTTCTAACATGTATCGGAATGTCATTCCATATTGTAGGCCCAGAGTAATTAAGTGTTTTCCTAAAACACTCTGTTTTTGGTTTAGGTACAATTAGTTTTTCATTTTGGACAGATCTCAAATTAAAGTTGTGTCTGTCATTTACTGTTTGAAATTTATTTTTCATATACTTAGGAAAGGATGGTTCATTTATTGACTTATACATTAGAATTGCCTTTTTGTATCTGATTCTTTGGTCAAAAGGACTTCCAATTTAGTTCTTTAAATAGTTCATTTGATGGGGCATCAAAATTTTTGTCCAAAATTATTCTAGCAGCTCTTTTTTGAAATTTGATATTTGTGAGAGTAAATCACTGCTGCAGTTTCCCCAAATAGTGCAGCAGTAGTCCAAATGTGGCAGTATATATGCATTGAAGAAAAGTTTTCTAGCATGAAGATCAAGATATTGTTTAATTCTAAGAAGCAAATAGAGCTGTGAATTGCATTTTTAATAATTTTTTGAATGTGTGTTTTCCATTTTAGATTTTTGTCAACATAGACTCCTAGTACTTTTTCATTGTCTGTAAATTCTATTTCTTGATTGTGAAGGTTAAGAGAAGGTGTTGAAGAATGCTCAGATTTTGAATGCTTTATTGAGAAATTCATAGCTTTAGTTTTTTGTGCATTTAGTATCATTGAATTTTTGTACACACCATGTGCTTATACTATCAAGATCTGATTGAAGATTATCTTCTACTTCCCTTATAGTATTTCCAGTTGAAGTTAGAGAAGTGTCATCTGCAAACATATCAGTATTTGACTTTTTTATATGAAGATGTATGTCATTTATGTAAATTAAGAATAGCAGGGGCCCTAGGACTGAGCCCTGGGGTACTCCGGAGACAACTTCAGCAGATTCTGATAAAACACCAGACACATTTACTTTTTGTGACCTGTCTGACAGATATGATGTAATCCAAGTAATAGTGTGTGAGGAAAGATGATAGAAGGGTAGTTTTTCAATAAGAATTTTGTGATTAACTAAATCAAAGGCCTTAGATAAGTCCAGAAAAACAGTTCCAACAATTTTGCCATCATTAAGTGCATTTATCCAATTATCAATTAAATTTGTAAGTGCTGTTTCACATGAATGGTATGCCCTGAAGCCTGATTGAGCTGTGTAGAGGAAATTGTTTGTTTCTAAAAATAGCTTCAAGTTGTCAGAAACATGTTTTTCAAATATTTTTGAAATAAGTGGGAGAACTGAAATTGGTCTATAGTTGTTTTTGTCAGACTTGAGGCCTTTCTTGTAGATTGGTGTTACCTTTGATTGTTTTAACTGTGTAGGAAATTTTCCAGTTTTAATACTTAAGTTTATTATGGTACAAAGGGGTTTATCTATGACACTTGCTGCCGTTTTTAGAAATTTTGCACTAATGCCATCTAAGCCTGTTGCTTTCGTAATATCGAGACTGTTCAGTTTTTGTTTTACATAACTTAGTTCAACATAGGGGATTTCAAATTTATTTGGTTGATTTGTGCTTTCAGATTTAAAAGATTCTTGAAGAGCAATTTTCATTTTATGTGATAACTCAGTTATATTTTCAGCTTTTTTAAATACATTTGCAAAAAAGGTGTTAAATGTTTCTGCTGTTAACTTTTGATCAGTTATTGGCAAACCATTTTCATCATTTATATAGGATGTCTGTTGACCATCTGTTTTTCCTGATAGACTTTTCAAGTTTTTCCAAAGTTTTTTAGGATTTTTCTTATTTGAATTTATCTCATGGTTAAAAAAATCTGTTTTTGCTATATGGATGAGTTTTTTCACTTGTGTCTTCCAGTACTTGAAGTCATCAACATTATTTTTCTTTTTTGCATAGTCCCTACTATGTATTGCATTAGCTATATCTTCATTGAACCAATCAGCTTGATTTTTATGTTTAACTCTTTTTTGTTTGTATGGAGCATGTATGTTAAGAGTTTCTAAAAATAATTTGTTAAAAGTGTCTAAAGCATCATCTGGATCATTAAACATATCAATAAGGGACCATGGTTGTTTTGACAGATCATTTAAGAATGTATCAGCATTAAAGTTTTTTAAGTACCTGTATTTGATTATATCATGCGTTGGACCCTTTTTAACATTTTTATTTGTTCGTCTAGTAAAAATTATTGGAAAATGATCACTAATTGAAAGTACAGGTACTGCAGTGTATGAGATATTTTGTGGTTGGTTACTATAGATATGGTCAATAATAGTTGATGATGCTGGTGTAACTCTAGTAGGTCGTTTAATAAGTTGAGAAAGATTAAAAGTATTGATTATATTGTTCCATGTTGAATTATTTGAGCCTGAAGCACCAAAATTGTAGTTAAGATCTCCAAAAAGAATTACTTCTTTGTCTTCAGTAAATATTTTATCAAGGACCTCCTCAATTTTATAATTCCACGAAGTTAATGATGAAGGTGGCCTGTAAATGTATCCTAACAATAAAGGCTTTTGCTTGTCAAGTTTCATTTCAAGCCCATATTGACTCAATTTCCTCAGACTGTAGGTCAACTCTTAGTTCACATGGCAATGAAGACTTCACATATAAAACAATTCCCCCACCATTTGATTTCTTGTCACGCCTAAAGAGTTGATAATTATTTAAAGTTAACTCTGAATCAGAAAAAAAACATCACTTTAAAAAAGTTTCTTGAAGTCCTAATACATCAATGTCAGGATATTTGTCTACTAAATATTTGATATCGTAAAGTTTGGGGTAAAGATAGTGAATGTTTAAGTGGAAAAAATTTAGTCCTTTCTTATCAAATGTTATTTCATTCAAAGAGGGAAGTATATCAACTCCTTCATCACATTCTAATGAAGATGAGTTCTCGGATATTGTTCCTGGAGTGTTGTTCACTTTTTTATTTTGGTCAGTAACGTTTATCAAACATTCATCTAGGTCATTCTCTAATGACGGTGCGGAACCATCCATGTTGGCCAGGGATTCCATACTCCACGATAAACTCCGAACCTAGGATGAGGATTTGGAATTCTCCGAGCATTTTTCTGTCTGCTGTTGGCATGTGTCGAAAATTTACATGGTCTCTGGAAGAGTTGCTTACTTGTTGTCTGGAACTTATGCCTGCATTGTTTTTCGATGCAAGGATTTTTTGATCAGTCTTATGCCTGCATTGAGTCTTCTATTAGACTATTTGTTTCAGCAATATTTTTTCAGCAGATACAGTCTGTCTGTAGTAAATTAACTATTTCTTTGAAGTCTTCACAGATAGTATGCGGAGAGTTGGCATTGGAGATATTGTTTATGCCTGTAGTGCAAGATGATTAGGTCAGTTTCTTCTGTTAATTTTCGATGTGATCTATCATCTTCAATTTTTGTCTAGAGGTCCTGAACAGTTGCACCACTGGTTGATTTTATGGTGACATTTATCTGATTAGTACTCATTTTTTTTCTTATAAGTCCTTTAGTGACTGAAATCTCCCAGAATGAGTACTTCATGTTTTTTCTTCGCTGGGGCTCACACTTCTGTCTGGAGTAGATAATTCTGTGTTATTAGGACTTCTGCATGTTTCTGAAAGAGATTGCTTCCTTTCATCTATACAACTGATATTTCTGTGTTGGTAGACAGGGTGTTTTCATTTACAGGATTTTTGAGGTTTCATTCTGAAGGGACGTAGCCAAACATGAATAAATGTTTACTGGACGCATCGGCCTTTTGTAACGACATGCTCATTCTTAAATTCCTGTTACCATGGCAATGAGGGGCCATCTCAAAAGTTGCCCAAAAAAATAACTATCTTGCCTGATTTTCCATCAAAAATTATTTCAAAAGTGCATGCAACTTCTCAAGGGATTAAGATAGAGTCAAAGGCTTTTCAGTGTTGGTTACACATTACCTTATGATCAATCTAGGGTCATTTTTAGCCTCTCACAAGTCCCCCCTTCAAACCCCACAAACAGTAGGGGGCACATACATGTCTTTGGGGCCCAAATAGGACATTTTTTCACTATTCGAGGTCTAAAAGAGGGGGATTGAAAGTGCGTTGTTTCGCGTTTATATGAGGTAAATGATTAATTTTTAAATTAGAATTGTGTAAGGTGTTGAATATTTCTATTACAAAGGGACATCCTAATCTAAATGATTACTTCAATTTCTTTCACCTCTGATAATGACATCTAGCATTAATGTCAAGTGTTGACTACTTTCCTAACAAAGGGACGTACCAACATAAATAAATATATGTGTACTTCAATTACTTTCACATCTGACAAAGTTATTCTACTTTCTAGTTCAAAACCCAACATAAAATATCTACAGCAGTTTACTCCTCTGATTCGATGCAAGTACTTTTGCATGTGATTCTTTATAAATAATGTGATAAACCAATGATATGGCCACTGTTATATAAGTAGATCTATTATCTGTGTATCAAGCTTATTGCAAAATTTTATAAATTTGATTGATAGATAGAAACTTTTCAATATATTGCAACTAACATTTCAATATTTATCTCATTTTAATGTATCATATGTTAATTGTAACCTTGCCTTACAAATAAGTATCTTTATGTTAAATATTGGTGTGACATCATTTTAAATGCACTTGACTTATAAACAAACCTTTTTCTTGACAGTCTCTGAATCTTCCTCTTTATTGTCTTCATTTTTATTTTTCTTCTTCTCTGAAATACAAGAATTTGTAACAGAGTTACCAATGTCCCCCGCCACAGGGAATTTTTACATGAAACACAAAGTTGTGCTATCTCAAAATATTGAGGTATGGATCTGGACTGCCAGTGCAAAATTTTGATCAATGCTATTTCTGCACATGCCAGTAACGACAAGCAAATTCGTTGAATTTATATCCCCCGCTGAGTACTGGTTATTATTAACACAACAACTGAAGACATAAGGCTTTATTTATATATTAATCATGGCATAAACAGTCACATTCTTTGAACTTGATAAATATTCAGGGCAATAACAGAGCCATAACTTTGTGTTAAATAGTAATATCTGGAAATGCCCATGAGATGTATGCATACTACATAACTTAATAAAGGGCCATTAAATCTGAATTATAAGTATCTGACCGAAACAAAGGCACTTTATGCACATTACTCCTCTTAGGATATCCATAAAGTTTCATTTGAATTCAGCCAGTAGTTACAGATGAAGTAGCACCAGAAACGATTATTGCTCTGGTTGTATACTGCCTAAGTTATCAAGGTGTCATAACTCTAAGTTTAAAATGTCTGACCCAAAACAAGGCGACAATATGCGCATCTCCTCTTGGTATTGAAGGGTTTCTAATAAAGTTTCATTGAATCAAGCCAGTAGATTGCCAGAGAAGGAAGTGAGGAAAACAAGTATTTTCTATATGGATACTGTCATAACTAATCAAGGGCCATAAACTCTGTGTTAAAGTGTATCTGACCTCAACAAGGCAATGATATGCGCATCTTCTGTTTGGTATTGAAGGTTTCTCATAAAGTTTCATTGAATTCCAGTTCAGTAGTTTGCAAGAGAAGTTAGCGCGGTAATGATATTTGCTCTATATGCATACTGCCATAAACTAATCAAGGGCCATAAACTCTGAGTTTAAAGTGTCTGACCGGAACAAGGCGACCTATGCGCATCTTCTCTTGGATATTGAAGGTTTCCATAAAGTTTTCGTTGAATATACCAGCATTGAGTTTGCAGAGAGAAGTGGCGCGAGAAACAATTTTTCTTCTATATGCATACTGCATAACTAATCAAGGGCCATAACTCTGAGTTAAAGTGTCTGACCGGAACAAGGCAACGATATGCGCATCTCCTCTTGGTATAAAAGATTCCCATAAAGTTTCATTGAATTCCAGCCAGTAGTTGCAGAGAAGTAGCGCGGAAACAATTTTTACTTTATATACATACTGCATAACTAATCAAGGGCCATAACTCTTGAGTTAAAGTGTCTGAACGGAACAAGCCAACGATATGCGCATCTCCTCTTGGTATTGAAGATTCCCATAAAGTTTCGTTGAATTCTAGGCAGTAGTTGCAAGAAGTAGTGCGGAAACGATTTTTACTCTATATGCATATTACATAACTAATCAAGGGCCATAACTCTAAGTTAAAGGGTCTGACTGGAACAAGCTGACGATATGCGTGTGTGGCCTTGACCTTGGAGAAAAGGATCGGGGTGTTGTGCTTGACACATCGTCTTATTATTGTCAACATTTATGCCAAGTATTTTTAAAATCCCTTGATGTATGAGAAAGTTGTGCACTGGAAACAAAATATACTCCATAAAAGACAATGTTAATCTTTGACCTCCAACGGTGACATTGACCTTAGATGTAAGCGACTAGTTTTAGCCTAGACAACATCATCTTATTATTGTGAACATGTTGGTACCAAATAATTTAGACATATTTTAATCTTTTATATAAAGAAAGTATAGGCAGGACACAAAATAATCCCTGTAATCAGAATAGTTAATCTATTGACCTCCAAACTGTGGTCTTAACCTTAGGTGAACTAGGTAATGTTTTGGGTGCATTGACACATTGTCTCATTGATTGTAAACATTGTGCTAATGTTACTTTCAAATCCCTTCATGGATAAAAGAAAGTTATTGACTGCGACACGATATACACCCTCAATAGACAATGTTGACCTTATAATCACCAAGAGTGACCATTGATCTTGGAAGTATTACAAACATTTGGCCAAGTTATTTCAAATTCCTTGTTAATATGACATAGAAATGGCCTGTTTACAAAATGCTGACAGACAGAAGACAGAATGTTTTTTCTGAGTGACATAATGGGTTTTTTTTCTTTTTGATCTCTAAAACCCAATAAGCAATTGAAATTTATACAAAATAAACAACTTCTTTCCCCACAAGTACAAGTCTTGTACAGATTGAACATTGATATTCACTCCATTATTTCACTTTAGTTTCTAACAGACGGACAGATTATGCACCAAACTGAGATAAAGGTGTATTTCTATTGTTATTTTTTTTGCATTAATAGAGAGCCATGCGCCCCTTCCTCTTTTGTGTCGGAATAACATCTATTGTTCTTCTTTGTTCTGTTTACAGTTTAGAGATAGCCCTATCCCATCAGTAGTGCAGGGGCAGACCAGACGGAGGGTCTATTTTCTTTCTCTCTTTCATTCAAAAAGGCAGGGGAAAAATATTACAAAGGATAAGTTTTACAGACTTGGTTGTCTATAGTGTGATATAGGAACTCTAACATTACATTGCAAATAGCAATACTTGAACGCAAGCGGGGTTACAATTTCTTGTTTATCATTTAGACATTTTAATATTGATTTGGAAATGAAATATATAATTTCGGGTCTTTTTTAATTCTAAAACTAAAAACTTTCTTCAAAACTAAAATATACATATGGTAGTAACCTAGTCACAAGGTTATTCAACTTATTTAAAGCCTTCAGTTTAAGCACACACAAAAATAGAATTTTTAAAAGCGTACTTTTCTTTTTCTTTTTAATTGAAGATGTTTCTTCTGCCATGAATGAAGCCATGTCTGCATCAACTGGTAAATCATCATCACTAAATGCTTGTTCTCCTAAACCTACTGATTCCTGTAAAAATAAGTTCAATGTTTCAAGCTTTTCTATGTGTAAACAAACCCACTTCCTTCAAATTTAATATTTTAAAATCTTTTAACAATAAAGTCAAAGTGGTTTCTTTATTCGCATTTTATTTTCTACCAATACAAAATGGGGCATAACAATGTTAAAATGATATACAATTGAAATACACTGAGTTGCCTCCCTTACTGCAACAAAATTGTTGAAACCAAAACAGGAAGTTTTAAACATTCCAAGGGGATTTCCATTTATAATAAAGAAAGTATAATGTTACATTTATTTATATATATGTCGTCATTACAGCAACAAATAATATTTTCATAGGTTATCCTGATTCTACTACCAAGTAGCAGGTAACAAAATTTATATTTAAAATGTTATTAACATTTTATAATTTTTGCTAAATATTTAATTTCTGTTTTCAAGTGAATTGGTCTTTCAATAACAATGAATAGTTATGTTGATATTAAGTAATCAGACATAACAACAAACTACGAAAGTATTATTACATCAATGTTGTTGGCAAGCTACCAGAAAGATATCTGATTTTACCTACGTTAGCAGTTAATTGTTAATTCTAGAGTAGAATAATAATTTATTATTATTATATTATTATTATTAATAATATTAAATTAAATATTTAGAAATTTGCCAAAATTTGTTTTAAGCAATAATTGAATTAAAATAGTCCTATGATACATTTTTATAATTTTCACTACATACTTAAGGGAGACACAGGCAAAATTTTTATTTCTTAGTTTTGAAATTTTCATTCATTAATCTGTAAATGCCCTCAAAATAATATATTAGACAGTCAAAGGAACAAAACTTTTCTCCATATAAAGAATAAAATGGTGGTTCCCTTACTTGACCCGCGTGGGTCAGGTAAGAGCGCTAGCATTTCACAATAGTTGTCAAAGTGAACTCTAGAAACCTTTAAGAAAATGTCAAATGAATGACTTAGGCTTGTTTCAATCATACAATATCCACATTATCTATTATTGTAACTTCAAGGGATTGTTCAAGTCACATTACTTGTTTTAAAACTATTTGGTGATTCTATTGGCGTCTAAATTTTGTTCAAAATATATTGATATATTTACGCTTCAAACCCAAAGTATATAGAATTTAAACAGAAATTCATGCTGAAACTTCATGAAAAGTCATTTTAGCGTGATTTGAGTTATAAGATCATTTTAATATTTTTGTCATTATTTTGCCTGAATATCCCTTTAAAACGTTTCTAAATAAAAATTTTTTGTGCCTGCCATTATTCATAACCTTTTCATATCATATCATAAGTTATTCTAATGCATGTCTACATTTTGGTACATTAAAAATTCCTGATGTTTATAATTGATTGTCATCCTAGTTTGTATTTTTGACACAAATATCCTGTTTACACATGTAAGCACTATAAAATTAGAGTTCAGTAATTTGTAAATGTCACAAACTTAGACTATACATGTATAGTTGTTTCATTAATTTTTAATCTCTGTATCTCTTGTATTATCTATTTCAGCATGTATCACATAAACGATTACTCTCATAACATATCTATGAGACTGTCAGAAGTCTTAGATGACATTGGTGTTAATGAGACAATGGTGATGAAAAGAAGAAAGATATTCATGTTGACAGAGACAATGAATACCATCAGAAACAGGTTAAATGATAGAAACGAAACAATATTTTACCCAGGAAGTACGACTGAAGGTTCAACAACACTAGGACTTCACTCTGATATGGATGTTTTACAATGTTTTAATAATTTCAATGTGATACAAGACTGGGCTGACTGGAAACAAGGTAAATGTAACCTACTTATGATACAGGATAACAATACAACCCCTGGATACTGTTCTCTACAACAGTTAGCATCTGATGTGCCTCTACCAGTAACTGATGTAAGAAAAATATATCATATGAGAGATATAAATGGAAGAGAACTTCTAACAAATGATTTATGGGAGAATGCGATATCCGAAGGAGATCAACATGGGCCAGCAATTACATCACAAGCGAAAGATGGATTTTGTGCAACTGACTATGTTCCAGCTTTACCTTGTGTATCATGGCCCCGTTCAACTTTAGATTGGTTACAGCACCAGGAGTCAGATAGCTGTCCAACACAAGAAATTAAGCAATATGCTATTAGCAGTAGTTGTTACGTTGTTCCTGTTGGCAGCAAAGTAAGTATGAACCCACTGATTGAATGGAGAATATCTACAACACTAGCAGAAAGATGCTTGATGTTTAATTTAAACATTACACAGTTAAGGTGCTATGTTTTAATGAAAATGATTGTGAAGTCATATCTCCATTTGAATGGTGAAAACAATTTGTCTAGTTTTATGTGTAAATCAGTTATTTTGCATTGTGTAAAGAATATTGAATCGAAAATGTGGAGAGAATGCAATTTAATCCAGTGTTTAACTATTTGTTTATTACAATTATATAACTGTTTACAAAGGGAAGAATGTCCACATTTTATAATAAAAGAAAACAACTTGATGGCAGGACAATTCACAGCTGATGAAAAATACAAACTTCTACAAACAATAAATCTTTTAGTACAAAGAGGTGGTCTTGGATTACTTGGTATTGAAATTGATGATGTTGGTCAAAGACTGAAAATAAAATTGAACATAATTCCTCAAGTCATTCATTACCCACCATCTAAACTTGAAATCAGTAAAGTTGTGTCAACTTATTTATATCTTAATTTTTCAAAAATCAAGAATGAATTTCAAAAACATATCTTGTACTGCACAGAATCTCTATCAATCTGTATTCAAAGATTAATGAAGTACAGTAAAGAAGGAAATAAACTGGAACAGACAGCATGTAGATTTCTGGCACCTAAACTGTTCACTACTTTGGGATCTATGTTGGCATCATCAAGTATTGGTCAATCTGGATCCATATCACATCAGGCTTTAACCTGGTTCTCAACAGGCTTGAAATCAAGTGATGTGTCAGACAGATTAAAACTGGCTTCAATGTTTTACTGCACTGGAGATTTTGGAAGAACTGAAATTACTTTGAGAAATATAGCGCAACAATTCAATAATGATGTTACAGTTCCTCTTTGTAGCTGCTATAGAAATCATCTTCCAAAGCCAAATCCAGATTTTTTTGAAATATGCAATGACCAAAATGAATCTTTTATTCAACAATATATAGCACATTGTGTGCAATTCCAGCAAAGTGAAATAAACTGTGCTCCTCCTGAACTACAATTTGAAATGTTCAGATCTACACAAGACGATATGCTACATCATAGAAATGAGGGAGAAGACTACTGGATGAACTGGGCGGTAGTGGATTCTCTCCCTTTCTTCCATTTTTTACATTACAAAGTTTACAGTCGGCTACAGAAACACCAAGATCAACAACAAGCACTTAATGATCTCATATGGATCATTGACACAAACAAAAATCTCAGACATAAAGAAACTGACCTCAATCTACTTGGGCAACTAATGGAACAAGCAAATAGACCTAAAGATGCACTTCAATGCTACATGATGTCTCTGCAGATAAGATCAAGAAACAATGCTGCACGGTTTCATGTCTGCAGGCTACTTGCTACCCTTGCTACCAGAAGATTCACATGAACTTTAATGATATGGAATGTGACATGCTTTTGCCAGAGCATTTATACACATGAGCTTTAAAATGAAATGGAGTGTAGTGTGCTTATGCCAATATTCATATGAACTATAATGAAACTGAATGGTCAGAAAGGTTAGAGAGGGGATAGAGTACAAACACATCAAACTAGTATAATATATATTTTGTATTATGACAGACAATGTACCAAGAATGTTCAATCATGCTTGTATGCTCCTTTTACAAATCAGCGAAGCTAGTACAACACTGCCTGTGAAATAAATTTGGAGGTATACTCAGAAGTTTCAATATACCAGTAACCACAATTAAACATTGCCTGTATAAAACATTTTCTTAATTTTTTTTTCTAATTTAGTAGAAGATGTCGAGTAAAATCATATTTTTTGTCTATTCATTTATACTTTTATCTATTATTTTAGCTTTTATGCAATGATCTAACAAATTGCTTTAAATCTAAAGTTTAATAAAGTGTATTTTGTTCATGAGCATCATTTGTTCTTTAAATTATCCTAAACTTCTTATTTTTATATTACTTGACCTGTATATTGTTTTTTGGATAAATGTTTGGTACTTAGAAACTAATAGTTGACGTGTCTTTGAGGCTTTCTAATTTGCTGTAAAAGACATTTTAGGGACAAATAATATGGCAATATAAAAGTATATCCCATATGTAATAGTCTTTACAGAAGAACTTATGAAAAACTAGTACATATGTAGATTGATATTTTCATACAATTTTTTGTTAAAGTTATTTAATTGATGAAAGTTTTTCCATGAAGAAATTAAATATTACCAGTTGGAAGTTTGATCATTATATATAAACTTTAACTTTTATACAATAATGTTTTTCCTTACAACTAACATATTTTTACTAATTACCAAGCATAGTAATATTACTGTCAAAAACCTTTGTATTAATCTGTTTGTTTAATAATTTGATTCAGGAATAAAATTTGCAACAATTATTTATTATTTTTGTGAAAGTATTTTAATATCCTTCCTCACCAGTCACAGACTATAACAAGAGTTTCTTGCCACAAATTGCATAAAACTTTTCTCAGTGAAAGCGAGTCAAGAGAGTGGATAAGAAGACAATATTGTAATGTTTGGTTTAAGCATCCCATGTGGTGTTAACGCTTGCTTCTTAATAACAAATTTTCATGAATATTCTAAGTATAAAAGAGACACCTGTATATTTACTGTGCATTGTCATGATAATCAAGTGTTCCATGTTTCATGATGATTGTTTTGATATTTTTGAAAACATCCTACTTGATAGGCAATTTTGGCAAAAAAAAGTTAAAAAGGGCACAACTCCAAAAACATTTCTTCCAGAATAATGTCCCTTGTCTGACAACTGTACATTGAAATGATAATTTCATGTTGATACCATTCATAGGTTTGAAATCGACAATTTAGACAAACATTTTTCTGTTCAAAATGGACAGAAGTCCTAAACTAGGGCCAAGATTATAAAGAAATTCTCCAAGTTCAAACTCAGATCTGAGGTAATTGACTAGTCAGTAACTGTCACAGAATGTACATTGACCTGTGAAAAAAACGAGATTTGAGAGAGGACTCGGAAAAAGAGTTCCATAACCTTAATAGGTCTTGACCTCGAGATTATCAAAAAAAAAATTCTGAGATTTACCTCAGATCTCAGGACTTTCATTGTTCTGTGTATATTCTTAGAGAAAAATCATAATTAAATATTAATGAGAACATGATTAACTATTTGAATAAAATGATTTAAAACATTAAAGATTATATAAGGTCCCAATATATATTTCTTATCTACCTGCTTCTCTGATATGATCTCTATATTTCTATTTTTCTTTTGCCTTTCTTCAATTTTACTTTTCTTTTTCTCTTTTTTCTTTTGTAGATAATCTTCCCAAACTGTGCTGTTCTTTGACTGCTTCTTTTTCTTAACAATCTTTTCAGTGGCTTCTTTTAAACCTTTAAATAAATATTATAAATATATCAGTTGTGCAACAATAATGGAGAAACATAAAGATGGACATTTCCACTTGTGTACAAAAAATGTCAAGTTCTATCCCTTGAAATTTATTCTTATATCTGAGAAAATAAATTTCAAAGCAATTAATTCCCCCGATTTTTTGCTTGTCATAAGAAAGCCTTTAGCATTTCAATAAAACACATTTCTCTTTAAAATATAGCATAATTATTAAGAATTTACTGTTTTAAAAGTAGAACAAAAATATATTTATAAATTTCAATCCAGGCATGAGGACAAGGTAAACAGAAACCTCTTGTGCCAGTTTGGGTCGTATGTCACACTCACACTAAACAGGTCATATGGAGACTATCTGTTGCCTCTCTCAGTTATAAATCAGACACTACTAGGATTTAACTAGCTTGATAACTTCAAGAATTAAAAGTCCTTGTTGGGACTTAGAACCAACAATGTTGAGGGGCAAGTAAATCAAAGTTGGCCATGGTGGCCCCCAATACAACTAAAACATAATAAATGAAAGTAGTTTAAGGATATCCGATCAACTAAATTGAATGCAATGCCTTTACAAATGGCTGTAAAGTTAAGAATTGCCTTGCCAAAATATGCTATAAGCTGGCAAAATAAAAAGGCTTTACTAAAAGGTATAAGTATAAAAATATTTTACCTGGTTCCCAGCTTATTTCCATTTCAACATCATGTTTCTTCTTGTTTTCCTGAGAATTAAGGTCAGTAAGAAGCTTCTTGTATTTATCCAAGTTTTTATTATCAGAGTCATCACCACTGTCTCCATCATCCTCATTGTTTCCAATTATTGCACCATAATCAGCACCTTTAATAAAACAAAGATATCAAAGAAAATCAATTATCTCTGACAACCATATTTAGACTTTTATCTTTAATACTATCTGAATCATTTAAGGCTTGTTTTACATATACTCATAAAGTTTTGTTTCTAGTGTCTTTAAAGTGACATGCCTCTGGTAAAAAAATAAAACTTTATAAAAAATATGTGAGGGATGGCCAATTGTTTTAACATTCATAATTTTGAACAATTCCTTTTCATAGCAATTAAGTGTAAAATAAAGGCTGCTGTATTTACAATGGTTCATTTCAGTGATAAAATTGTTTGAAATTTTTTATTACAATTATGATTCAAACATGACATCAACTTTATTCACACCCTACAAAATATAACCAATGCACTTAAAGCATTTGCAACATGTGATGTTCCAATAGTGTACACATCCACATTTCAGTATTGTACTCAACAATGTATAATAACCTAATACTCTCCATCAAGAATGGATCCATCTGAGCTTGAAGCCAAATAAGCCTTGAGATCTTCTTCCTCAACCTCTTTAGCATTATTGGTAAACTGCTGAGATGTTAATTGCACACGTTCACGATCTGTCTTGTCCCATGTTAAATCTACCTATTACAAAACAGTTAATAGAAATCAAACGGTTCTTTTTCTGTCCAATTTATAACATTAATGTTTGTTCAAATTGGATAAGATATAAATTTAAAGGAGCTCCACTGAGGTCAAAAAGCAAAACAAAATCTAACATAGATCAGCTGTGGGACTTGAAAGAATTGTTAAAGATAGTTCAGGAAAAAAGACATTCAAAATCGTATTTTCTTGCTCTTCTCAGTCAGATTTGAGTGAAACGCATTGCAACACTTTTCAATTTTGGGCCATTTTTCACAATTAACGAAAATTATTCTGGAAAAAACGGAGTGAGCGGATGATCTGTAATTTTGCACAAAAGTTGATGGTCTAGACCTAAACTAAATGAAACATCACCTCAAAAAAAATATTTCCTGTGTCCTATTCATGTCAAAAAAACCTCGGTGGAGTTCTTTTAACTTTCTGACTGCAACAAATACAGTCTATTCATAATGCAAGGTAAAGTTTATCTAGTCTATAACTAGTATATCATCCAATTTCCATTATGACCATGTTTTGTGTTTGTCTGTTTTTTTATGCCAATGTTAACAACATTTTTTGGTCATTCACAGTGGTCGGTCTAATCAGTAATACCAATTTCCCCACAAGTGACCAACTACCATTCTAACATAATTTTTAAATTAGCAGTGAAAGACAAATACACATTAGTCTGAGATGAATTGTCAAAGAGAATTTTTACCTTGCCCGAGGATCAATCTAGCAAAACCCTGGATTACAAATCAGATGCTCTCCTTGTTGAGCTAAGCAGGGAGACTATTGTCATGGAACATAAAGTAAACATGCTTTATTTTGCGGTTCTATTGTCCATTAAAACCATGAGAACCATGCATCTGGAGGATTGTACCAGACAGAAATACTTTATTACAAAGTTTAAAACAACAAGAACCATCACAAGCCCTCTGTTTAAATGCAAATGTCAAATTTCCTATTTTTCTGTCAAAGTCACAAATGTTAATCAAAAGTGTAACCACTGTTCCAGATAACTGCTCGGATTGCCTTATTTAACCTTTACCAAGACATCTATTATCAAAACATAGGACATTATCCTGACACAGTACACTGACAGAGATATATACCTTAGACTGTGAAAGTGCTGCATTGAAGAAGAACTGGGGTTTATAATTGGATGGAATCTCCATACAAGCACTGCTCACATCATTCTCTTCAAATGTTTCTTCATCTGGTATAAATCTATACGCATAAAATATATAAGAAAATCTCATTTTTATTTCAGACACTTTCAATTGAACAGTTGAATGCACTTTCCATGTCTAACAGATCTGTAATTGGGTTGCAGATATATATAATCAAAACAACAAAATGAAGAATACAGTCCCTGGACAATTTCTGAGAACAGCATTATCATTAAAAAGATTTTCATCGCATTCTAACAACAAATAACATTAAAGACTTACATGACCATAGAAAAATACCAGGTAAACCTCAATTTTAAAAGTCATGGCATAGCTGTATTATGTCATCTTTCAAGTATTTTCATTGAAGCTCAGGTGTGTTAATAACTGATAAATGTTATATGGATATGTAAACACTTACCTGAGGTGATGTTTAGTAGCACTTGATTCTTACACCGCCACATTCCTTAAGTGTATGATCAGCATTTTCTATAGAATCATACTCTATGACAGCGTAATAATACTTTAATCTATTAAGCTGGTACTAGCGTAACTTCTCCTCACGGTATATTGTAAAATTGTGACAATAAATTATTATGCAAAAGACATTTCAGAACTTGTTTTAAGTTTAACACTACCAAAGCTGGGTTTGTGGAAAGGACTAGTCATGCTTGTTTTGCCTTGTATTTTATTTATCCTGCTGTACATTATTACTGTCTCATGTCTTGTAGTTAACTTGTAATATCTTGCTTTGAGCTTTACTTATCCTTTCAGGTTATTAAGGCTAAAATGGTACCTCTAAGAATAAACAAGTCGTCTTTTTCCATATTTGGGCTGTCTGACCTAGTTTGTGAGTGCAAGTAACGCAACCCATCTTCGAGCAAGACCTAGAAAATATCGAGACAAACTTCAGACTATTTTTTCCAGGAAGAGTCTGGAAGAGTAACCTCTATGGTGTTAACAATGTTTTGTCAGTACTTGGGATGTGTAACCTTGTTTTTGACCCCATGTGACGTTTATTTTAAATCACCTTAGAAGTCATCCAAACAACCTTTCTGATGGTATATTATCATGTAAAAGATATGCTTTTTAGTGCTTTTAAGTTGAATTTAAATTAATCTAGCCATCTATTTCATCGTCTTATAAAGGTTTGACAGCTTTGTACTCCGAATTCAGTATTATATTCAACAATGTGTAATATAAACTTCGTACTACAAAACGATAGTTAACGGTGTGTGCTGAGACAGGTTATCAATATCTATTATCAATATCTTATCAATATACTACCGATGAAATGACATGTTTATGAATCCTTAAGCTGTACCTCTTTATCTACACTTTTTTGTACATGAACAGTTATGTGCGTGTGTAATATTGTTGATCATTCTTCTGTATCATACAATGGGCAATTTATGTAAACTATTTAAAGGTTAAGCATGATATCAATTCTTATAGGCAGTGGTTAAAGAGGTTTCTTAACAGTCCAATTTTTTTATTTATACACATGAAAATATGATATAGTTCGTTGTTCGTTGACTTATATACCCGATCAAGTTATAATAAAAATGATCACAAGCGTGTATCAAATTAAAATGGCTAAGATTCGTTTTTGTGTTCGATTTTAGATATATTTTAATCTTATCAATTATTTAAAAAACTTGCCACAATCTAATATAGTACATAAAAAGTGCAATTTTCAATCAGATAGATATTTCGAAAGGCCACCTATCTCAATGTCTATGTTACATGAATAAAGTATTTTCAAGGTATTAGTAAGTTTACTCAATTAAGTGGGACAGTGAGACTCAATATTATAATAGGTTTCAAATTTTCGACACGAGAAAGGAGGGGAGGTGGGGGCAATTTTGACATTTATTTCTTAATCAAATTAACAGTTACCCGTTTCAATATTTTCTGTCATTTGTTTATAACCAAGTTTGAGTAAGATTACATCATTGATATGATCCACTTTCAAACATGTTACAACTCAATGCAATATCATTAAGATGATGTATATAGTTTTGAAAATGCCTTTATAACCAAAAGAAAAGAAGTTAAACAACAAGAGGGCCATGATGGCCCTAAGGTCGCTCACCTGTATATAGGCCCCCGGAGCGGGGCCAGTTTAAACCCCAGGGCTTTTATTTGAGCAAACTTGGAAGACACCCATTAGAAGATGTTTCATGATGTTAAGTTTTTACTACACACATATAATGAAAAACAATTACCTCCCCCCCCCCCCCTTTGCAGGGCCCAATTTAAACCCAAGGGCTTTTATTTGGACAAACTTGGTAAGACACCAACAAAAAAGATTTTTCCTGCTTAAAATCTAACCTCTAGCTCATTGGGTTTTTTAAAAGAAGATTTTTTAAGTTTTTTTACTATACACATATAGTTAAAAACAATGACACCTCTGGGGCAGGGCCAGTTTTAACCCCAGGGCTTTTATTTGAACAAACTTTGGAGACACTTACTAGAAGATGTTTCATTCTGAATATCTAAACTCTAGCTATTTGAGTTTTTTCAAAGAAGATTTTTAAGTTTTTGCCATACACATATAAGGAAAATCAATGACCCCCAGGGCGGGCCAATTTTGACTCTAGCTCTTTGGGTTCTTTAAAAGAAGATTTTTTAAGTTTTTACTATATGCATATAGGGAAAATCAATGACCCCCTTTGGCGGGGCCAATTTTGACCCCAGGGCTTTTATTTGAACAAACTTGGTAGACACTCACTAGAAGATGTTTCATGCTTAATATCTAAACTCTGGCTATTTGGGTTTTTTCAAAGAAGATTTTTTAAGTTTTTGTTATACACATATAAGGAAAATCAATGACCCCCGGGACGGGGCCAATTTTGACCCCAGAGCTTTTATTTGAACAAACTTTGTAGACACCCATTAGAACATGTTTCATGCTAAATATCTTAGCTCTAGCTCTTTTTTTTCTTTTAAAGAAGATTTTTTAGGTTTTTACTATATGCATATAGGGAAAATCAATGACCCCCTGGGGCGGGGCCAATTTTGACCCCAGGGCTTTTTTTTTAACAAACTTTGTAGACACTCACTAGAAGATGTTTCATGCCAAATATTTAAGCTCTAGCTCTTTGGGTTTTTTAAAAGAAGATATTTAAAGTTTTTTCTTTTGGTTGCCATGGCAACCAGAGTTCTGCATGGAATTAAATTCTTTGAACAATTTTTAAAGGTGACCACCAAAGGAACATTCCTGTGAAGTTTGGATGAAATTGGCTTAGTGGTTTATGAGGAGATGTCATTTAAAGTAAAAGTTTACACACGGACGATGGACGGATGACGGCCGGACGCCGGACGAAAAGCGATCACAAAAGCTCACCCTGTCACTTTGTGACAGGTGAGCTAAAAAGAAACAGCCGTATGAGCCTTTTATCTTCATCTCTATAACAACAAAAATGTTCAGTTATTATCATTTATTATAGCCTATAATAAAAGGTTATATGATGTCAGTTCCATAACATTCTAGTATCACACCTATTGTTTAAGATAAAAGGATGAGCCTATGTTCCCTGCAATTTAAATTTTATTCCAAAATAACAACACCAGTTAAGTAGGTTATACATTTAGTCCTTTATGTACAATATAACCAAACTTGTATCTACTATCTCTTTGACTTGTTGCTATGGAAATGTTTTGTTTTACTTTTCACCGATTTTATCAAAGAGGCTAAATTATCCTCATTTGTAGTTTGTTTATTTATTAATTTTGGTTTTTTCACTTGTTCCTCCTCCCTGTCAGACACTGTCATTTTGTGTTTATCTCTTTTCCCACTTCTTTTAATTTTCTCTGTAACGAGTGCCTCTGTCCCTTGGGTTTTGCGATATTCTGGTGCAGAAGGGTCTATGTTGAAATAATGGGAATCATACATGGCAGAAAATCGTGGATCAGCTACATTTACCTGAAAAGATATATCAATAAAGATTTTAGATTGTTAAATTCTTAAGAAGAACTAATATAAATTTGCTTCAATTACAGTAACAAAAAAGTTTCTGAATTTCAAACAAGAGGGCCATGATGGCCCTAGATCGCTCATCTGACTCATCAAACTCATCCAAACAATTACCTAGACAAGCATTCTGACCAAGTCTCATGACAGGTGAGTCAAAAATGTGACCACTACAGTGTTAACAAGGATTATCCATATTTGAGCAGTGCATCCTAGTTTTTTACCCAGGTGACACATATTCAAACTTGACCTAGAAATCATCAAAACAAACTTTCAGACCAATTTCCAGGATACTTGGATCAAAACAGTAGCAACTAGAGTGTTAACAAGATTTTTCTATTTTTAGCTCCGGTGACCTAGTTTCACATGCGATTTCGAACTCATCCAAGCAATTACCTAGACAAGCATCCTGACCAAGTCTGATGATAATTGAGTCGAAAATGTGACCACTAGAATGTTAACAAGGTTTTTCCATATTAGGGCGGTGTGACCTAATTTTTCATCCACGATGACCCATGTTCAATCTTGACTTAGAAATCATCAAAACAAACTTTCAGACCAATTAACAGAATATTTGGATCACAACAGTAGCCACTAGAGTGTTAACAAGATTTTTCTATTTTAGCTCCTGTGACCTAGTTTTTCATCCGAGATGTCCCATGTTCGTTTATTCCCAGCAATGACCTAGACAAGTTTCCTGACCAAGTTTGATGACAATTGAGTCAAAATTGTGACCACTAGAGTGTTAACAAGGTTTTTCTATTTTTAGCTCCGGTGACCTACTTTTTCATCAGAGATAACCCATGTTCGAACTCATCCGAGCTATCACCTAGACAAGCATCTTGACCAAGTTTGATGATGATTGATGCAAAAATGTGACCGCTAGAGTGTTAACAAGGTTTTTCTATTTTTAGCTCCGGTGACCTACTTTTTCATCCGAGATGACCAATGTTCGAACTCATCTAAGCTATCAACTAGATAAGCATCCTGACCAAGTTTGATGATGATTGATGCAAAAATGTGACCGCTAGAGTGTTAACAAGGTTTTTCTATTTATAGCTCCGGTGACCTAGTTTTTCATCTGAGATGACCTATGTTCGAACTCATCCAAGCAATTGACTAGACAAGCAATCTGACCAAGTTTGATGAAGATTGGTTCAAAAATGTGACCACTAGAGTGTTCACAAGGTTTTTCTATTTTTAGCTCCTGTGACCTACTTTTTCATCCGAGATGACCCATGTTCGAACTCATCCGAGGTATCACCTACACAAACATCCTGACCAAGTTTGATGATGATTGGGTCAAAAATGTGACCTCTAGAGTGTTCACAAGGTTTTTCTATTTTTAGCTCTTGTGACCTAGTTTTTCATCCGAGATGAGCCATGTTCGAACACATCCGAGCTTTCAACTAGATAAGCATCCTGACCAAGTTTGATGATGATTGAGGCAAAAATGCGACCGCTAGAGTGTTCACAAGCAATTGTGGACGTACGACGGACGACGGACATTCAACGATCCTAAAAGCTCACCCTGAGCAAGCTCAGGTGAGCTAAAAAGACAATTGAGGTGCCTATACTTCTTCGTTATGTATAATCTTTAATGTCTGTTTTCTATTTAACAACAAAAACTGTTGCCTCATTCAGTACAATTTAATAATACCTAAGTACATTTCTACCAATTTTGGTCAGAATTTGTTTAGTATCAGGGGGAGAAATTTTTTAAATAAATAAATACCATAAGTCAGCTTTAATTTGGCAAGATTTTGGGGGCATTAATTACAACAAATTCTTGCCAAAGTGTCAATAAATTAGTTAAACCATGTCTGTTTATAATGAAAACTGATAAAATAATTAAGAGAAGTTACATATACTTTACCTGAAAGTCATCCTCTTCTGGCTTGGATTTTTTAGCCTTCAATTTCTTCTTTTTCTTTTTACCATCTTCTTGCATGAGATCTTGTAGATTAAAATGCTTCTTGTTATCTCCTTCATCCATCATCAATAATGATAACTCTGCCTGTTAAACATAGAGTTATCATAGAATAAGATTTTGATCAATAAAATTACCATTAACCCTTTCCCTCATGAGCATATTGTGAAAAATGGCCGTTTTCATTGAAAAACGTTACTTTATGATCGACCTAGGGTCATTTTTAGCCTCTCACAAGTCCAAAAATTTTTTTTTGCGATGAATGGGGGACTACCGCCCCCTTCAAACCCCCCAAACAGAAGGGGGCACATCCCCCTTCTGGCAACCCCCTGATGTATCTTTTGGATGGGGAGCGGCGCCAAAAAAGTGCTCACTTTTTTTAGCATTATTTCTTAAACGAAAACATGTCTTTGGGGCCCAAATAGGACATTTTTTCACTATTTGAGGCCTAAAAGAGGGGGGTCGAAAGTGCGTTGTTTCGCGTTTATATGAGGTAAAGGGTTAATTTATTAATTAGAATTGTGTAAGGTGTTGAATATTTCTGTAACAAAGGGACATCCTAATCTAAATTATTACTTCAATTTCTTTCACGTCTGACATTATTATCAAATGTTTGACTAACTTTACTAGAAAGGGACTCTTTCCTAACAAAGGACTACCAACATAAAAAATATACGTGTACTCAATTAAATTTTCACATCTGACAAAGTTATTCTACTTTCTAGTTCAAAACCCAACATAAAATATCTTAAGCAGTTTACTCCTCTGATTCAATGCAAGTAGGGTTGCATTGTGATTCTTTTATAAATAATGTGATAAACCAATGATATGGCCACTGTTATATAGTAGATCTGTTTATCTGTGTATCAAGCTTATTGCAAAATTTTATTAATCTCATTGATAGATAGAAACTTTTCAATATATTGCAACTAACATTTCAATATTTATCTCATTTTAATGTATCATATACTGTTAATTGTAAACCTGCCTTACAAATAAGTATCTTTATGTTAAATATTGGTGTGACATCATTTTAATGCACTTGACTTATAAACAAAACCTTTTCTTGACAGTCTCTGAAATCTTCCTCTTATTGTCTTCATTTTTATTTTTCTTCTTCTCTGAATACAAAAATTTGTAACAAGAGTTCCAATGTTCCCCGCCACAGGGAATTTTTACATGAAACACAAAGTTGTGCTATCTCAAAAGATTGAGGTAATGCGATCTGGATTGTCAGTGCAAAATTTTGATCAATGCTATTTCTGCACATGCCAGTAACAACAAGCAAATTGGTTGAATTTATATCCCCGCCGAGTACTCTAATGTTTATTAACATAACACAACAACTGAAGACATAAGGCTTTATTTATATATTAATCATGGCATAAACAGTAATATTCTTTGAACTTGATAAATATTCAGGGCAATAACAGAGCCCATAACTTTGTGTTAACCCTTTCCCCCATGAGCATATTGTGAAAAATGGTTGTTTCACTGAAAAGCCTCCTGTTACAAGTTCAAACTGCTATGAAACTATGAAAAATGCTTCAGTACTAATCAAACTTGGCACAAATGTTGACTGGACCATTGCCTTTGTAACGACATGCTCAGTCTTAAATTTCCTGTTACCATGGCAACGAGGGGACATCTCAAAATTGCCCAAAAATCACTATTTTGCCTCGATTTTTTCCATCAAAATTTTATTTCAAAGTGCTGCAACTGCTCAAGGGATTGAGATAGAGTCAAAGGGCTTTTCAGCGTTGGTTAAACGTTACATTATGATGACCTGGGGTCATTTTTAGCCTCTCACAAGTCCAAAAAATTTTCTTGGCGATGAGGGGACTCCCCCCCTTCAAACCCCCTAACAGAAGGGGGCACATCCCCCTTCTGCCAACCCCGCTGATGTATCTTTTGGATGGGGGGCGGCGCCGAAAAAGTGCTCAATTTTTTACGCGGACATTTCTCAAAACGAAAACTTTATGTTTGGGGCCCAAATAGGACATTTTTCACCATTTGAGGCCTAAAAAGGGGGGGGGTCGAAAGTGCGTTGTTTCGCGTATATATGTGGTAAAGGGTTAAATAGTAATATCTGGAAATGCCAATGAGATGTATGCATACTACATAACTAATAAAGGGCCATAAATCTGAATTATAAGTATCTGACCAGAACAAGGCGACTATATGCACATCTCCTCTTAGTATCCCATAGGGTTTCATTGAAATTCCAGCCAGTAGTTACAGAGAAGTACACAGAAACGATTATTGCTCTGGTTGTATACTGCCTAAGTTATCAAGGGTCATAACTCTAAGTTAAAATGTCTGACCCGAACAAGGCGACAATATGCGCATTCCTCTTGGTACTGAAGGTTCCAATAAAGTTTCATTGAATTCCAGCCAGTAGTTGCAGAGAAGAAGTGAGGAAACAAATATTTTTCTATATGGATACTGCATAACTAATCAAGGGCCATAACTCTGTGTTAAAGTGTCTGACCTCAACAAGGCAATGATATGCGCATCTTCTGTTGGTATTGAAGGTTCTAATAAAGTTTCATTGAATTCCAGCCAGTAGTTGCAGAGAAGTAGCGCGGTAACGATATTTGCTCTATATGCATACTGCATAACTAATCAAGGGCCATAACTCTGAGTTTAAGTGTCTGACCTGAACAAGGCAACGATATGCGCATCTCCTCTTGATATTGAAGGTTCCCATAAAGTTTCATTAAATTCCGGCCATGAGTTGCAGAGAAGTAGCGCAGAAACAATTTTTTCTCTATATGCATACTGCATAACTAATCAAGGGCCATAACTCTGAGTTAAAATGTCTGACCGGAACAAGGCTACGATATGCACATCTCCTCTTGGAATTGAAGATTCCCATAAATGTTTCGTTGAATTCCAGCCAGTAGTTGCAGAGAAGTAGCTCGGAAACGATTTTTACTTTATATGCATACTGCATAAGTAATCAAGGGCCATAACTCTGAGTTAAAGTGTCTGACCGGAACAAGCCGACGATATGCGCATCTCCTCTTGGTATTGAAGGTTCCCATAAAGTTTCATTGAATTCCAGCCTGTAGTTGCAGAGAAGTAGAGCGGAAACGATTTTTACTCCATATGCATACTGCATAACTAATCAAGGGCCATAACTCTGAGTTTCAGTGTCTGACCGGAACAAGCCGACGATATGGGCATCTCCTCTTGGTATTGAAGGTTCCCATAAAGTTTCGTTGAATTCTAGGCAGTAGTTGCAGAGAAGTAGTGCGGAAACGATTTTTACTCTATATGCATACTACATAGTTAATCAAGGGCCATAACTCTGAGTTAAAGGGTCTGACCGGAACAAGCTGACGATATGCGCATCTCCTCTTGATATTGATGATTCCCATAAAGTTTTGTTGAATTCCAGCCAGTAGTTGCAGAGAACTACTCTGGAAACGAAATTCGGATGGACGGATGGACGAGCTGAAGGACGGAAGTTCTAACAGGAGAGTAATTATGTGGCTACTCTATTGTTCTCTCTATTGTTCTTTTTAGCCACACAAAAGAAAATAGCCACATAAAAGCATTACGGAATGAATGACATCAAAGAGAAAGGACAGTTACCTATTGTCCCTCTAGCCACATAATTACTCTCCTGTGAGTGCGGACGGACAGAAGGACGGATGGACAACGCCAAAACTATATCCCCCTCCCGATTCCATCGGCGGGGGATAATAAATTCATTAAAGAAATATAATGAAATAACTCCTGTCACTGTGTGTGTCAACAGAAATACATTTGCATATTTGTTATCATTATTTCAAAGCCACAAAATGTGACAAATACAAAAATCAATACAGGATATGGTCTGTTACAGCATATATTTCGTGCCCAGTCATCAATCAAGGTATGTGGGCAATTCACCAATGACCATCAATTTTATTTGCATGGGCTTGGCATCATACCCTGTAACAGCCTATTTTAGGCTTTGACCTCCATGTATGACCTTGACCTTTGAGATAGGGGACCCGGTGTTGCGCATGACATGTCATCTTAATATTGTTTACATGTATGATAAGTTATTTTAAAATCCCTTGATTGATGAAAAAGTTATATACCGCACACAAAATATACACTAGAACAGACCATGTTAAGCTTTGGCACTCAAGTATGACCATGACATTTAAAGTAGGAGTCTGGCTGTTGCAAATAACACATGGTCCCATATTTTTGCCAAGTAATTTCAAAATCCCTTCAAAAATAAAAAAGTTATGGACTGCAAACTAAAAACACCATATAAAAGATCATATAAATCTTTGACCTCTAAGTGTGACCTTGACCTTGGAGAAAAGGGTCGGGGTGTTGTGCTTGACACATCCTCTTATTATTGCCAACATTTATGCCAAGTATTTTTAAAATCCCTTGATGTATGAGAAAGTTGTGCACTGGAAACAAAATATACCCTATAAAAGACTGTGTTAATCTTTGACCTCCAACGGTGACATTGACCTTACATGTAAGCAACTAGTTTTAGCCTAGACACATCATCTTATTATTGTGAACATTTGTACCAAATAATTTCGACATCTCTTAATCTATAAAGAAGTTATAGACCGGACACAAAATAATCCCTTTAACAGAATAGTTAATCTTTGACCTCCAACTGTGGTCTTGACCTTGGTGGACTAGGTAATTGTTTTGGCGCATGACACATTGTCTCATTATTGTAAACATTTGTGCTAAGTACTTTCAAAATCCCTTCATGGATAAGAAAGTTATTGACTGGACACGATATACACCCTCAATAGACAATGTTGACCTTTAATCACCAAGAGTGACCTTGACATTGGAGGTATTACAAACATTTGTGCCAAGTTATTTCAAATTCCTTTGTTAAATGACATAGAAATGGACCTGACACAAAAAATGTGACGGACAGACAGACGGATGTTCTTTCTGAGTTGACATAATGGGTTTTTTTCTTCTTGATCTCTAAAACCCCATAAGCAATGAATTTATACCAAATAAGCAACCTTCTTCCCCACAAGTACAAGTCTGTACGGATTGAACATTGATATTCACTCCATTCTGTCACTTGAGTTTCTATGGACGGACAGATGTGCACCGAACTGAGATAAAGGGCCATTTCTATTGTTATTTTCCATTGCTTAATAGAGAGCCATTGGCCCCTTCCTCTTTTGTGTCGGAATAACTCTATTTGTTCTCTTTTGTTCTGTTTACAGTTAGATAGCCCCTATCCCTATCAGTAGTGCGGGCAGACAGACAAAGCCTATTTCTTTATCCCCCTTTTCTCATCGAAAAGACAGGGGATAAAAATATACAAAGGATAAGTATTACAGACTTGGTTGTATATTAGGTAATATAGGAACTCTAACATTACAATGCAATAATAATACTTGAAGCAAGGAGTATCAATTTGTTCATCATTTAAGACATTTTAATTCTTGATTTGGAAACGAAATATATAATTTCGTCTTTTTTAATTTTCTAAAAACTAAAACTTTCTTCAAAACTAAAATATACATATGGTAGTACCTAGTCACAAGGTTATTCATACTAATAAAGCCTTTCAAGTTTAAGCACACACAAAAATAGAATTTTTAAAAGCATACTTTTCTTTTTCTTTTTAATTGAAGATGTTTCTTCTGCCATAAATGAAGCCATATCTGCATCAACTGGTAAATCATCGTCACTGAATGCTTGTTCCCCTAAACCTACTGATTCCTGTAAAAATAAAATAAGTTCAATACTTCAAGCTTTTCTATGTGTAAACAACCCCACTTCAAATTTAAGATTTTAAAATCTTTTAACAATAAAATCAAAGTGGTTTCTTCATTCGCATTTTATAAACATTATAATAAGTTTCTACCAAGCAACAGCAAAAATTCAAAATGGGACACAACAATGTTAAAATGATATACAATTGATATACACTGAGTTGCCTCCCATACTATCACAAAATTGTTGAAACCAAAACAGGAAGTTTTAAACATTCCAAGGGGATTTCCATTTGTAATAAAAAAAAGTATAATGTTACATTTATTTATATATATGTCGTCATTACAGCAACAAATAATATTTTCATAGCTTATCCTGATTCTACTACCAAGTAGCAGGTAACAAAATTTATATTAAAAGTATTAACATTTTATAATTTTGCTAAATATTAATTTCTGTCTTCAAGTGAATTGGTCTTCAATACAATGAATAGTTATGTTGACATAACAACAAACCACGAAAGTATTTATACATCAATGTTGTTGGCAAGTACCAGATAGATAATCTGAGTTTACCTATGTAGCAGTTAATTGTTTATTCTAGAGTAGAATAATAATATTATTATTATTGTTATTAATAATATTAAAATCTTCATACTGAATTATTTAGAAATTTGCCAAAATTTGTTTCAAGCAATAATTTAATTAAAATAATCCTATGATACATTTCTATAATTTTCACTACCAACTTAAGGGAGACACAGGCAAAATTTTCATTTCTTAGTTTTGAATTTTTCATTCATTATACTGTAAATGCCCTTAAAATAAATATATTAGACAGTCAAAGGAACAAAACTTTTCTCCAATTAAAGAATAAAATGGTGGTTCCCTAACTTGACCCGCTTGGGTCAGGTTAGAGCGTTTGCATTTCACAATAGTTGTCAAAGTGAACTCTAGAAACGTTTAAGAAAATGTCAAATGAATGACTTAGGCTTGTTTCAATCATACAATATCCACATTATCTGTTATTGTAACTTCAAGGGTCTGTTCAAGTCACCTGACTTGTTTTAAAACTATTTGGTGATTCTATTGGCGTCTAAATTTTGTTCAAAATATATTGATATATTTACGCTTCAAACCCAAAGTATATAGAATTTAAACAGAAATTCATGCTGAAACTTCATGAAAAGTCATTTTAGCGTGATTTGAGTACATAAGATCATTTTAATATTTTTGTCATTATTTTGCCTGAATATCCCTTTAAAACGTTTCCAAATAAATGTACCTGCCATTATTCATAACCTTTTTCATATCATATCATAAGTTATTCTAATGCATGTCTACATTTTGGTACATTAAAATTCCTGATGTTTATATTGATTGTCATCCTAGTTTGTATTTTGACACAAATATTCCAGTTACACATGTAAGCACTATAAAAATTAGAGTTCAGTAATTTGTAAATGTCACAAACTTAGACTATACATGTATAGTTGTATCATTAATTTTCAATCTCAGTTTATCTCTTGTATTATCTATTTCAGCATGTATCACATAAACGATTATTCTCATAACATATCTATGAGACTGTCAGAAGTCTTAGATGACATTGGTGTTAATGAGACAATGGTGATGAAAAGAAGAAAGATATTCATGTTGATGGAGACAATGCATACTATCCAATATAGCTTAAATGATAGAAATGATACAATATTTTACCCAGGAAGTCAGAGTGAAGGTTCAACAACATTAGGACTTCAGTCTGATGTTGATATGTTATTCTGTTTTAATGATGTCAATGTGATACAAGATTGGGCTGACTGGAAACAAGGTAAACTTAACCTTCTGATGATACAGGATAACAATACAACCCCTGGATACTGTTCCCTACAACAGTTAGAATTTGATGTACCTATACCAGCAACTGATGTAAGAGACAAATATCATATCAAAGATATAAATGGACGAGTACTTCTAACAAATGATTTATTGGAGAATGGGATACCGGAGGGAAATCAACAACATGGGCCATCTATAGCATCACAAGCGGAAGATGGATTTTATGCAAGAGACTATGTTCCAGCTTTAACTTGTGTATCATGGCCCCGTTCAGCTTTAAATTGGTTACAGCACCAGGAATCAGATAGCTGGCCAACACAAGAAATTAAACAATATGCTATTAGCAGTAGTTGTTTCGTTGTTCCTGTTGGCAGCAAAGTTAGTATGAACCCACAGATAGAATGGAGAATATCTACAACACTAGCAGAAAGATGCTTGATGTTTAATTTGAACATTACACAGTTAAGGTGCTATGTTTTAATGAAAATGATTGTGAAGTCATATCTCAATTTGAATGGTGAAAACAATTTGTCTAGTTTTATGTGTAAATCAGTTATTTTGCATTGTGTAAAGAATATTGAATCGAAAATGTGGAAAGAATGTAATTTAATCCAGTGTTTAACTATCTGTTTATTACAATTATATAACTGTTTACAGAAGGAAGAATGTCCTCACTTTATAATAAAAGAAAACAACTTGATGGCAGGACAATTTACAGCTGATGAAAAATACAATATTCTACAAACAATAAATCTTTTAGTACAAAGAGGTGGTCTTGGATTACTTGGTATTAAAATTGATGATGTTGGTCAAAGACTGAAAATAAAATTGAACATAATTCCTCAAGTCATTCATTACCCACCATCTAAACTTGACATCAGTAAATATGTGTCAGCTGGTTTATATCTTAATTTTTCAAAAAGCAAGACTGAATTTGTAACACATATCTTGAACAACACAGAATCTCTATCAATCTGTATTCAAAGATTAATGAAGTACAATAAAGAAGGAAATAAACTAGATCAGTCAGCATGCAGATTTCTGGCACCTAGATTCTTAACTACTTTGGGATCTATGTTGGCATCATCAAGTATTGGTCAATATGGATCCATATCACATCAGGCTTTAACCTGGTTCTCAACAGGCTTGAAATCAAATGATGTGGCCGACAGATTAAAACTGGCTTCAATGTTTTACTGCACTGGAGATTTTGGAAGAACTGAAATTACTTTGAGAAACATAGCACAAGAATTCAATAATGATGTTATTGTTCCCCTCTGTGGCTGCTATGATAATAGACCACCGAAGCTAAATCCTGATTTTTTAGAAACATGCAATGACCAAAATGAATCTTCTATTCAACACTATATAGCACATTGTGTGCAATTCCTGCAAAGTGAAATAAACTGTGTTCCTCCTGAACTACAATTTGAAATGTTCAGATCTACACAAGACGATTTGCTACATCATAGAAATGATGAAGAAGATTACTGGATGAACTGGGCAGTAGTGGATTCTCTCCCTTTCTTCCATGTTTTACAATACAAAGTTTACAGTCGGCTACAGAAACACCAAGATCAACAACAAGCACTGCATGATCTTATATGGATCATTGACACAAACAAAAATCTCCGGCATAAAGAAACTGACCTGAATCTTCTTGGACAACTAATGGAACAAGCAAATAGACCTCAAGATGCACTTCAATGCTACATGATGTCTCTGCAGATAAGATCAAGAAACAATGCTGCACGGTTTCATGTTTGAAGGCTACTTGCTACCCTTGCTACGAGACAATACACATGAACTTAAATAAAATGGAATGTGACAAGCTTTTGTTAATGCATGTATACACATGCAATATAAAATGAAATGGAGTATAGCATGGTGATGCCAATATTCACATGAATTTTAAAGAAATGGAATGGCCAGAAAGAATTTTAAGTCTATCTCTCCTCTGATACTAGAAATGTGTCATCATGCCACGGATGCCCCCGCAAGCAGCCAAAATTTCAGATGGCGCTTTAATTATTTTTTTCATTTTAAGTTCAAAGACCTTAAAACTTTTCAATGTTAAAAGAAACCATTTTCATACAATGTTCAAGGCACTGAAATTATTCAGTCTAAACCTTTTAAAAATAGCATATTGCATATTTGTAGCCAAAATAATGGCTAAAAGTAAGAGAGCTGAAAGTGAAAGTTCAAATTTTTCCAACATTCAGGAAAGATAAGTTTGTCTTAAATCATTGAACTACAACCCAAATTCAAACTTAAACTGCTTATTCCTAAGATGTATCTATATTATTTTCAAAGTGAAAGGACATAACTCTGCCAAAAAATCATCAAACATGACCAAATTCCAACTTGACCTGCCCATCCCTTTGACATACACACATGTCAAATTTAAGTTGAATATGGTAACACTGTTGGGTAGATAATGAAACAGAAACTGTAAATTTCATATTATTTTCAAAGTGAAAGGGGCATTACTCTGCCAAAAATCATTGAACCAAGACAAACTCTAACTTGGCTGGGCATTCCAAAAACATATCCATATGTCAAATTTGAGTTGAATGTGTTTGTACCATTGGGGAGATAATAAATGGAAACTGAAAATTTCATATTACTTTCAAAGTGAAAGGGGCATAACTCTGCCAAAAAATCATTGAACCATGACCAAATTTGAACTTGTTCTGCACATTCCTTTGACACATCCATATGTCAAGTTTGAGTTGAATGTGTTGTACCTTTGGGGAGATAATGAACGGAAACTGAAAATTTCATATTATTTTTCAAAGTAAAAGGGGCATAACTCTGCCAAAAATCATCAAAACCACGACCGAATTCGAACTTGACCTGTATTTTCTCATGACATATCCATATGTCAATTTGAGTTGAATATGTTTGTACCGTTGGGGAGATAATGAACGGAAACTGAAAATTTCATATTATTTTCAAAGTAAAAGGGGCATAACTCTGCCAAAAATCATCGAACCATGACCAAATTCGACCTTGACCTGTATTTTCTCATGACATATCCATATGTCAAGTTTGAGTTGAATGTGTTGTACCGTTAGGGAGATAATGAACGGAAACTGAAATTTCATATTATTTTCAAAGTAAAAGGGGCATAACTCTGCCAAAAATCATCGAACCATGACCAAATTCGAACTTGACCTGTATTTTCTCATGACATATCCATATGTCAAATTTGAGTTGAATGTGTGCAACCGTTCTTAAGATAATGAACGGAAACTGATGATGACGGAATGACAGAAGGACGGAAGGACGGAATGACGGAACAGGGTAACACTATATGCCTCGGCCATTACATGGCGGGGGCATAATAAAAGAAGAGGAAAGGGTACAAAAACATTTAACAACTATAATACATAGTTTTTTATAATGATACAAAGTACCTAAAATGTTCAGTCATGCTTTAATGATCCTTTTATAAAACTGCCTGTGAAATAAATTTTAGGGTATACTCAGAAGTTTAAATATACCATATAGACAATTAAACATTGCCTGCAAAAATATTTTCTTGAATTTCTAATTTAATAGGAGATGTTTAATTTTTTTATATCAAGTAACTGTTATAATATTTTATACCTATTAATTTATACTTTTATCAATTCATTGAGCTTTAATGCAATGATCTAACAAACAGCTTTAGAAGTGAAGTTCAATAAAGTTTATTTTGTGCATGAGCATCATTTGATCTTCAAATTGTCGTAAACTTCTTATTTATATAATTCTTAACATGTATATTGCTTGTTTTGTACATGTAGTTTGTCTTTTTGATTTGTTTTATATTGTAAAGTTTGGATAAGTGTTGCGTATATAGCAACTAAGAGCTGACATGTGTTTGAGACTTTCTAATTGGCTGTTAAAGACATTTTGGGGACATATAATATATATAACAATATAAAAAGTATATCCCATATGTAATAGTCTTTACAGAAGAACTTTTCAAAGATAGTTTGTAACGATTGATATTTTTCAGCCAATCTTTGTTAAATTTATTAAATTGATGAAAGTTTTTCCATGAAGAAATTTTATTTAATATTACCAATTGGAAGTTTGATCACTGTATATAAACTTTAACTTAACATACACTAATTTATCACCAATCTAATTAAACATGATCAAAATAACATTTCTACATGATAATTTGCTTAATCATGTTTCCAGTTTTCTCCTCACAAAACAATAATGATTTTCCTTATTAATATTACTTATCAAGAATCTTTTATATTAAGTTGTTTGTTAAATAATTTGAACCAGGAATAAAATTTGCAACAATTATTTATAATTTTTGTTAAAGTTTTTTCAATATCCTTCCTGACCAGCCAAAGACTATACAAGAGCTTCTTGCCACAAAGTGCACAAAACCTTGGTGTAAGTAAGTCAAGAGAGTGGATAATAATAACAAAGTGGATGATGACATTTATTTTGGAAATGTTTGGTTGAAATATGAGCACCCCATATGTTGTTAATGCTTGTCTGTTAATAACAATATCTTCATGAATATTCTAGGTCTAACAGGAACATTACTCCTAAAAATATTGCTTTCAGAATAATGCCAATTGTAAAACAACTGCTCCTTGTCATGATAATCAAGCATTCCATGTTATATGATGATAGCTTTGTTAGTTTTAGAAACATTGTAATTGCAATTTTGACAAAAAAATAGTTAAAAAAGGCCTTTTAAAGAGGCACATAGCTCAAAAATATTTCTTTCCGAATAATGTTCCTTGTCTGACAACCTTAAAATGATAAATAAGTTTTCTAAGTTTCATGTTAATACCAGTTTTGAAATCATTCTACTGAATAGACAATTTAGACAAACATTTTTCAGTTCAAAATGGGCAGAATTCCTAAACTAGGGCCAAGGTTATAAAGAAATTCTCAATGTTCAAACCCAGATCTGAGGTAATTGACTGGTCAGTAACTGTCACAGAATGTATATTGACCTGTGAAAAAAAACAACTGAGATTTGAGAGAGGACTCTGAAAAAAAGTTTCATAACCTTAAGGCCTGACCACGAGGTTATAAAACTTTTTCTGAGATTTATCTCAGATCTCAGGACATTCATTGTTCAGTGCATACTCTGAGAAAAATCAGAATTAAATATTAATGAGAACATGACTTATCATTTGAATTTGATTATCTAAGTTCTCAATATATTTTTTTTATCTACCTGCTTCTCTGATATGCCCTCTTTATTTCTATTTTTCTTTTGCCTTTCTTCAATTTTACTCTTCTTTTTCTCTTTTTTCTTCTGTAGATAATCTTCCCAAACTGTACTGTTCTTTGACTGCTTCATTTTCTTAACAATCTTTTCAGTGGCTTCTTTTAAACCTTTAAATAAATATTATAAATATATCAGTTGAGCAACAATACTTGAGAAATATAAAGATGTAATTTTTCTACTTTTTAATTGAACAAGAATAATGTCAAGAACTATCCCTTGAAATTGGTAAAATGAATTTCAAGCAATCATTTCCCCTGATTTCTTTTCTTTTCATAAGAAAGCCTATAACATTCTTGAAAATATTATCACATCTTTTTATCACACACCCGTGCCTATTTTGCCACTCCGTAAAAATGGTATTGCACGGACGTGCATATATTTTGACGTCATTAGCGTTATACAAACATAGTGTAAAGACGCGCTAAATGTGAGCGTTATACTATAGGCGCGTCAATGAAAAATGACTCTTATTTCACTTTAAACGGTCTTTATTTTGGGTATGTGATAAATAGAATATTAAATTCGTGTAAGTTCATTACTTAATTTATTGCACTCGTTGAATGAAATAATATTATGCTCGCATAATATAATTTTATTCAACTCGTGCAATAAATTCAGTATTGAACTAACACTCATTCAATATCCTCTATATATAGAAATTAATTGTTTTAAAAAGTAGAACAATAAATAAATGCATATAACAATTAAGGCATGAGGACGAGGTAAACAAAAACCATTTCGTGCTTGTCTGGGCTGAATTTCACACTTCATACTAAACAGGTTATATGGAGACTTTCTGTTGCCTCTCTCAGTTATAATTCAGAGACCAGCAGTATTTAGCTTGCTTGATAGCTTCCTCAAATGAAATAATTCAAAGTCCTTGTTGGGACGGTGAGGGGGAAGTAAATCAAAGTTGGCCATGGTGGCCCCCAATACAATTGTATCATAACAAATAGAAGTAGTCTAAGGATATCCGATCAACTAAATTGACTGCAATGCCTTTACAAATGGCTGTAAAATTAATAATTGCTTTGCCAAAAATATGCTGTAAGCTGTCAGAATAAAAGTGTAAAAATACTTTACCTGGTTCCCAGCTTATTTCCATTTCAACATCATGTTTCTTCTTGTTTTCCTGAGAATTAAGGTCAGTAAGAAGCTTCTTGTATTTATCCAAGTTTTTATCATCATCAGAGTCATCGCCACTGTCTCCATCATCCTCATTGTTTCCAATTATTGCACCATAATCAGTGCCTTTAATAAAATGAAAATATTATAATAAATCTTAATAAAAAATATTTAACAATGTGTATCACTCTGATTTTGATTATTGTTTAACAAATCCATCCTTTGAACTGTAAAATATCCAAGATAATGTCAACCATATTTAGGCTTTTAACTTTAATACAATCTGAATCATTTTAAGGCTTGTTTTACATATACTCATGATAAGAAAAGTCTCTTTCTACTGCCTTATAAGTAACACACCTCTGGTAAAAAAAATCAAGCTTTATTAAAAAATATGTGAAAGATGGCCAATAACCTCAAATGTCTGAGATCAATTGTCATAGAGAAATTTCGTCTTGCGTGAGGATTGCACCAGCAATACCTAGATTACAATCAGATGCACTCCCTATAAATATAAGCAGGCTTACTAGAGGGTTTCAGTCTTCACGAAAAACTTTTAAAAGCACAGGACATTCGGGCCAGTAAAATTTCAAATCTTACTGCCCGGACCTGTTGATTTTTAGCCGGAACAAATACATAGATAGGTAATAAATTGATTGGTAAACGAAAAAACTTTATCATGCTTCCCTTGATAATTTTGAAAGAAGCATAATACTTCTTGTATTCTGGGCCATATGTTGATAGCTTTGAAAAATCTAAAGGACCAAATGTTTAGACAAAATTGACTAGAATTGAACATGAACAATGCAATTTGCTTCAAACAAATCACTTTCACACAAAATATTTACTTAACTCAATAATCACAAAATCATAGCTAAATAATAAACAATGGTTTAATTTCGTAAGTGTACGGTGCGGTACGGAAAATATCCAAGAAAAAATGGCGGCCTCCATTACTCAATACAATTTAGACATCTTTCGCTGTGTTTTGAACATTTAGGACAGAATTGATGGGTTTCATTTGCAAAAAAGGCAAAAAGATCAATCTTTTAGAGAACCCTGCTTCATTATTTTGATACAATAATTTTTCATGGCCAAAAATCTACTGGCCCGTTGGACCACCAACCTTGCAATAATCACCGGACCGATGCTAAATTTAGTGGACTCGGGCCTAGGACTGGCGTTTATTTCGAAGACTGGGGTTTGAAGGATGTTGGACTTTTCAATCATTCTCCATGAACAGACTTAATCGGACCAAGTATGCAGTCTTCATGTACTTCTGTTGTTTCCATTTTCCAAAAAATCTCCCCATATGCAGATTTGAATTTATTATTTTTTAACCTTCTAGTTACAGAGTGATGGGTATTATTTGCATATGTTGACACATTATCTCATTTCTAAAGGAAGTGAGTACCCTATGACTCACACAAATCATTTAAAAGTTCACACGATGATAACATTCATAATTTTGAACAATTTCTTTTCATAGCAATTAAGTGTAAAATAAAGGCTGCTGTAATTTACAATGGTTCATTTCAGTGTTTGAAATTTTTTATAATAATTATGATTCATACATGACAGCAACTTTATTCACACCCTACAAAATATAACCAATGCACTTAAACATTTGCATCATGTGATGTTCCAATAGAAATCATTGGTGTACTGTGTACTTGTCCAATAGAATTCAGTATTGTACTCAACAATGAATAATAACCTCATGATCTTCATCAAGAATATGTAAGATAACCATTTTATACATGTATATTACCTTCTTCATCTGAGCTTGAAGCCAAATAAGCCTTGAGATCTTCTTCCTCAACCTCTTTAGCATTATTGGTAAACTGCTGAGATGTTAATTGCACTCGTTCACGATCTGTCTCGTCCCATGTTAAATCTACCTGTTACAAAACAGTTAATAGAAATCAAACGGTTTTTTTTGTCCAATTTAGAACATATATGTTTGTTCAAATTGGATAAGAAGTAACATTAAAGGAGCTTCACTGAGATCCAAAAGCCTAAAAGATATATTTTTAATTTCTATCATGCTTTTCAATTTTTGGCCATTTTTCACAATTAAAATTAATTTTTCTGGAAATACAGAGTGAGCGGATGATCTGATATTCTGCACACACCTTGATGGTATATACCTTTAGTAAATGAAAAATTAACTTTGAAAAAAATATTTCTAGTCCTATCATGTCAAACAAGAGCTGTCAGTAGGACAGCAACGCTCGACTATTCTTAGTGCTTGATAGTAAAAGAGCCTTGATAATGTAAAATTTTCAGAGTTAATAACAAAAGGACAAAATTTTTCTTTAAATCCATGTTAAAGTTATAGGCCTTGGACAGAGTCCTATTATGTTCTCAAAGTATAAAATATCAACTTGTTTCAATAGAATATGAAAATATCTGAGGTGGAATAGAAACCTAAAAGTAAATTCTAAGTTGAAAAAGGGGTATAATTCTGTCAAAATGCTTGATACAGTTACCTCCTCCTGTCTACAGGTTGGAGTTATAATGGTGAACAAGTGTGCAAAGTTTCAAAGCCATATGTCAATGGACTTTGAAAATATTTGAGGTATTACAAAAACTTAAAACATAAATTCTAAGTCGAAAAAGGGGCATAATTCTGTCAAAATGCTGGATACAGTTACCTCCTCCTGTCTACAGGTTGGGGTCATGATGGTGAACATGTGTGCAAAGTTTCAAAGCCATATGTCAATGGACTTTGAAAATATTTGAGATATTACAAAAACTTTAACATAAATTCTAAGTCAAAAAGGGGCATAATTCTGTCAATATTGTAGGCAGAGTTATCCAACTTGTCAATCTGATGTACCTTGTTACTATAAATAAGTATTGTAAGTTTCAATTGAATATCTCAAGCAATAATTGAGATAATTGACTTTACAAAAAACTTTAACCAAAATTTCTAAGTTAAAAAGGGGCATAATTCTGTCAATATTGTAGGTAGAGTTATCCAACTTGTCAATCTGATGTACCTAGTTACTATAAATAAGTATTGTAAGTTTCAATTGAATATCTCAAGCAATAATTGAGATATTTGACTTTACAAAAAACTTTAACCAACGCAGACGCCGACGCGGACGCTGACGCCGACGCCGGGGCGACTACAATAGCTCTCATATTCTTCGAATAGTCGAGCTAAAAACCTTGGTGGAGTCCCTTTAACTTTCTGACTGCACAAATACAGTCTATTCATAATGCAAGGTGAAGTTTATCAAACCTATTCTAGTATCATCCAATTTCCATTATGACCATGTTTTGTGTTTGTCTGTTTTTTTATGCCAATGTTAACACATTTTTGGTCATTCACAGTGGTCGGTCTAATCAGTAATTACCAATTTCCCTACAAGTGACCAACTACCATTCTAACATAATCTTTAAATCAGCAGTGCAGACGAATACCCATTAGACTCGGTGTCTGAGATGAATTGTCAAAGAGAATTTTCACCTTGCCAAAGGATCAAACTAGCAAAACCCTGGATAACAAATCAGATGCTCTCCATGTTGAGCCAAGCAGGCAGAGTCTTATCATGTAGCATAGAGTAAACATGCTTTTACTGACAGAGATATATACCTTAGACTGTGAAAGTGCTGCATTGAAGAAGAACTGGGGTTTATAATTGGATGGAATCTCCATACAAGCACTGCTCACATCATTCTCTTCAAATGTTTCTTCATCTGGTATAAATCTATACGCATAAAATATATAAGAAAATCTCATTTATATTTCAGACACTTTAAAATGTTGCATGCACTTCCGTGTCTCACAGATCTGTAATTGGTTTGCACATGTATAAATAAGAACAACAAAATAAAATAAATACAGTCCTTGGACAACTTTTGACAGCATCATCATTATTACACGAGCCATGTCAACATGGCCATCCCCCGCCGAATGTGTTTGCTCATTGGAAGAATGTATATGTAGTAGAGCGGAATAATTCCATTTTAAGAGGTCTTTTGGTAATGAAAACTGATGGCTATAGTGATTACAGATTTGAAACCTATGTGAATACTGATGGCTGAAAATAACAAAGGGCAATTACTGAAAAATAATGCAGGGTCACAAGTTATCATTCTTGTGTGCTGCATCCCTCCTTAGTAAAATCTATCCACCTATGAAGTTTCAAGTTGATACCTCAAATACTTTTTGAGAAAAAAATTGAATTGAAAAATTAAGTATGAAAAAGAACAAAGGGCAATAACTCAAAAATTATAAAAGGTAGAGTCATCATTCTTGTGCAGTGCACACCTCCTGAGTGATTTCTATCCACCTATGAAGTTTCATTTTGATATCTCAAAGGTTTTTTGAGTTATGCTCTGGACAAAAATTAATTTTGAAAAATAACAAAGGGCAATAACTCAAAAATAATGCAGGGTAGAGTTATCATTCTTAAGCACTGCACTCCTCCTCAATGAGATCCATCAATCTATGAAGTTTCAAGTTGATACCTCAAATACTTTTTCTCTGGACAAAATAGCATAAAAAAAAACAAAGGGCAATAACTCAAAAATTGTATAGGGAAGAGTTATCATTCTTGCGCACAACATTCCTCCTCAATAAGATCTATCCACCTATGACATTTCATGTTGATATCTCAAACACTTTTTGAGTTATGCTCCACTCAGGTGAAAAATTAGGTATGAAAAATAACAAAGGGCAATAACTCAAAAATTATGAAAGGTAGAGTTATCATTCTTGTGTACTGCACACCTCCTGAGTGAGATCTATGCACCTATGAAGTTTCATGTTAATATCTCATAGGCTTTTGGAGTTATGCTCTGGACAAAAATCAATTTTGAAAAATAACAAAGGGCAATAACTCAAAAATCATGCAAGGTAGAGTTATTATTCTTGTGCACTGCACTCCTCCTCAATGAGGTCTATCCACCTATGAAGTTTCAAGTTGATAACTCAAATACTTTTAGAGATATGCTCCGGACAAAAATGTCGGACGGAAGGACGGACGGAAGGTCGGACGGAAGGTCAGACGGACGGAGACTATTTCTATATCCTCCGCCGAAATTTTTCGGCGGGGGATAAAAAGGATTTTCACCGCATTTAAACAACAAACAACAGAGACAAATATCACCTTAGAGAAACCAGGTAAACATCATCCTTAAAAGTCGTGGCATAGCTGTATTGTATCTTCTTTCATTTATTTTAATTGAACCTCAAATTCATCAAAATACATTGTTATAACTGATAAATATTTTTTCAGACATTTCAATATGTAAACATTTACCTGAGGTCTAGTTTAGTTGCACTTGATTCATATTCTAAACCATCACATTCCTTATATATATGATCAGCAGTTTCTATAGAATCACACTCTATAACAGCGTAATAATACTTCAATCTATTCAGCTGGTACTGACGTAATTTCTCCCTGTGGTATATTGTACCTAGAAATGCATAATAAGTAAGATATTTATATATCTAAATAATTAAAGTTTTTACTCATGTTTTCTTGAAAATAATTGTAACAAAAACATTATTTTCATCATATTTGAATTATAGACAGAAGAAGAAGTGGCATGAATATTATGTCAACTTTCAAACTAAACTGGTGGGAGGAATCCTAAAGTGTCATTCCATGAACATTATTGTTTAAAACCAGCAAAGAAAGTAAAACACTAATCTGAGATAAGCTAATGGAAACTTTGATCATACAAAAGAATTCCAAATCTATAGTGGACTTAAGACATATGATAGAGTGATAATGATAAATATCTTTAACTTTTGTCACAGTTTCTGTACCTTCTTCATTAGCTACATCATCATCTTCATCAGAACTGTCAATATTTAATTCTTTCAGTTCTTTAGGCCCATGTTTCACCTCTTCTGCCATTCTTTCCTTACCATACTCTGATGGGTATACCTTATAAAACAATTATGCACTTTTCATACAATTACATCTATTTTATTACAAAATATCTAGTAATCAATCAAATTTTGATAGATGCAATATGTACCTTAAATCAAGCTAAAACTTGTATATGAAAATAGTTACCAAAAAACAAAAATAGACAAAGACTAAATCTTAAATGTGTACCACATACTTTGACAGACTTGATAATTCCATTAGAAGGTTTGAAAGAGTTCAGGAGCACAAAGATATCCTTGGCTTTCATTCTATCCCAGTCCATATTACACACTGCCAGACGATATGTAGCCTCTTCCATAGATATAACAGTATCATCTGTTTCTCCCCATTTATGATCAAACTCTGCAACAACATATCATATAATGTATTATAATACTGCACAGCCTTACAGTTGATTGTCATTGGATAATTCTAATGTTATATTACAAGTAATTCTACTTACTCTGCGTAAATCTTTTTCCCACTTTTACACAAAGAAAGAAATTGTCATAACTTCTAATGAAAAATACAATTATATTCTCTCTAATTTAAATTAAAATATTTCAACTTACTAGATTTATTTTATAAATTAAATATATACAGAAAATACGAAATCAAGCACTTACTTGAAACATCCTTGTCATCAATTTCACCACCCCTCTCATTATCATTACCATCATCATCATCGTCATCATCGCTAGAGCTACTGTAGACATTTCCTTCACCTCTTGCAAAGTCTACACCACTATCATTCCCTTTAATGTACATGTACATAATTCATTATTTCAATTCAAATAAATACTGATAATAGTCATATAATTACATTATAGCAGACCTCTTCCGAGCATTATTTCTGCTACAAACTGGATTCTGCATGCCTTCTGTAAGCTTGACATATAGCGTGTTCAAATAAAAGAATCTTTAGTCCTACTTCAATGAGTTCTGAACTCAAAGCAATTAAAATTTAGTAACTTTAAGACAACAAACTTAACAAACATTGTTTGAAAAATCTAGCAGACAATTTCTCTGCTTCTACAACAATTACTTCTGTCAAATAAGACTAAAATCTATACCTGAAATATTAAGGTATCTTTCTGGTATATATTTAAATGGAATTTTAGCAAAGTGAAAGTACAAAGGCAAGGTTGTTATTGCTAATACCTACCCACTGTCTTTCTCTCCTCAATATCAGAATCTTCATCTGAAGAATTGTCTTCAGAACCCTCCTCTGAGTCATCATCTGATTCATCATCAATGTCTTCAGAAATCCTCTTCTTCCCTTTGTCTTTATTGACTTTATTTGCAGTATTGAGAAATTTTGACTGGACTTTTGATTTGATAATTCCTTTACCTGTATCTGTTCTCTTACTATCTGAACCAATGTCACTATCTGAGTCAGATACATTTTCACCTACATTAGAAATATTCTTGCTTTTCAACGAGACTTTCTTCACAGATTTTTTGTTGAGAGCCTTTTTACCACTATCAACCTCTTTAGTAGTCCTTTTCTTTACCCTTGGTGCATCTTGAACTTTATTACTGTGTTTATCTAGGTCAGTATCATTTGAATTGTCATCAATGTTTTCATCACTGTCAGAACTTTCTTCATCTGACAACTCATAATATTTCTTAAGGTGTTCATCAGTTGTGAGATTGACTGGCTTGCCTCTTTTATCTACAGAATATTTCAGCTTAAATCTTTTATCCTTAAACATTCCTTTAAACCTATCATCAATCTTGACCTTTCTCTGTCCCACTGGCATTTTACGAAACCTCGGATCTTTGGTCACATGTGCAAACCTTTTGTCCTTTGATATGTCATCCATCTTTGCTTTGTTAAGCTGTGATTTTCACAATACAATGTACCTTAAACAAAAGAAACAGTACAATTAGCTTTAAACTAGGCTTTTCTATTCTTCAGAATTTGACAATGTTTACATCTTTGATTGTACCGATTCCAATCCCTGCTTTCTTGAAGTATTAACTAAAATTAATAAACTAAACAAATAACTGTTGCAGAATCCTACATGTATAGATGACCATGTTAGAGTAATTCTAAAATGTTATAAAGCGAACCATTTTTGTGAAGTCAATTTTTTATTCTCTAAATTTGTCATATGAATTATAAATACAAAATGTCTAATTTTAATGATATATAGCATGGTATCTCCATTGTCCAAAATATTAGATATAATGCACTTGTTATAGTTTATTTTGGGATGCTGAACTTCTGAACAACTATCTACAACTGACAAGTACATGTATGTGGCACCAACAGTTTACAGAATCTGATTGGTTCTGTTTTAGTTCTTTAAACTTTTAGTTTATATTCACTTAGCTGACAGTGTATTAGCAAACTATTTGTTCAAAAATACACAATATATTTCTTTTATTGGGAGAAAACAATTTAAATTTTGCTTAAAACACCCACAGATCCAAAAGAAAATTGCCTTTTCAATTAACAACGAACATCTGGCTAATGACAAGACTTGAAGTTAATTACTCTTGAACTTGCATTATACGATTTACAGACAGTTCATCTCTCAGACATTTCACAGCAAGCCAATTTTTTCAGACACTTCAACCCCCTCCCCCATCCAGTTTTTGTTTCATATAATGAAGGTGAAACGTGTGAGATGTAATCAAATTATGGTGATATATAAATATTCATTGTTTTAATATATTTTTGACTGAATAAAATGTATACCTTACAAAATACAAATATTGTTATATTTCTCTGTACATTTGTTAGATTGTTTAAGTTTAAAAATGTAAAAATGCTTATAGTTATATTGATTTTAAATGTCCTTGCCATATAGTGTATGCATGTAAATGTTCAACTTGAAACTCTTGTAGTTTTTATTTTTCGAAAAAAAAAAAAGTTACCACCTTGACCTTGGCGTAATTGATGTTTTACAATTAAATAAGCAATTTTAATGACGGTATTAATATTTTGATACTTTAAATGGTAAACGATATTAATATAATTGTTTTATCGTAAAATGCACAAGAATCGATTGGGACATGGGTATTTGTAAGTGAAAAATAATTAAGGTCAAATCAACTTATGTTATTCTGGTTAGGTTTCGTAACTAATGGGTCTAATCCAAAATGCCGCATCAGATGAAAAACAAAAATGCTAATTGGCGGCTTATAAAGCTTTGGAAGCCAGAACTACATTTATCCTAGTCCCAATATTTTGACTGCAAGACCGATCGCTTTTACAAACTTACATACCTAGATGTTGATCTTTACCAAGGTCGACCATTAAATATAATATAAAGCCCTGGCGCACAAAAAGTTGGGCTAGATCTACAGTACAGTTATTTAAAAGTTAACCTGTTAACCATACAGGCTATCAGATACTGTTTCAGTGTTTATTCTAGGATTCGAAAAATAGGGGGGATTTTTATCGAATAGTGAGAGATTATTACATTTGTTGATCTTTTTCCTTCTTTGTCTATGTAAAATTTTCCCCCTCCCTCTCAAAAAATAGGGGTGAATTCTCAAAAATATGGGTGAATCCCCCCATCGCCCCTCCTAGAATAGACACTGTGTTTAACAGTGTTTGATTTAAACTAGCATCTTAATACAAGGAGAATGAACTTACTAAATATCAGAAACTCGTGAAAATGATAAACAGCCTTTTTAATTCGTCTAAGACGTGTCAACTGCAATAAAATAAATTACCTTGATAGTTTACAAAATACCGGAAACAGCATGTTGCTGTCAAACATTTCGCCCTAAAGAAATTTCGATCTGATTCGACAATTTTTCATTAGTTCAATAATAATTTCTGAAACAAGGAATGTAAGAAAACTTTAATTCTTAAAAAAAATAAAACTGTTTTGAATACCTGATTACATTTAATTGCATCTATTTTATTTCTATTCTATACATATTTAAACTGAAAAAGAAGTTTACATTGGTTCGAATATTATTGGGTCGATAATCCTGATACGTTTGTTTTTTATCATTGCTCAACAGCGCGTTAAATGAATTAATCGAACAACAATCAACAGTTGCCGCATGCCACAACTATATACAGACGATTTTTTTTTATCTATTTTATTTTTACAACAACATAGATCACAGTTACATAATAAGATATACATATATATAAAATAACAGTTTAACAAATTAAAATATCATTTCATATAAAAAGTAAATTAAATAAATTATGTTAATGACTAAAATCAGATGAGGCATTGGATAAAATTATCAAAAAAAAAAAAAAATCACGGTTCAGATTAAGACTACAACAAGTCAGAATTATAATTAGCACAGAATATTGTTTAAAGTTACTGATAGACATGATATATAAAAACTAAATAGTTAAACCTAGATTTTAAAAGAAAATAAATAAATGATAATAATAAAATTTCAATACAATGGTTTTGTTTAAGAGTGTCTTTGGTTACAAGGATATCCCATTTACATGTAGCTGGTGTGCTTATTTCCAATGGGGTCCTGTTAACCAAATAGATGGAAACAAGATGAAACCTGGGAGACATTCATTTGTCAAATAAAAATAGACAATGAAAAAAACTACAAATTAATCTTAGAATCTTATTATCACAGTAGTTTTGCATTATCACAGAAAAAACGACGTTGATATTGAATTAATAATGCAAATATTAACAGGCCTTCGAAAACGTTGAATAGACTTTCCCCAAAAATTATTGATTATATTTAAATGGAAAATAAATCATTCCAATTAAATAAAATTCTCTTATTCTTGAAAGAATTATAATATTTTGAGAACATATTTTAGACTGCTTTTCTAGAAGATACATATATTTTTGTATTTTCTGATCGCAGATTAAGAAATAGAATGCTAACATTAAATTTCTTCACGACAAACATAGCAACAAGTAGTTCTCAAAACAGCTTTTAAAAAACTTGCGATGTAAAAGAAAGAAATATTTTTATTTTGTTACAAGTATCTAACAAATTACAACGCATTCAAGGTATGAAATTTTAAGTAGCATTGACTTATAGAATTGTCAGTAAATGCACAATCACAAATTACGCAGATGAATATCATTTTAATCAATGAAAATGCTATTTTTAGCGATCGATTACCGAACTTCAGAGCGACTTCACAGATCTGCAAGGATAAAGTGGCTGTCACAAAAAAGGAACATAAATGATTTTTGATGCCACTCTAGTCATGCAAAATTCCGTATAAATGAAACTCAAACTGTTATAGTAAAATCGCTGCATCCTGGTGCCCTGCAAGATGAATTATAGTATATGAAAATAAACTTGTACAGAAAAATACATACAGATATACAGTACGATTAAGATTGCAAAGATCAGAAAATACCACAGAGCCTGCAGTCCTTTGATTTATATAAATACGTATACGGGTTCGGATGCATATAAAACTTAAATCTATAAAAGTTCCTGATATGTATAAGCAGTTTGAATGAATGAATGAATGAATGAATGAATGAATGAATGAATGAATGAATGAATGAATGAATGAATGAATGAATGTGAATGTGAATGTGAATGTGAATGTGAATGAATGAATGAATGAATGAACGAACTTCGAATCAAAAGCAAATAACTTGAAATGGGAAAGGAATGCCTGAAAACCTGAATGGAAAAGAACATTTACATGGATAGAAAAAAATGAAAAAGATGGAAATTTGCTTGCTATTTGAGCTTGCTGCAAGGCTTCAAAACGGAGAAATTCAATGGCAACATATGGCTCACCAAATCTACAGGTAATTTTTTTGTTGCTTCATATTTAGTACTACAAATGTAAATTATAAAAATGTGGCTGTTAATGCCTTTTCAGATTTTTATCAAACTATAAGTTGAAATTAAAGAAAGCTGCATTAATTTGCGAAAACTGAAAGCTAGTAGATGTATACCATTATTAATGAAATAATTCATAGATAATTATATTGAAGCTATCATTTTGGAGCAACTGTTAGTTTTAATTGGAGGATATATTTTAGCTATATGCTTAAAACCATATTCATCTTCAAATGTACATGAAAAAGTTGGAGTCTCTTGTACATATGTATGTTGGCGTTTTCAATCCGTCGTCGAATGCTGACAAGCATTGTATCATAAATAATAATCTTTATTTATAGAAGGTAACATACAAAGTTTACACAGTAAGAAGTATACTTATTTTCAGTATATGGCCTTCTAAATTAACAATAACAAAGAAAAAATGTAGATCTATACAAAATTTAAAATATGTTTGTATAAACAAAACAAAATATATATATATTCTGGAATGTAAAGGTTACATATTATTATTCATTCATCCGACTGACACTCATATTAATTATAGTAATTATAGATAAATTGTGATGATTTTAATAAGATAATGGCAAAAAGGATGATATCAACATTTACAACAATCAAAATATAAAGTGGTCAATTTTCATCATGTATCTAACTGTAAACTAAGAAAATAAATTTTACAGTTGTTTTTGAAAGATTGTAAAGTCGAACATTGTTTGATAGTAATAGGTAATTTATTGACAAACCACTTCTAAAATTCTTTACATGTATACACTTTAATCACTATGTAACAATTTTGTAAAATTTAGCTGACTAGCTTGTAATGACACGGGTAGGCCATTCAACATTTGAATACTTCTGGGATAAAATAAATAGGAGTGCTATTGTGTCTTTGGGTATTGTATTAGGTACATATAGTTCAGGTTTCTGGTGGGTGTCAGATAGTAACGGTCAACCCTTACAAGATTGTGTTGGATTTTGTAGAGTAGGGTAACATAGTTTGCTAATTAAAATCATTTACAATTTTAGATATACTACTGGAGTATTTGTAGTCATTATAAATGTTTCAAGCAACTGATCTTTAAAACTTGTTCTAATTAATTTGTAAACCAGATATTTTTGCTAAGGATGCTAGTTCTCATCTATGGGTTGAATATTGTTCCATTTGATATTTCTATAAATAATCAAGCACGCCGATCTGCAATTATTTTGTTATTTTCATAACGAGTGATATTTTAAAATCATTTAACTGCAAATGGAGGCTATTTTTCACGAAAAGGTTATTAAATGATTTTCCTAACATTCTACCGCCAATTGTTGATGATAACTGTCTTCTTTTAAGTGATTTTTTTATAACTGCTGAGCAGATGTATTTTCGGATAATCAGTATTTCGGATATGTTTTGAATTAATAATACAGTACTGTAGAGTGTAATTTAAAGTTCTATTAGTACATTATATAAATTGCCTGATTTTTGGCACAGGATATAGTAACAGTAACTAAGATGACAAGAATAAACCCAGCCCTCAAGTCCTGAAAAAAAGTATTTGCTAAATCACTTGAACAGGTCTAGTATATATCTAGTCCTAATTATAAGACCTATACGTAACCTATTTCATATTTATCATTCATTAATCTGATATTTTACATTTTTCATTATCCATGTTACGTTAGGTCTTAACAGATCTTTGCAAAATCGTGTAGCAAAAAAATTGACATTAGACATCGATTTAGATCTAATGAATTAAAACAGCGTGTATTCACATTAATTTTGACCTATTTATGAACAAAACTAAAAAATAAATACCTTTTAACAAAATAATTGAACTGTCACATCCGAAAAGTCATGATTAAATCCTCTCATTTAATTAAATTCCTTGTACAGCCAATATACAAATGGCCGCCATACAGTGCGCGAAATCTGCTTGGCTAATTCAAATGCAAGCGTTTAAATGAGTCCAGAAGTTTCTAACAGAATATTTTTTCAACGAAATAATTGCCCATGCACCATCAGTGTGTTCGAATATATTTTTCCGTTCAAAAAATTGGAATCAATCTGTAAAACACTTTACTTAACCAGTATGGCCGATGAGCGAAATAGACTGATATGTATATTTTATTTTCAATTGATAAGTACATTGTTTGAAAGTTTTTGTTAATGATAGACCATGCATTTGAAAGAACAGAAGATAAGCTTTTGAATAAAGCTTGAAAGGCAAGTCAACAGACATTTTTTTTTTAATTTTCAAAATGCTACGCGTTTTTGAGCAATAACTATTAGACGTCAGGCTTGACCAACATAAAACTATAACAAGCCTGTAACGTCTAATCTATTGGACTAGTATATATCACCAAATAAGTGCATGAAGCACCAGTATGTGTATGATGCAGTAATTGGTGTATTTTGTGATGCACCAATTGATGTACCAGACTATCATTCAAATTTTTGAAGACCCATTATTTTGATAATATAGCAGTGTGAATAGTGGCACCGCACTTACTATAGATAATATTCATAGAAATATCTTAAAACTAAAGATATTGGTGTAAACACTGGCAATTCTTGCACTTTTTAAAAAAAAAATCTGCATGATACACTAATAACCAAAAATTGGAAGTGGTTATTATTTTACTTTCCAGTCAAGAGACAATTTTAAGACTGAGTATACCTGATCAGAATAATAACTAGATATGAAATATGGAAATGAATTTATGTCTGAAAGTTACAATTTTTCAGTGGATGAAAACATTAAAATCTCCTGGAGTTCATGTAGATCAGAAGTTATGTTTCTTCTTTGTCAATAAAACAGACTATTACCAATGTTATGTGCAGGTGCCAAAACATGATTATAAATAAACCATTAATTATTTACAGAAACGCAATTATCAAAATTTTTATTCACAAATCAGTGTATCACTATGATTAAATACATCAATTTGTGTATTATATACCAATATGTGCATCATGCACCTGCGATATACTAGACCTGTTGAATGATTCCTGCTTAAGTACTATTAAAGAATTGACTAGGTGTATTTACCTGTCCAGTTAGCCAAAACTTTTTCTTAGTAATATGTTTACCCTAGATATATCTGTCTTCTAGCACAAAATGATAGTCCCAGTAACTTGCATAAATATTACATTCTAAGTACATGAAGTCCCATTGATAAACTTGAGTACACAGTATTTGAAATCTGCTTTATTTGCCTAGCACAAAAAATGTGCCAGTGCTTCTGAATGATATTAACTATAAGATATTCAACAATATAAAATCCCCCCCTAATTTTGTTGTGAAGTATTTAAACTAATATTATAAACCCATTGCAATAAGAAGCTTCTTATTTTTACAAGGCTTATATTTCAGGGACATTCGTCTTAGAAATAACATGTGGAGCTTGTAAACAAGGGTATTTTGATAGAGAAAGTGCATAAATGATACAAAAAATCTAATTTTATTCATACAAAATTACCAAAATCATTGGCTGTTGAGGAATGGAAATTATGAAACTGTTGCTGATTTTGGGGGTCCTTAATGGGATATACGCTGATTTTTTGAGTCCTTGGGATAAACCCCTGGTGGAAAATGTTCTGCAACCAAAAACCTGCATCAGAAAGACAGAAAACCTTTGTAACTTAAGTGGAAACCCTGTCACCAAATATATACATAAAATGCACAATTTTATATAAAAAGAAACTTGTTGGTGAGAAGTCTGAAATGGCTATTGTAATAGAGTGACTCAAGACTACCATGGTAATTTGATATTAAATTCTTTTTCTTCTTTCAGCAAGAAGGATCACTATGTGCTCAGCATTGTCTGAATGCACTGCTTCAAGGTCCATATTTCTCTGCTGTAGATCTAGCAGACATTGGTAGACAGCTAGATGAGTCAGAAAGACAGCAAATGGCAGAGGGGGGTACAGAAACAGAGGGGTATCAGCATTTTATAAAGGTACACATAACACAATGACTGACTTTTAACATTTTTTATGAAGCAGCTTTATTTTTCCAGCTTCTGTGGTTTCTTCTATGTAATACAGTCTAACCTGTGTTAAAGACCATCTGTGAATAGTGTAAAAAGCAAAATTGTCATGTTTTGTAATTGTTTTTATCATTTGTTTATCCTATAAAATATTAATAAATTGTAAAAAAAAGCAGCATACATGTATGTTAAGTTGTGGAATGATATCTAGCATCAAAATTGCACACAGGCACACAACAATGACAATTTAAACATTAGACATTCAAGCAATATGTTTTACAAGATAAGAGTATTCAGTGTGTTTACTTAATAACATTCATGACAATTAAGCCTCATTCTAGTTCTGGAATGCCAGGTATACATGTACATATAATTTGAATAGGGGCTATTACTGTATAATGCTCAAATTTGGGCTTTTGGTCTTAATAAGTCGTTATATAACCGTGATATAAATTGAGGTTCTGACATAAAACCCTCATCATCATATTATTTGAAATAAGTAAATAATATTGTTTTAGAAAATATTTTTGTTCACCTGTAACTATGTGAATGTATAAAACATGATAAAGCACAAGTTATAAAGATGCAGTCTTGTGATCAATTAAAAATAAGATTTTTTTTCATGAAGCTATGATTGGCTAATGTTAGTAGTCCACATTTATTTAGATACTGAAATTCTACATGACATAATCATTGCTGAGTAAACTTTAATTTGGACTCAATTTTTCTGGTGAACTTGACTTTTCTTGGATATATTGGGATTTGGCAAATGACTTCTCTCTGATATATCGGGAGAGCGAAATTGTTATACACAGAAAGGTTTTGCCAGAACAACCCTCCTGGATGAGCCACGACAGTTAAAATAGGGTGCCATATAATGGGATGGCAGTATTAATAAATAATATGCATGTGTTATTCTAAACTTACATAACTTTCATGTACATGTATCAGTGCTCCAATGAGATATTTAACAGGTGTCCTGTTTTGTTTTTTTACAGCAACCGTCCAATAATTTTGATGACAGCGGGTTCTTTTCTGTACAAGTGATAGATAAAGCATTAAGTGTGATGGGACTGGAGCTTATATCATATACCTCACAAAACTACATAGCGAAGGAGGCTCGTGCTGATCCAACGTAAGTACATGTTTGGTTTATATTTTTACATAGACCATTCATATTGAAGCACACTTATGTATCTAAATGGACTGTAACTATTCCATAAATTGTTGTTCAGATGAATTATTCCTGCAGATGTTTTTAAATTTTCACTTTAAAATATACTCAACAAAATAAAATAGGGGTCATACAAATTATATGCATATTTAATATGAACATATTATTTTACATTTGTTGAAGTTTATACATTAGTAAATCCATTATCTACTGACACATTTCGATGCAAAAACAAAAGTATTCCATTTAATCCATGACTTAGGTTCACGGTGTCCAAAATGTCTTTAATTAAGGTTATGGGTGGGGTAAAAGATTTTAAAGTGTCAAGTTTCTGTCGTAGAAATTGCCTCAATAGTGAGTGTGACCTCCCCTAGCCCTGATCAATTCCTGAATACGGGTTGGAAAGCTCCTGATAAGTGTACGGATGTCAGCAAGTGGTACCAGTGCCCATTCCTGAACAAGAGCGTTGGCGAGCTCAATTCTTGTTGACGGTTGTGGAATCCGGGCTTTAACTCGCCTCTGCAGAATGTCCCATGCATGTTCCAAAGGATTAAAGTCTGGAGACCGTGCTGGCCAGTACATCCGCTCGATTCCTTGTTCATCGAGAAAAGCGTTTACGATTCTGGCGCGGTGTGCAGTGGCATTATCGTCCATAAGAATAAATTCCTGACCTACAGCACCAGCGTAAGGAACAACATATTGTGCGAGTATCTCATCCCTATAACGTTGACCGGTAACAGAGCCATTCATAAACACATGTAGGTCCGTGCGCCCATCGTAAGAGATGCCAGCCCAAACCATAACTGAGCCGCTTCCCCATTGGTCATGTTCAACTATACAACAGTCTCTAAAACGCTCATTACGTTGCCGCCAGACATGTCGCCGACCATCATGGAAGTCCAAGCAGAATTTTGATTCATCTGTGAACAAAATGTGTCTAAACTGACGCAGCCTCAAATTCTGGTGATCACGTGCAAACGCCAATCGATTAACACGATGTCTTGGAGTGAGTGGTACACGTACAGTTGGCCTCCGAGCGCGTAAATTAGCCTCATGAAGTCTATTTCTATACGTTTGAACAGAAATATTCACATTTGTTGCCCTTGCAAAATCTCTATTCAATGAAACAGCAGAATCAAAACATTTCCGTTTCGCCATTACTACCATTGCACGGTTGTTTCGGGCAGATGTTGCCCTCAAACGACCGCTTCCTGTTCGTCTAAATGCAGATCTGGTGGCTAGGTACCTTGTCCATAACCGCTGAATGACGCTTTGATTGGTGTTGTGGGCCTGTGCCACTTGACGCTGACTTTGGCCTGCTAGCAAACGTCCGAGGGCTTGTGCAGCCTCATCTCGAGTCAGGTGCCTCCTCGGCATATTTTGTGATAAAGGTAATTAAATTTGAAGCACAGAAAACAAGAACCTGTGTTAAAACTCCAGCGGTATAAAGACATAACAATCAGGTTGGATATGATATCTTCATTTTCAATGCAATTTTTGAAGGTACATGTCTTTATGAGCGTTTTGCACGGATTTTTCGATATTTTCATGGTTATAAAATCTCGTTGCTAACAGTACATGGGTGCACAAGGTGAAAGTGATATATTTAGATTAAAATATAAAGTTATTATCAAAATACCCTAAAATATATTATTGACCCCTATTTTATTTTGTTTAGTGTATTACAAGTTTAAATTATTTCATTAATGGACCAAAACTTTCAGATGTAATTTCATTTATGCATACTTTTTTTTATTGAAATGTATGATAAAATATGAGGCCGGGAATAAATGATAAAATATGTAGCTGGCTTTTGATTATTAAAAGATTGGAGGTCCATATCATTGATTAACTGCTGTGTAAACCTGTTTTTAACCTGTAGATTAAAATATCCCCTTGATCTCTGGCAAATTCTGTGTTTAAGTTAACACATCTGTTGCCTCAGATAAAAATGAAAAACATGATGTAGTGTTTTTATTTTGAGCCCTTCAGGTGTTGGTTTCTATAAGACAATGTAATGTTCTTATCTTGAGCCTTTTGGCTTCTATAAGAGAGACATCTGTATGGCCTGGTAGATATCAGACAATTACATGTTACATATATCTTATTTCTGATTTCTATACTTCTTAAAATAACAACAAACAGTTTCAATTTCAAAGCAAGTCAGGATTAGTATACATATTTGGATGAAAGTGTGAGATAATGTGTAAACAATGCATCATAATTAATCGATTTTGTTGGGGCAAATGAATTTTTCAAGAATTTACCCTATAAATATCATACAGACAAGTAAATAAATGATACAGGTAACACTGGACAAGTAAGTAAAAATCAGATTTGGCTAGCCCTGGTTTAAATGTATTTATGTGTTTGTATACATTTACATATGTTTTCAGACGGATGCTGTCATACATCTGTAATTTTGGCGAGCACTGGCTGACTGTACGTAAGATAGGAAATCAGTGGTTTAACTTGAACTCACTACTGACGGGTCCTGAACTTATATCTGATACATATCTGAACATGTTCCTAACACAGCTACAACAAGATGGTAAATACATTAATTTACATGTTTTATCCCTGATAAAAAGTTAATAATACTTTCAAACTTACTTTATTAAGGATCTTACACAAGTTTTCAGTTCATATGAAATGAGTTTAGGAAAGTGTTGTATAATGATCCTGTAGCATTTCTAGGAATAGTTTAATGATGATAATATTGATACAAAGATTAAATAGATACAAAATCACAGATCTATTAAGTACCAGACAGAGATTTAATATACAATCGGCTATGATCATCTTTTTGTTGCCAATAGTTGTGCTATTGAAGTACAAAAAACACCTATATTCTGTTATATAAGTTTTTAAGATAGCTTATATTTTTTATGAAGAACTTGTATCCTGAAAGTATGAAGGAATTTTATGACGATAATATTACCTTTAGGATACTCAATATTCATTGTGATCGGGGATCTGTCAGAATGTGAAGCAGATCAGTTGCTCCGCCTCTGTCCGGCTGTTCAGCCAATCAAACCACAGCTTATAACAGATAATGTGCAATCACGAGCTGGAAAAGGCGGGGCTTCAGGTGGAACTGGAGGGCGGGAGGAAGACCCAGAGGTAGAAAAGGCTCTGCAGGAAAGCAAAAGTATGATAGAATCAGATGATGTCTCCTTACAACGAGCTCTGCAGATGAGTATGGAAGGTAATTATTTCAATAATTTTACAGATGAGTATGGATGGTAATTAGATAAACAATTACAGATGAGTATGGAAGGTAATTAGATAAACAATTACAGATGAGTATGGAAGGTAATTAGATAAACAATTACAGATGAGTATGGAAGGTAATTAGATAAACAATTACAGATGAGTATGGAAGGTAATTAGATAAACAATTACAGATGAGAATGGAATGTAATTAGATAAACAATTTCAGATGAGTATGGAAGGTAATTAGACAAACAATTCATAAATCTGATACTATCACATTCCTCAGTGCCTACAATTTTAAGAAGGGCTTAAAATTGAGACAGTTTCTTGAAAAGTGGATAAAAAAGTCTTTTAAAGTCCTTGAATTTTGTTACTCACTTACAAAGTGTTTGAGAAGTGCAAAAATTTCTCTAAAAATTGCTTAAAAATTAAAAGGATGGCAAAGTGCATAGAATAAAGTTGATAGTTTTCAGCAAATGAGTCCATTTAGTACCAAAATCAATAAAAATGTTTGCTCATGGTAACACTTTTTGCTATATTGTAAAATATCACATAATATGTGTTATTACAAGTGATAAAGCAGTCAAGAAAAGTATTCTAATGCTCTATCATTATTATTGTTTTATGTTGCTAGGTAACAAGTGATTTATTTTGGCTTTGAATGTCTGTATTATATGTATTGATTATCCTCTGGATTAAGTAAAATTGAAATGATGTGTAAAACATGAATTAAGTTACTACTACCACAGGTTTTGTCATAATCACTAATATTTTTCTTTATGACAATTGAGATATGACATTTTGTTCATATTTTGGTGTAGTATTACAATACATATTTGAATAAGGAACAACTATTTTCTGTTAGAGCGGCTGTACCATCCTTGATCATATCGGAAAAAAAATTGTCATATCTTTATATAAAAAAAAACTAAGGTAATATTTAGAATCAATTTAAAACTTTTTTTTTACTTTTTGTCAAATACTAACCTGACAGGTAATTGAATTCTCTAACCAGTTTTTAGTTAAAAATTGACCATACCCATTTAAACAGATAAACTAATATTTAAGTTTTTTGGATCATAATTGTATGTCAATTTCCAAGCTTATAGCTATGAAATTTCAATGAAACCGTCCTTTTCTGTTAATACATTATTCATGCTGTGATGAAAGTGGAGCATATTATCCTACTGACAGCATTTGTTTAAAAATACGTTCACACAAAATTGATGATTATTTTATATACAGGTTATATAGAGGAGTCTGTTAGCAGAATTGAGACCGCATGTCATTCTGGGGAATCTAGTTCAGGTCCGTCCACTTCAACTGCACAAGATAAACCTAGCACAAATACTGATAAAAGTAATCAAGAGGAGAGTACATCAGGTTATAAGCTAGGTGGCACCACAGATCAGTCACATGAACTAGCAGAAGTTGAAAAGCCAGATGCAGATGAAATGAGACAAAAAAGACTAGCTTTTTTAAGTAAACTAGGCAGTCAGACAGACTCTAGTGAACAAAATCAAGACAAGGATACCAAAGAGAATTGTTCCTGTGATAACCCATCAGATGTGACAGTGAATGGAACAAATACAGAGACTGAAGTTTCAGGTAAAGAAATAACTTTGTAAGATATGCTCTCATCATCACATGGAGATATGTTTAATTAAAATGGGGATTGCAAACTTTTTATCCAGTATCATATGTGGGGCATATATTTAACATGATGATGGTATGGTTAAGGTTATTGATTGTGAGTCACATGTCTCCCTGTCTCTCTCTCTCTAATCCTGTCACGGGCTTTTGATTCTGTCATACGATGAAGCTATTAAGCTAGTATGAGGAAAGTCAGTGGTTCGACTTATGTGCATTTGGTGCCTGAATCAATGATCAGAGTGACACCTGAGGTATTCCTCTATAAGCAAATCAGGCTTGTCACTATATAGCCTTTACCTTTTGAAAAAGACATAGCCTTTTAGTGTGCTTACATATTACCAAGAAATAGGTGTGTTTTATGTATGTATGAATGTTTAATTCATATCATGTAAAGCCTGGTAAGAAATGAGTAATGATCAGGGAACCTTTGAATGGTTCCAGGTGACTTAAATAAACCATCATTATAATTATACAAATGCAGTGTGTATATTCCCATATGTCATTGTTTAAACTTGCTTCGTTACGATTGTCAAAGGGTGTAAAACTATATTACAATGTATTCTTCTGTATGTCATAAGTTTTCTCATAGTCATTTCTGAACAGTTTTCACAGCATGTTTGTTTATTGTGTTGTGATGTTTAGTTCAACAGATATTTATATTGTCTGTTCATAGAATAAAATCGTTATGTTTCCTTTTTAAAAAGCAACACGTCTATAATGCTGAACAATCATTGACTGATTTGATACAGATCATGGCATGTTTAGTAGACATTATTAGTAATACATCTTGACCAATAAGTAAGAGTTATACACAACAAAAAAGTTTCTAAACATTAGAATTTTTTTTTTAAATTAAGTTCCCACCTGATGCACTAGTTTTATTCACTAGTCTTTCTTTCAAATTAGATACATGTACTTTGCTATGATTCATGTCATGATGCCAACAATTTCTTGACTGATTTCTAAAAACCCTAGATTAGGCTTTACAACCCTATAGTATTTAAAAAGTTAACAATTTTAAGAAGTAAAATAACTTTTTTGTTTCTCTAGATTATATTCACAAATACCTTATAATCATTAAATTTTCTTTCCTTGCAGAGTTGTCAGAAGAGGAGATGTTAAAGCAGGCTATAGCAATGTCCATGAGTCAAGATACATAGCAACAGATTCTGATATATCTAGATAGACTAGAGACTATAACTCTCTCTTCCATTGCCTAATGCTCTAAAAAAAAGTGTAGATTAAAAATCACCATGCTAAATCAAAGTTCAAGTAAAAATGCTTAGATTCTACAACTTCGATAACTAACTGTAACTTCCTGAAATAGCTAAAATGACATTTCATTGCTTCCAAAATATGGCCCAGACCACTCTGCTCTTCCGTGCTGTTAAACACGTGTTTATATTGTTGCCTGCTCAAATTTAGCATTTTAAATGCGAAATCCCCAAGCTCACCCCTCCCCTACCCTCCCCTACCCTTCCCAACCCTAATATAAGAACGATAGACTGTTCTATTTTTTAAAAGCAGACAAGTCTAATATACAATGTCAGTATGATGAATATTAAAAGAATGTACTGCAAAATTATCATTAATATTCGTGGTGAAAATTCATGGTTTTAGTGGATTGGTCTTTTTGTGGATATGTCAATCCACAAATTTAAGATCCAAAGAAATTTCATTTTGTCTGCTGTAAGATTATTTTTAAAAAAAAGCAGTATACAAATTTAAGAACCCACGAAAATGTTCATTGTGACAAAACCACAAAATTTCTTGCCCACAAAATTAAGTGAATTCACAGTAATGTTTTCTCTTTATACATGTAGCTCTGTTCACTTAAGATAAATACATTAATTTTTAAAGCATACATGTACTACTAACTTATAATTGAATTGTGACTTCTTCTTTTTTTTATTTATATTTTTTAATAAAAAACTGATTGTGCCATAGAAATATAGTTATATTTTGTAATAAATGATTTTGGTTAATATTGAACACATTTAGCAATTGTAGGTCTCGACTTTGTGCAAAGTCTTGATTTATTTATAACAGTTCCAAGAGTTCTGTCACTTGGCTATTATTTCTCAGAAGACCAGAGCATATGGTCTTTTGAATATCAGAACCTTTTTATTAATAAAATATAAAACTGATATGTAATGATTTAAATTTTTTAGAACCTCTCAAATAAAAGTACTAAAAGCTTGTACATGTAATTTATTCATGATATTACAAGAACATCTGTGAAATATGTGATATTAAGTCTTTTGAAATTGAAATCCAGTTTATAAGATATTCTGCATTTAGACATAGATTTTTTTTTTTTATTTTATTATAAATGTTTCTTTTAGTTTCTCTTAAGTAAAGTATTATCAGTCTTTTTTACACCGGGCTTCTGTCTGACACTTAATAAGAATGAATGTTTTTCTTTCACCGATAAGTTAGAATCTAATATGTTTTTGTATGTGAAATATTGGAAATGAAAATTATTTTTGAAAGAAAATATGTTTGCATAATTGATAACCATGTACTCAAAACATTGTCATCCTATTTCCAACATAGAAATTATTGCAAAATAGACATGATATATCTTGTTTTAAAATTTCGTTGATGACAGTTATGCTTCATATATACTAGTATGCATAATTTATAATAATTAAAAGATGAAAATATAACACAATAAGTTCTATTACTGACTGCTTTAATTATTGACTTATTCAAAGCCTTAGGCAGGTAATATAATTGTTGACAGAGGTTTTCTTGTTTTTTTTTGTGTTGCTTTCTTTTTTCTAAAGGCAAAGATAACTTTGACAGAAATAAAACCAATGGCAAAGCTCAAAAAATAATAAATGAAAACAAATTGCTTTAAAATCAGACATTTTTGCAAGGGAATAAATTTTGAAAATTGAAATTGCAAATGTTGATATATTATTAAAGTATCTACCATTTAACCTTGCTATATAGTCTCAAATGTTGAGTTCATAAAATTTTGATCTCACGCAAATTATCTTGTTTTTACAGTATATTTTAGGCATCTTGTCAATGTAAGATTTAGAGAATTTTGATTGAAAGCAAGTTTTGAGGAAGTGTAAAATTTCCATGAATCTGACTGGCCGTTTGTATTTCTGTTGCAGAGAAAGATTTAAATTGTATCATGAATAAAGTTCAATATTTATTGAAATAATCAGTGCCAAACTCTTTCAGTCAGTAATATATATTCTCAACACTGATCAAATAGATTTACTCTTGAATAAAGAATATGTTGGGTTTTTCCCAGATATTCAGGTGGTACAAACAAACTTTAACTGTTACAGCTTCGAAATTAAGCGCAAGAGGTTGACTTATCTATTGTGAACGGTAACGGTAAAAGTTTGTACTGGAGGATATCCTTGGAAAAAAAACACATTTGTTGAGTATATCTATTAGTATTTAAGTTGTTTCTATGATATTATTAATGCAGTTTAAGCTGTTGCTAATAAATAACATGTTTACTGTAATTTAAGTTGTGTTTAACATGTTAAATACAAGTACAGTTTTATAATGGAATTTAAGTTGTTTCTGTCTTAGGTTCATTACAATATTAGTCTGATTATTTTTATCTTGGATTCAATGAATTTAAGTTCTTTTAGGAAAAGTTCAAAGCAATATACATTGTTTAATTGTAGGTTAAATGCATTCAGTGTTTTTACTTTGGTTAAATGTAGTTTCATTATTGCATCTTCGGTTAATGTATTTAACTTTTTTTTTTGTTATGGGTTAAATGCAATATTTTTGGGGCCTCAGCCAAGTGGTTAAAGTGACTGATTTGAAATCACTTGCCTCCAACCTTTGCGGGTTTGAATCCCTTAAAAAAACTTTCATGTGAGGAAGCTATCCACCTTGTTTACAGAAGATATGATGGTCTACTAAGGGCCTGTTTGTGCCTGAAATAATTTGAGTGGACTTGAGGTTTTCCTGCTACAGTACAGCTGGATTGTTGCCACATATCATTTACAACATACAGTGTTTGTTTTACTTAAAACTTTACTGTAAAAGAAAAATGCAATAATGTTGTTGATTGATGAACTCAAAGAACAAATTATGATAGTATATGATGAAACTCAGATTCATCTTTAGGCTTAACATGAAAATTTTATAAAATTGACACCTCGTGTTTCCTTTTATTCAGATTTCATGTTAAATGGTTTTATGTTAGATAAGGGGCATAATTCTGAAAGGGATTTTTTTATTGGATTGTTTTTTTTTGTCAGAAGTAGTTATTGTAACAGACTAGCTTTAATGTGGCATGTGGTGCTCTTCTTTAAATTCTTGTATAACAATCATTGTACTATTTTGTGAAATTCAGGTTTATCCCAATTTTTGGCCAAGGTCACATGCAGATGTCAAAGGTCAGATATGAAAATAAAAAGGAGTATTAGTCATTAATGTAAATGTTCATTATAATGTGAATGGCAATTGTGACGGCTGTATTTTTTGACAAATTGGCAATCTTGTATTATTAAACTGAAATCCTGTTATCTTTGAAGGGATTGTTCAAAATTCAGAGTAGGGCAATTCCATTGCATAAATTTCGCAGGATGATTTTGAATTTTGATTCTGGTACTCAGTAATTCTGGTTCCCATAAAAAAATAAAAAATCTTTGCAAATAAAAAAATGATTGTTCATGAGTGCTTAAAGCACAGACTTTTTTCAACTACTTTTGTTTATTATCAGTATTTATTTTTTATTGCTATTTTGCTTTGTTTGATGGATATTGATGTCAAAGTATGATGTAATGTTATTGTTATTTTGAATTGGATTAAAAAAAATGGTCAAAAGGATGACTTTATATTGTTACTGTTTTGTATTGAATAATTCTTTGTTTAAGTAATTGCTTAGTAAATAAGATATGTAATGCTATATCATTGTGTGTCATTGTAAATTTGCATTTATAAATGAAAAAAATTGGGAAATTTTGAAAACAGATGATTTTATTATCTTTATTTACAAACATTTTTGAATCATTTCCTCTGAAAAATTCATTATTTGTAACAAATTTGCTTACCCTTAAAATGTGTTAAACGAAGTTACAAAGTCACTTTCATCCGAGAGCTATTGGTTGACCAGTTTCCAAAATTTTATTGATTTGATTCATCGACCATTTCAAAATAGATTTTGGACAGGTCCACTTGGGAAATTCAGAAGTCAAGGGTTAAATAGTTTCTTTTATTATGTTAAGGTATGTTAAGAGTTATATAACCTGAAGACAGATTGTTAAGTGATGCTCTTAGTATTTGTGTACATATTTATTCCCTAGTTTAAATGATTGGCAAAAATGATCTCTGAAAGAGTTTCATCAAATAGTTAATTTGCTAGATATATATTAAATAAACAGAACATAAATTTGTTTGAATGGTAGAATTTATATATATATTTTTGTTCTTGTGATTATTAATGATATTTATTATTAAACATTTTCATAAGTTTGTAAGTTTACATTATTTATTTTGCTGTGTTGATTTCTTGGACAGAAGAAAAGCTGGAAAGCACCCCGGCAGACCACCTTTGCTAATATAGTTGAAGTTGCCTTGACCTAATTGGACCAAGGTGGACCTAAAGTTCAGAAAAAAAGTGCGTAAGGATCATAACTCAATATCACTTTTTTTTATTATCTCCCTTTATAATATGCTGGTCCAAAGTATTGAAGGAATTTGATTTTTAAACTTTAGAGACCAGTAAAAGAAAGTTCAGTGCCCATGTACCATAATGCTACCTTGCTGGGTTGTCCTCTAAATTTGGGTAGAGTTAAGAATTACTGGAGTCCAGGTCACTGGTGCTTAAATTAGATTTGTACGTTTTTTCTCTCACAGCCCTTATTGACTTTGCATCGAACACATCGCCAAATGTGCAGATTTCGGATAATCCATCGTCTTCAGCGATATTCTTATTGCTCTATTTCCACATATGACCTTCATTTATTTACTGATGTGCATTGGAATACATTGACAAATGTGCGAGATATTTATTGCATAAACAATATTTCTTCACATGTATAAAATGGTTATTTATATGTGTAAATTTTTTAAGTTCCATAAATGCTGAAACAATAAAAAAATACGACTTAATTCGACTGATGATATTCACTTCCTATTTTTCTACCGTTTTACTCAATTTTTTCTCCCAATATTTTCTCAAACCAGAGATTTACGCAGTCTAGATTTCTGACACCTGTAACATGACATTGTATCATATTTATAACTTGTTTTTTACAAAGTGTACTTGAGATAATTTCATTTCATTTGTAAGATATGTGCATGATTCGTTTAGCCATTTTTTGTGCCTTCGTTTCATTTTTCTGTCTCGACAAAACAGCAGACGACATGTATTCTATTTCTGACATCACGTGTTTATGCTCAAACAAATGACCCCAGCCGAACATGGAAACAGCATCTTCAAGTTTGGCAAACCAGTCCACTGTCACCTCTGACCGTATTGCTGTGTCCCCACCAAGAATCTTGGCAGATAGCCAATTTATTCTATCAACACTAATAGTAAATGGTGTCCTTCCTTGAAAATCTGGAGCATGTCCCGAACATCCTCTTTTATATAGAATCATGTGCATTATCAACAGGGTCTGAGTCGTGGTAGGTTCATCGATATACAAATATCCATTAGAGTATTTTACAGGAGTCAGCCTGCTGCAAAGCACATGCAATGGTGCCTGGCCCATATTGTTACGTATAGTGACACTTGCCCCGAGCTCTAGCATTTGTACTAAGCATTCGTATTGCTCCCCGACTCTATTAGTTCCGCGATTGTTTCTCTTTTAATATCTGCCGTAGTGGCATCATACTCTGCTAATTGTGCTGTAGCGCTCAGTAAATGTTGATCAGTTTTTGCGGTGAAACTGTTAAGCTCTACATCAACATTTTCATCAGACACCAGTAAATGAAGCGGAGTATTTCTGTCGTTGTCCTGTACGTTTATGCTCCGGTTGTCATGGTGATACAGGGCAGTTACCGCTTTCTTGTTGTAATTCCATGCCGCGTAATGAATGGCTTGCCTACCAAACTTATCAACAATATTCACTTTTGCATGACGACCCAGTAAAACCCTGCACATGTCACTATGGTTGTTTACGCTTGCTAGAATTATCGGGGTCATTCCGTTCCTGTTTTCTGTCACGTTTATTAGTGCGTGCTTTGTAAGAAGATATTTTGCAACCTCTAGCCGGTTGAACGAGCATGCCAATGATAATGGTGTTAGTCCTAAGGAGTCATTGGCATTAACATCTGCTTTGCAGTATTCAACGAGATATTTTACCACGGACAAGCGGCCTTGTTGAGCCGCCATCATAAGGGGTGTAGTTTTCAAGAAAAACCCGGCGTAATTCTCTTTTCCGTAATTCTCTCCGATATTCGGTGTCAATTCTTTAAGTAGTTTTGGACCATCTTCTGTTGGAATGTCGACTTCCACTGTCGAATCTGATTTGCCCCGTCTTTCTTTGACAATTCGTTTCACGGACACGAGGTCGCCGTAGAAAGCAGAATAATGGAGGTCCGAAACGATGTCATACAATTCTCGCCAGTCTGCAATGAAAATGATACCTTCAATCTTAGACCATCGTATAAAGCTGATGACTATTATATATGTACAGTTTGTACTTGAAATTGTATCAATAAAATGTGTTGAAATACAGACATGTTTAAAACGCCCCATAATATTGCAACTAAGAACCAGAAGAGGCGGAATAAAAGTTGGCATTTACCAGAAACTTACTTTCTGCCAAAATACATTGGTCACCCTGGTAAATCTGTAGTCTAGTCAACTCGTTTGATATCATCGACATCTGAAGCAATCTCGTTAGCGATTGTCTGTTGATCAAAGATCTCCTCTCGCTCACAACCTCTGGCACTATCTTCGTACCTCTGTGTAGACGCTTTGATGACTGTTTATTCTGTTCTCTCCCCATGTTTTGCCTTAACTGTGTGTAAATTAATGATAGAGGTTAGCATTTTCAGGGTGTTTTGATTTATATGATAAATTTAAAAACAAAAATGTCGATAACTAAGCTCAAAGTTCTCAAGTCTTCAATGGCCACTTGAGTGAACCATTTCGCTAATATGGGTCTTTAAAGAAGATTATTCATCGCAACCTGACGGGTACATGCATGCACGGCTTTAATTAAAGCAATGATATATGAAACGATACAGTGCACAATCTATTCAAAATGTCTATTCTATACATGTATTAATATTCAAGAAAAAGGTGCTGAATTGTTGTTCTTAGATTTAGCCAAAGAAAAAAAACTACATGTTCGAGAAAGTAGGATAGCCAGCGACTCATCAATTTTGCATTTTTATTGAATTCTTCTTTATTATACTTACGCAGAAAAGGCTGTTTGATTAGATGTTTTAATTATTCAACCATTCCTTGCATAACTCTTCCAATGTTATAATCTTTTCAAAATGTTATAATTTTGCCATTACGAAACATCGTTTTTTACTCAGAGTTGTTTATATCATTATTCTAACCAACATATTAACTATTATTGCGATATAATTAACTATTTTGTATATTACTAAGCTAATTTTTCAATTTACAAGAAATACAACATTATTACCGTAGTTAAATAGTTAGTTAAATAGTCTTACCTATATGAAAATCAGCACATGTAAAAGGATATACGTACGTTGTTTCGTTTCTTTGTACGTTATTTTAGCCGAAACCATTCAAACATGGCACAAATAAATAGAATAATTTTATAACATCCATTTGTAAACGGGAACAAAGTGTCGATTATCCTAAGGCTATTTTTTGTAATATGTCTTGGTATGCAGACACGCCGTCCATGCTTAACTGGTTATTAAAAGATGTTTGTATCCAGTGTTTCTTTAAGAAAAATCTCGATTTCTATTAAAATGTATAATGTACATGTACATAAAACAGAATCTTGAAAAACCAGTTTCTGTAGATTAGTATCTTCGGTTTTATTGTTGTCATTTAAGCGAGATATAGCTCTAGATGCGTTAAAATTTGTGTAGCATACTATTTAAAAGTCCTTTGGTAGCTGTTTTGTTTGTTTATTTTTGTTGTTGTTGCTGTTGTTTTGTAGGATTATTTTTCATTTTGAAACGTTATTCTCAATTTTCGTGATTAAAAGTGTCAAATGTCAATTTTTGTATATTTGCGCGATGTTTAATTACAACAAGTTGAATGATCGAATATTTTCAAAATACAAGATGTATACATGTATGTACATTTTCACTTATGTACTGTTTAGCTTTACTGCCAGAAGATTTCATCAGGTACCCATTCGTGTGCTTTTTCCAGGTACGAACGTTTTCAAGATTCATTGTTAATACACGCATAAACTTAAACGTCTGGGCACGTAAATCTTCTCATTTACAATGCAATATTATGTTAAACAACTTAAGTTTTAAAGTGACAAACACAGACATCAGTGAAATGTGCATTTATAAAGTGAATAGTGTGAATTGAAAAAATAAATTGAGCCGTGTCTTGACAAAACCAACATAATGGGTTTGCGACCAGCATGGATCCAGACCAGCCTGCGCATCCGCGCAGTCTGATCAGGATCCATGCTGTTCGCTTACAAACCCTATAGCAAGGAGAAATATTGATATCGAACAGCATGGATCCTGATCAGACTGCGCGGATGCGCAGGCTGGTCTGGATCCATGCTGGTCGCAAACCCATTATGTTGGTTTTGTCGTGACACGGCTCAATTATACACTGCATTAAGTCTCCACTGGCGGGATTTTATATTGTTGTTTTTGGACATGACGGGACTGGAAATAGTTTTTTAAGATTTGTGAACCATTTGGTGTAAATCTGGATCAATAATAACTTAATTGTGCGTGAAAAATTTCAGAACATTTGCTCACTATCTTTCCAGAATAAATATTTTGCTTATACCAAAATGACCACAACATGAAAATCATTTAAATTTTGAACTAAAATCGGACTAACAATGGTTATAAATTGTTTATTTTTTATGCCTTTAATAAGACCTTAGTGGATTTCCTGACTTGCCAACTGCACCGTGCACTCTTTTACGTTTATAGCAGATTGCCATGGAATATGCTTCGATTTCCAGCACGGCGTCATATATTGTATAAACAAACAGTTGGCATATATATACTATGCTTGTAACTTAAATTATACATATCTAAACAGCTTTTAACATCATTTTGGTTAAACCAATTATAGAGCAAAGAAACTTCAAATAATTATGATTTTAATTACATATATGATGCTGACTTGAGTGAACAACAACAACATAATTTAATAATATTTACACGTTGCATTCTTATTGAAGAATTTTAATAAATTTCTTTTTTAAACGGCACAGACTGTACGAAACCCGGCGACACAAACGGTTTAAAATATATTTATCCTAGGTTAAAGTAATCGAAGTTTTACTGTATTGAAAATCATTGTATATGATACGCACGATTTTCTCGTGCGTCAGTAATATATAATAAAGTCGGTTAGACGTGTACATCATTCGAGGTTTTCTGCATTGCTACACACGTTTATTGTACTATATCGTACACTGAAATTTTAATGGCTACTAACGAAGACTTAATGGACGACTGCCTCACGAGAGAGTTAATTCGGCATCATCAGTTCGCAGACAGATTCAACTCGGGAATTTTCGATCTCTCACCATGTTATTTTTGACAATGATCAAATCGTTAAAGAATATTCGGCCAGAGAAATTAACATGAGCAGTTCAACCGTATGACTTCAAAAGTCATAGGAAAGCACGTGTATGCCAGATTTTCAAACAAAGGAAAGAGAAAGCATTCTTATTTAATTAAGTTGACGTCTATATAATTGGATCTGCTTGCAGAACATAGAACAGAGAACAAGAAAAATCTCTAGAGCTGATAATATATCTAAAAAGAATTGTAAAACCAACAACAAATCTATCAAATATTTTGCCTTACAATTCTGCGTTGGAAACGTGCAGAGTATTTGAGCCTACAGTTGCCATTTTCTGTGACAGCGATGACAGATAGAAGGCTACGAACGCGTGAAGTCGTGCGCTTCTAACAAAAGCGAGAAAAGACCGTTATCTTAGATTCCTTACTTGTACGCGAGTTAACCATACTTTGGGGGTTATACTCCTATTCTAACTTCTTTGTGCTCAAACCAGGTCATTCTTCGTTCCTTTCGACCTAAGAAAGACTGTCAGTCGTGTTTATCGCATTGTGGGATGGAACACTTCCACGGTATATGCCAAAGGTCAACGGACAGTCATTACCCTACAAACGGTTTTTCATCAGGCTTCAGCGGATCTCGCCAGGTTCACAATCGCACGCTCTAAAAACGGTTCAACCCCAAACTCACAAGTCCAAATCAAAAGTTGAAGAAGTATGGATTCTTGATAATATTTCAACGTTCAAAATATTCTGTTTCAATAGACGTGAATTCTATATGCAGAATTGAAGTAACAGAAACATTTATTATAATAATATTACATAATAGTAAGTCTAATATATCTTTGTCAAGGGAATTTTACTAAAAAATTATCATTTCTGAGAGACAATTAAAGACTCCTGATTTTATTGGATGTCATAAAAGAATCTGTACAAATTGACGTGTTTATAATATCCCAAATGCTTCAGTTATAATAATAAACAATCTCTCTAGTACACACCGAAGATTGTTACTGGGGCTATTAAGCATACTTTATCTTAAGTCTGGGATTTCTGTTTTAGAAGTACTGCTTTTTGGCCCTTGAATAGATCCGTGTTCTGTTTCCGTCAACTTCTGGGAAGGAACGGTAATTTTAGATCTAAGTAACTTAAATAATTAAGTTGAAAGAACATTTAAGTTGAGGATTGGAAAGTCATTTGATTTCTTCTAAGATGGATTTTATGACAAATTGATATACGATCACGATCATCATATCGATCTGTACTTCTCAGCAACCTTTTTAGGTTTTTCTTGGAATATATAACGGTATCCACAAGTATTTTGTTTTCCGATTGCCATTTGGGTTAACATCAGCAGCTTTTATATTTACACTTAAGTGTTTAAGTGCATCGTTAAACATTGCCCGGGAAATGGATTCGTTTGGTTTTTTTTTTGACGATGGGTGGGGTGTGAATAAATCATTTCATTCGTCGTCTAAAGATGCAAGCTTTTGTCGAAAACGTCTTAAAAATGCAGGGTTTGCACTGAATTATGATTAAGTCGATATTCATTCCCGTCAAGAAATTAGAATGGTTAGGACTTGTATGGAATTTATCTGAGAATCATATGAGTGTGTTTCAGAGAAAACGTTTTTCAAATGTAAATTCACACCTGAGTTCTATTTTAAATAATTTACCTTTTCGTCTGCTAGAGAGTTAGCACGTTTTACAGGGAAAGTTATGTCTATGATGCCTATTTTAGGGGAAGTTTGCAACTAAATGACTAAAAATCTACACCAGTAGCCATTTTAAATGGATTAAGTTGGGATACTGTTTTCAATGTCTCTTTTGTAGACAGGTGTGTACAGGAGTTGTTATTCTGGAGAGACCAGTTTAAAAACAATCCTATTCAAGTTCCTTTTTTATTGAACATACATTTACTATAAATATCTTTTCCGATGCCAGTAGCGTAGCATGTGGGGCTTATATATCTTAACTCTGATAAATGTATTTGTCACAGAAATTGGTCCGAGTATGAAAAAACTGAGAGTTCAACATGGCGGGAGTTGTCTGCTATATATTTTGCTCTACAAAGTTTTGTATTGTTAATTTTGGTAAAAATCAGTCGATGTGCACCGATAATCAAAATTGTGTAAAAATTATCAAACGGAGGGAGCATGAAACCAAGTTACATTTCCTCGCTGTTAACATTTTGATTTTTTGTATTAAAAAAGGTATAGCGTTCTACATATAGACTGGGTTCCTAGGGCGCAAAATTAATTTGCAGATAAAATAAGTAACTTTTTGATGTTGATGATTGGGCGTAAACTACAGAATTTTTCAATTTTTTGGATATATGTGGGCGCTTTTTTCGATAGATCGATTTGCCAAATCATTACAATTGTAAAGTTAAAAGATTTAATTTTTCGTTCTGGTTCCGGGAACAGAACAACGTCGATGCATTTTCAGTTGATTGGTCAGGGGAAATAACTGCTGGTTCCCCTGTACTTTTGTGCCTAAAGCTATCAATCATTTGGTGGCTTTGGCCAAGCACGGGGAGTTTTTAATTGTACCTCATTGGCCATCTGCATCCGTTCTGGCCAATGTTGTTTGGTAATAGCATTTATACACTCGAAATATACATTCTTGAGTATTTTTGAGTTTTTTCCACAAACAGTACATTTTTGTACAATACTTAAATATGACAAACTATTTTTGATCTGAAAGTTTCAACAGTAAAGTTTTAGCTATACGATTAAGATTGTTCTGTTTAAATATTGGAAAGCTATGTTAAAAGCTTTTTTATTTAATAGGTTGTTGAATCTTTTTGTAAAATCATATCACAGTGTGTACACACTGAAATATGACCGCTCTTATGTTGCTTATGTTTTGTATATGTATAGCGAGCTAGTTCGTTTATTTAAAAAAAAAAAAAAAAAAAAAAAAACGGGACGAAATTCAATAAATTAGAAATTGTGTGGTACGCCAGCCGTTGGTGCAGGGCAAGCGCGATTGCAGCGAGTTTATTAAATTAGAAATAATGTGTACGCAGCCATTTGGCAAGTGCAAGCGCCGATTGCGCGAGATTATTAAATTAGAAATTATGTGATACGCCAGCCGTTTGGCAGTGGCAAGCGCGATTGGCGAATTTATTAAATTAGAAATTATGTGGTACCCAGCCGTTTGGCAGTGCAGAAAGCGCCGATTGGCGGATTTATTAATTTAAAATTCCATGTGGTACGCAGCCGTTTGGCAGTGGCAAGCGCCGATTGGCGAGATTTTTAAATAAAACTTTTTGTGGTATGCCAGCCGTTGGGCAGTGGCAAGCGCCGATTGGCGAGATTAAATTTAAAAAAAAAATTATAAATTTGTAGTTACGCCAGTGATAGGTCATAGAAAGCGTCGATGTGCGACATTATTATTTGATAGGTTAATTTTCTATTTTACTTCCTGAATTAAGTGGTCATAATAACGGTTGACTGTGGTTGATTTTCCGCTGTGAAGGCAAATTGTAATATTTTCTAATCTTTTTACAGAATAACGAATCGACTTGTAAAAAAAAAACGCGTGATGAACGGTTTATTTCTTATGGAGTCTGTTTTCAAATTATGTTACTTTGTTCTTAGTAGTTAGGGGTTGTATGTTAGACTGTCATTAGTGTTGGAGAACTATATTATGGTACGAGTTTAATGAGGTCGTAAGAATATTATTATTTTTTCTTGTACGTGTTCTTACAGATCTAGTAAGCTTCAATATTGGAATAGATACATTTGGAGCAAAAAATCGAAATTGTACGTCCGGCTGCGTGCCTTGGTTGGCCGGAACGTTTTTTGAGAGATCTCTGAGGCTTGTCAAGTACGGAGCAAAAAGTACCAAAGATCCGTCAGGGGGGGTGGCGTGGTGTCATCGGGCGTCCGAATACCAAATCTAGACTCTTACGCAGTCTTAGACAGCCGATTTTTAACTGTATTTGATTCTATAATTCAAAATTAATTCAACGTCTAGTTTTACGACCCTTTTACGGGAGTTAAAGTGGCCCATGATTTAGCCGGATGTTCTATTAACCCATGTCATTCAAATTTTAAACTACAGGTCAGGTTTCGGCAGGCAGGCTCACAGGATTCTTTGGATCATCTAGTGTCTAAAAAAAGAACCAATACACCGGAAAGTGTTACATAAATTGTGTCTATGGTAGTAGGCAAGCGATATGCAAATGGGAGATTGTATAGGTTCAGAAGTATTACATTGTGTACTTGGATATCAGGGATTCTTTAGATTTTCTAGAATTAACTTTACTATTAGAGAACGTTCTGAGTATTATGTGGTCAGTGGACGATCATAGTAGGAATTTTCATGAAGGAGAGGAGTAAAAACTGACATTTATAGGAAGGATAAAACTGGAGTGTAATAGCAAAAACTGGTTTATAGAACATGTCCAGTATCATTGCTTAAATTATATCTCAAATGTGCTCAAATTAACGATGATTCAAATGAGTTTATTTCGTTCACTCTCTTACTGTAAATCTAAACAGTGTTATAAGTTAAGATGCACAGACTCTTCTTTATCTTATACGAGATTTCAAGGGAGATCATTCGGAATATGTTTTCTTCAATTCGGATTAGATAAATCTCATTTTGGATTACAATAGTTTAAGATCAGGGGGAGTCACAGCGGCTGCCAATTTAGGAATTTCTGATAGACTATTTCTAAAGACATGGCCGGTGGCGTAGTGGACAGAGCAAGGACGGTTATGTCAAAGATGATTTAAACAAACGATTATCAGTTACAAAGAGTCTGGGCATCTGATATTGAAATTTGAAATCAAATATGAAATGCATATTATATTGATATTGATTGATATTATGTTAACATTGAACAGTTTGTAATATTATAAAGTGTTTCTTTGCACCCGTTCTTTGTTTTTGAATTCGATAAACGGCAATGCAGATAACAAATCCTAAATGTGAATTTATGTATTTGTTGTTCTTCCTTCCTTCGATTCCTTTATTATGGGATAAATAATTTATTTACGTTTGAGCGTAGCGAATTAGGAAATAATTGCTTTTAGCAAAATCGAATTACAAAATTTATTTAATCTTAACAAATGTGTTTACACCCACAACTTTTGTAAAACCAAACCGAGTTATATGTAAACGAAAAGTAAACGAAATCATGCCAGGGATCGATATGTTTCCAGTTCGTTTCACTTTCGAAGCTAATTCAAAAGCAGTCCCGACTGAGTCGGTTTCTCTAATTATAAGTATAAACCGTTGTTTTTCGTCAGCTTTGTGTAGAGAACGATTTTTGCCATCAAAGTCTCAACAATATCGCACCAATGTGCATTAATAATAAAAAATCATGGAATAACGTTAACACCCAGTACCTCTTTGCGCAAAGTGAAGTAAATTTCAAATGTTCATGCATTGGACATTTAAAATTTCGAGCATTTCCGTTTGAGTTAGATCCGTATTATTATTTTCCTCGAATTACATTACGTCGTCCCCTACATGCGAAACCAGGGTCTTTAAAATACAATTCTATTTGAAAGACCCTGGCGAAACTCATCTATAAACGCCTAGGTTCAAGTGTCGGACCTAGCCCGTGCACATAAATGTAAATGAATAGTACAATCGCAATGGAGAGTCCTACGCAAGTTAGTTTTCCGTGGTTTGCATGTGTGCATGTAATATGTTTTCGGGCATTATCTGCAATTATCGTATTTGGATCAAAAGATAAAAGTCGTTGCCCTCCTGCTTTTAAATCTGTCCGTTTTCAATTGATCTCTACTCATAGACATAATATCGCCTTTTGTCGCCCGTCTCACACTGAGATTTGGGAGTGTCAAATTAGATTTCTCTTTCAGTCCTTTTTTCGTTACAACTTCTTTTCTAGCAGTGATTGGAGGCAAACTATAATGCTGAGGTTCACGAGATGATTCCTTGAACACATCCTCTTCTGAGAATTCACTAGGTGTACACACCCCTGAATCATACGGACTTCCAATGTCATGTAAATGTAGCTCATTTCGTAATCCTGCTGGCTGTTCAAAGTTGTTTTCCGGCCGTTTCTTACTTCTTTTCTCATCAAGTGTTTCAATGAGTGGCCTCCTGTGTTGAATCTTTTTTGCCACTTGAAGATCGTCTAAGAAGGCTTCTATCTTATTCGGGACTGCTCTATGAAAGAAAGTTCTTGTAAGAGCATTTTCTCTCTGTAAGTAAGGGTTTTTCCTGTCGTTTGACATAATCATATTGAATTGCATTTTTGCATCCTCCTCGTCCAAAAGTTTACCCATGTTTTTACCCTCACGTAGGTTATACTCCACTTTCTTTTGTCTTCGATGTTTAGGATGTTTAAGTTCGATTACGTTGTCAACTTCTCTACGTAAAGAATCAAGTTTTTCACCTTCATATATTCCATAAGGATATTCGTCCGAGTCTTCCCAGAAGGTTTGCTCTCTCCTAGACTTGAGCACCTTTTGTGTCCCTCTTACACGAGCCAAGTTTTTCTTTAGCCGGGAACTTTTCAGATTATACTTCCCGTCCAAACTTTTCTGAGCCTTATTTAAGCTCTTTACATAAACGTCAAGATTGTCTTTCACTTTGCCATTACTTATGATAGATGCTTTCCGACTTCGATTCAACTGTTTGCCTAAAGCCTTGAGCCGGGGCTCATCCATATCCGGTAGAACGTTGGCCGGCATTTTGTCTTTCTCTTGACGCAGCTACACCAATTTTATAAATTTCTTGTGGTTGTACTTGTTTGAAATGGGTCTGAATAAAAGAAAAAAAAATGAATAATTATATTACTGTTTTAGATGATAGCGATTAAAAAATAATGTCCACGAATTTATATAAATGTTCTATTTCATATAAGTTGAACAAAGTCTATACTGTGTTTAGTAATCGTAAAATAAAAACATAGAGAGCGGTAGCGTCTGTAGCTTTTTGAATGTGACTCGTGCCATTCGAGCATAAGGCGCATCGACAAGAATTACACATTATTTGTTGCATTCTTACAATTTTAAATTCGTAGCATGTCGACCAGATTAGATTTTTCAAGAGATAGAAACTATAAAATATATAGCTATATAAGCTCGTATGAAATTTTGGTTGAGCAATAAGAAATAATCTTTCTATTGGGAAAGACCAATTCACGTAGCATTGTAACTTTTATTACATGTATTTTATAATCATCATCATGATTACATATTATAATTAATTTACATTTTACAACAATGATATCTGTACAGTGTAATGATAATTACTATTATACTCATCAAATATCGCTATTTTCTTGGATACCGTCCAGAAACGTTCAGAATTACAGAGCGTTTGATTAAATAATTTAAACCCAGCTGTTACACAGTTTATACACAAATTTTGCATTAGAAAGAATATATTTCTGTACCAATCTTCTTTATGAAAATACATAGCACAGTACCTTGTTTACGTGTAATATACATGTATATTTTTCAAATTTAGATTGAACGAAATTCACGCTCTTCAGAAGAAACAAGCTAAAAGTCGCCGGTCTAGTTCAGTTCATGAAATAAGAAAATACAATTACCTTAAGTTACTAGTCCGTTTTATTATTATTTATAAGTAAACAAAATTCTTTGCGCCGCGATTTTCACATTTATGTAAGAAGTGCGCAGCACATTCCATTCTTCCCTGAAATAAATTAGGATCACTCACCTTAATTTAAATAACAATTCAGAAATTAAATTATTCAACATCTCAAAATGCAATTGAAACGTGAGCCTTTAATCTTTTGATAACGTCATATAAGATTAATCCTTTAATCTAGTTAATTGAAGAAAGAAAATTAAGATTTCTTAATACGTTAAGTACTTTGTTTTTTAGGTCAGAGCGAGGTATTTCTATTTTTTTATATACCATATTGGTCAATTTGCCAATAAAATGTAAAAATCGTTTAATCCATTAACATGTCCCCTGAATCATGATTATATTGCATATTTACCTTTTTAACTTTTTATTTAAAACAACAACGACAAACAAAAAAAAAACATAGAAATAACTACCTACATTTTTTATTTAAAAAATATCATAGAGAAATAACTACATGTAGGAAAAAAATACATGTTTTAAACTTTATCGCAGATTTCAACACTTTCCTTAACAGACTTTTCTGTCTCATATTTGTGAACGAGTAACATAAAGTCCACCATTACGCAAGTCAATTCCTCTTTCCCCCAATTATGAAACTTCCATCATATGTCTTAATACATGTATTAATACATGTATTTATTTATTGCTCCGGACAGTCATATACAGTCAAGTCTGTAGTCATTTGAAGAAATGTTTAAATTATATTATTAACAGACGTTCTTCCCATACCGTTAATTTTGAGCTATATACGTAACTCTTACATTTGGCCTAAACGGGTGTATCAGAAGTTGTTCTCATCGAAGGTGGTCTTTAACCCTTAACTTGCTGAATTGGAATAATGGATTAACTATGTGAAGCGATTTGTTCTTTCTCTCGTCAAAAACACTATTTTCCGAAACCAATTATGATTTGCCCGTTGTTACGCTTTAGTATCAAATTAGCCAATGCTAGTTTACTACAAGGAATCACCAGCGTGACATGTAGGCGGCAACTTTATCTGCCAGTATTAAAATCTACGAATTTTCGTAGGACATGCATTCTTCGGAGCTTACCGTGACCTATTGCTTAATTGGAGTCTCCAGTCTTTGTTTAATTTTACGCCTTTTCCCAACAGTATTTCAGTCATATAGGCGGGTAGTTTCCTAACCATCGTTCCTGGACAGTTACACCAGTACTAGACTACCTTCCTCCATGCTAAACTACCAAAGCATCTCCCGGAGATCGAACACACGCCAGAGAGGTCATCGACTCTAACCCCTCGACCACGGAGGCGGTGCTTTGCGCGTTAAACACGCGTTTACGTTATAAAATTACTTCCATGTATTTCTATGGGTCTCCCTAATTACCGACAAGAACCGTCAGGAACCGACAAGAACCGACAAGAGCCTATATATTACAAATAAACAAATACAAATGTGTTTTTATGATTGTTAAACATGCAGGGCATATATATTTTTTATATTTGATAAGGTTTTTCTTGTATTTTTATAGAAAATTAAATATATGCGTACCGACAAGAAAAATTCGAGTGCAACGCGTACTGTTACTGTTACGTTGACACCGACAAGAAAGATTTGTAATTTCCAATATAATATAATCAGTTGCAAAAGTTGTGCTCAGAATATCTTATTTATAAACATGTTTCAACCTTATCTGTAGTCTAAATAGTTTTTCATGACATTGAATGAATGTATATGCAACCGACAAGAAAAAAACAGGGATCATGCGTAATGAAGATTTACCGACAAGAAATTGAGAACGAGCTGTAGTGTAGATGTAGAACATGTATATAATCTTTTTTTTTGTAATTAAATAACTTTTAAGACTTTAAACTTTCATATTTTAATGCATATAAGAAAAAATATTTGTGTTTATTCCATTTAGTTTTAAAATATATTTTAACAAATCGATTACCGACAAGAAAAAAACAGGGATCATGCGTAATGAAGATTTACCGACAAGAAATTGAGAACGAGCTGTAGTGTAGATGTAGAACATGTATATAATCTTTTTTTTGTAATTAAATAACTTTTAAGACTTTAAACTTTCATATTTTAATGCATATAAGAAAAAATATTTGTGTTTATTCCATTTAGTTTTAAAATATATTTTAACAAATCGATTACCGACAAGAAAAAAACAGGGATCATGCGTAATGAAGATTTACCGACAAGAAATTGAGAACGAGCTGTAGTGTAGAAAGAACATGTATATAATCTTTCTTTTGTACTTTTTTTCAGTTTTTGAAGAAATTGATGATGACTTAATTCTCACCACTGAGAAGAAAAGACGGACATCATGACGTACAAAGATGTGATGTTATGCATTATACGCTTGTATTTGTTTAATGAAAAAAAAACATTGAAACCTATTTCGACCACAGGTCTCATCAGGTTGTGGTTCATTTCTCCACTAGAAGTAAAGAAATAAACAGAGATATCCCCACTATAGGTTTTAATATTTTATTATCATAAAACTTACGGGCAGTTACGCCACGCCAGAGGTTGCAGAAATTTTTAACTTTTTTTTTTAAATTTAAAATTATTTACATAAGTTACAGCACTGAAAATGTATTGTAGCTTAAATTGATAATGTTTGGTAAAGATAGGCCAATTATTGTGTATTATATATATGTATTCATATGCTTTTTAAGTAATTTCGTATCTCAAATTAAACATTCTCACATCACATAAACCATTATTTTATAGTCAAGTATATAATTTTTTATAATATAATTCATGTCATGTGTCATTTATGTATTATATGTTGTATTTGTATATTTAATATGGTGATAAGCTTTTTATGCTTAAACCAAGTAATAAAGTTTCTGTTCTGTTCTGTTCAGTGTACGAATTATCTCTTCTTTCACAGCTGTTCATTTCGAAATTGTTTTAAATCGCTCAAAGCTAACTGAGTGAGAAACCCACGCGCACAAGCTTAAATTGAGTAATATCAATCAATTTTGTTTGAGCAATTAATTTTGAAGTTTGTACTTGAAAAAACGAAAAAAAAAATTTGGCCCTGAATATGTTATATGTATATATGCTAATACAATAATTGAATTGAATTTATGTTTTCGTCCATTATTTTATTTCTATATCCTTATTGTATGCTTTACCGATGTATTTGTGTAAAAATTGAAAATGGATTATAATTGGATAATTTAAATGGCAGGTATGTAAAACTTTATATATGAAATATATTTTGAAATGAACACATTTCTTGTCGGTACAGAAATATGGCCTAAATGCAGGATATTTTGTAATCAATGACAACGAAATGTTTTAAAATTATTTATTGAATAGATAGGCTGACAATAAATTATTTGAACACATTTAAAAACCTACGCCATTGAAAGCAATAATGAAACTTTCTTGTCGGTATTCGCGAATATTCTCATATCATCATTCATTAATGATGATATTCTTAATTGAATTAGAAAACATTTAACATAATAACTATTATTTATAATACAACATAATCTTAATAAAAAATAATTAAGATTTAACACTTATACACAAATTCTTAATGTAATATCAATGATACGAAGATGGCCAAGTTCTTGACGGTGAGAAACTGAGACTGACTTCTTGTCGGTATAGATATTTGCCTATAAACATGGTTCACAACGAATTTATTATGTTTTTAATGTAAAAAATATTAGGAATTGTTATTTTTGAATGATGAATAAGTTAAATTAATTCGTATTTTCCTATTTTTACTTCTTGTCGGTTCTTGTCGGTAATTAGGGAGACCGTATTTCTATGTATGTTGAGCTTCATTTCTAACATTGAATAACAATAGGTTCGTGTTGGTTTGGCTTTCTCTTGATCGTAATAACAATTGTACGTAGAAACCACCTAAATTCACCGTGTAGTCCTATACCATGCAGGTACATGTATCTTACAACCATGTTTCCAAGGCCAGCGCCAATTCCCAAGGAACTGCATGAACCAAACAGCAACGGAATCAGACCACTGTGGGGCAGCACGAATTACCCAAATATACCCAAATACACTCAAATATACCCAAATATTGCCCAAATATACCCAAATATTGCCTAAATATACCCAAATATTGCCCAATTATACTAAAATAAATGTTTTATCCTAAAAAAGTGCTGTTTTTATCATGAATACAATATATATTTTCACTAAGATATAATCAACCATACCCAAATATACATTTCCCTATCATTGTGTTTTGAACCAAAATACAGTCTATATATACACCATTAAAGCTATTTTTTTAAATAACATGGACACTTGTATATGATATGCAATTTCAACAAAATTACACCTTAAAAATGTAAGTGTAGACAACAAATATCATATCTTGATTTAAAATTGCAAGTACATTCATAAAGAACCTATATAGTACTAAGATAAGCAAATGTCACAACTTTATTTTCTTACAACATCGTAACTGTGTCCATTTCAACGGAATGAATGAAAATTATAGCAGGCTAAGTCATATTATATTTAATAAATATTTATTTATTTCTCATTATAATCTATATTAAAATATACAAACAAAAATAAATATTGCTATATTTGGGTATATTTGGGTGCATTTGGGTATATTTGGGTAATTCGTGCCGCCGCCACTGTGTAGGTGACTGTGAAATAACAGTGCATTTAAGAAAATGCTTGGAGTATACATAATCTCAGGCGTGGGCTACTTAAGACGCTTCACCACCATGTGCGCTAGGTTACTTTGTAAATGGCAGGCATCAGTCAAATAAAATGGTGTTTGTGTACGTTGGTTCCACAAAAAGCAGACTGACGAAAATATGTGGTTAATACACTTTCCGATATTGCCGCGCAGGCACACTACAGTAGAATTCACACTAAAGGTTACACAAAGTGCACTTCAATGTAGCTGTGTCTTAATGAATTACGGACATTTCGGACCATGGACGTTTCGGTCCAGACACTTCGGACCAGATTTTTTTGTCATTTCGGACCAGATTTTGGGACATATCGGACCATGTGATGGTCATTTCGGACCATGATGGGGACACTTCGGACCAGAACATATATTCCTTTTCATATGTTATTATTTGTTATTTCAGGATGTATTTACAATATTTTCTAATAATAAATGCAACAAATATTTGACATTTTTATATTTTATGATATTCAAAATGCATGCAGTTATGACCTGTCCGACGAGATTTTCACAATTCCTGACAAGCTTATATTACCATTATTTTGACTATCCATGTAAAATATTTCTATCATAATTCATTTATGTATTTTTATACGCTGACCATGTTTTAATATTGAAAAAAAAAACAACAAAAAACAATAAATAGCCATGGAAGTTGATCACATCATAATAAATTGTCTGCAAACGTGTGTCATTAAAACATTGCTAGTTTGTTTTTTAAGTTTCTTCATTTATAGTGCAAAAATTATAAAATCTAAATCGGGATAGGTGTAAAATCTTCCCATGGTGCCTCATATATTCTAAAGTTACACTTTAGTTTATAGAATAATTGAAGCATAATATATATAAAATTATATTTATTCAGGTCCAAAATGTCCAAAACAATGGTCCGAAGTGTCTAACACATGATCCCAAATGTCCAACACATGGTCCGAAATGTCCAAAACAGTGGTCCGAAGTGTCTAGGCAGGATCCCAAATGTCCAACACATGGTCAGAATTGTCCAAAACAGTGATCCGAAGTGTCTAACGCATGATCCGAAATGTCCAACATATGGTCCGAAATGTCCAAAAATCTGGTCCGAAATGTCCCTCAATATGGTCCGAAGTGTCCCAAAATCTGGTCCGAAATGTCTGGTCCGAAATGCCCCCCGTACGAAAAAGTAAGACGGAATCCGCCTTATATAAGGCGGATTCCGTCTAAAATATTCAGAAAATCCACATTTTCCTGCTAGGTTAAGGCGGACATGGAATTTCTAGCAAAGTCCGCCTAAGTTTCTGAAATTTCCGCCTAAATTCTCAAACAGATTCCGCCTAGAGCTGAGCCAGAAAAGGATAAATGTAAAGTCTTAGGCGAAAAATTCAACTTAGTCTTATTTCTTAGGCGTAACTTCCGACTTAGTCATTCAAGGAAACCTTGTGTGTTATGCGGACAACTCAATTTAAGCGGAATTTCTGACTTCATCATATTTTGAATATTAGTACACACTGTCAAACAAAAATAACATAATTATGTATATTTACATATTCTAATGATTTAATCATTATTTTTACATAAGTATTTCCATTATTGTTTAATGGTAGGCCTGATCTTTTACAGTAACTGTTAGTATTAGCTTTTGAGTATTAAAATGTGTGTCAGTTGAATAACAGTATTTAATTCTTATCACTGAAACTTGTCTTATTTGACACCATTTTGTGTCGATTGTGACCACCCTCCCCAAACCAAAAGGAAAGCTTGCGGTAAGCTTGATGCAAGCTTACATTGGCTATTTATGCTTGCTGTAAGCTTGCCAGTTAAATTTCATACAGAATTCTTTAACTTGCGCACTAAGCTTACAAGAACAATTTTTGTCACATTAGCTTGCGCAAGCTTCTTTGAAAATTTGGACTTAGAAAATTCTGTGATTAAAGCAGTCTGGGAAATAAAAAGTAGTGAAAATTTTCTAAGCACAAAAACTTTAAAATGTTTATAAAAATCATTTCACTCAAACTAATTAGCATTTATATAATATAATGGGATTCAAATGATAACATTTCTTTCAATTAGTTTTTATCTGCCTGTCTAATACATTCTATGTTTTTAAGATTCATATAACTTTATCAAATTTTTTAATTACTGTTATTAAAATCTTGTTACTTTCTCAAAATTATTAATTGATGCCATGTCAAAAATTAGATAACACCACAATGTGGCATCTGCATGATGTGACAGTAAAAAAAAGAAAATCACCCAAAATCAAAAAAAAAGAGGAAATCATACAAATTTTTAATAAAAGTTTTCAACACAATTAAACTAAGATAAAGTCAGTATTTTAAATTAATTATTATGAAAGTTAACAAAATTCACATTTCTTAACAACTGTGAACAATTACAATCAAATATAATGTCAACATTATATATTGTCTAATGACTAATTTTTTTTTCTTTCAATCACTTGTTAATTTGTTTTATTTATGTCTAATTTTTAATTCATTTGCACATTCAGTATATCCCTTCTTTTAATTAAATATTAACTATCTTGTGCAGAAGTTATTGATAGTATATAAGATGGTCTCCCATGAGTATTAATTGTAGACTGTAACAGTAACATACTGTACATGCCATAAACATTTGTAACTGGTCAGAGTGAGTGGTTGGTCAAGTGCAACTAATTACTTTCTCCCTGCTGTTTACATAATAGACCAGTGTCAAACTCACCTATCTAATATAAAGGAAAGTGTGAGATAAGTGGGGTTTACAACATGTAATCTAATATCCTGAACCAATCTGGTATCAGGATCTGATCTCAGAAAATTCAAATATTACTCAGGAAGTTCATTTGGACCTCAGTGCTTATAACATTAGGAGTAGAGTTAAACATGTGACTTAAGTGCCATTTAGATGAAACAACTTAATAAATGTGAACTTTAATAAAATTATAATGGGACATTAAATGAGTTCTTCATTCAGATGGAAATGGAAATTTACTAATGTTCAATGGAATAATGGTAAGTTATTTACACTATTTTCATACAACAGTCTTTTCAAATTTACCTTGTAAATGATTTACACTTTTTAATTTTAGTTTTTCTTCATAAATTTTACATATGTGCTGGTGTAAATCTTTTTCACTTAGTGTTATTGAGTGGGAATTTTCAAATCTGCCCTTTTTACCAGTAAATTTCATTCCTGGTCATGATTTTTCATTAATAAACATTTACATTCTTGGGATATTTCAGTAAATTATGGGTTTATATTAACTGAGTACTTGAAACTTTTTTAACTATCAGAAAAGCATTTTGAATTTACTCAATTTATAATAAATATATGTATTCAGTAGTGATTTTTTTTTAATTTACAGGAAAACTTACAATGCCCACAGGTACCATAGAAAGTTTCAAATTATAATGATGACGAAGAAGAAGAAAATTGAGTTGATAACAGAAATAATTGATGGTTAGTTTTGTTACTCAATAAGGTTAGATAACTGATAAAAATAATGAAATAAATAATAATCATTCATTTGAACAATTTTCAATCTTAGTATATACAACTTTCAATGTAGTATATCCCGTACGAAAACTTCCGCCCTGACTGTAGGTGGAATCCGCCTATGTAGTAAAGCGGATTCCGCCTTAAACTGAATAGAGTTGAATATTGGTTCTTAGGCGGACCTTAAGCGGAATATGGTGCGAAATATTTAAATGAGCTAAGGTGGAATCCGCCTATCTAGACGGAATCCGCCTTAGCTCATTTAAATATTCCGCTTAAAGTCTGGCAATGTCAGCGGAATCCGCTTAAGGTAGGCGGAATCCGCCTACCTTAGGCGGATTCCGCCTACCTTAGGCGGATTCTGCCTACCTTAGGCGGATTCCGCCTACCTTAAGCGGATTCCGCAGGAAAAATCCTAGGCGGAAAAATTTCCGCCTTGTAACAAATAAAAAATTTTAATTGTCATGTAATAAGGTATAATATTTTAATAAACTAATATTTAATAGAATTAATTTATTCATTTCAACTAATATTTCTAGATTTACATTAGAGATCTTAACAAACATTATTCTATTGCACAAATACAAAAAATGATAAATGTCTACCAAGCTGAGAAAATATAAAACAAAATATTTATTTAAGATAACTGTTTTTTTTTTTTTTTCCAAATAAGTATCCATGTTGTAATATGATAAATCATGTCCTTTACAGATGCAGTCTTTCAGAATGGCTCCACTGTGGCACACAACTATCCATATCATTTAAAGCCTGTTGTACACACTGAAAAATATTTGTATAATAATTAATTATTTATGTTTTGTATGCATATGATTGGTATTATTATCATGTAATTAAAAAGATCAATATTTGAAAGCACAGGCATAATAAAATATTATTTCTTAGGCAATAGTAAAATTTTATTTTTTGGCAATCTTGCCAGTTTAATAATTATTTATAAATTTAAAATTGTTCTTCAAGCTGCAATAGTTTTCAATTTTGTTAAATATTGCTATAAATAATGTCAACAACATGTAGATCTATATCTAGCAATGCAATTGTTTATAATTGTTATAAACAATACATTTGAAAATTATTTGCATTCCTACTGGTTAAATGACTGCTACATCAGAATTGATCATGAATCTTTATTAGAACTTTTGCTTTAATTGACAACAATTTTAACTAGTGAAAGTAATACATGCATTTAAGTATTTTACAAACCTTTAAGATAAATAATATTGTAATTTAAGTAAATCTTTAATATACAAAAATTAAATCTATACAATCATTTTGTTTAAATGGAAATAATATACTACATTGAAAGTTGTATATACTAAGATTGAAAATTGTTCAAATCAATGATTATTATTTATTTCATTATTTTTATCAGTTATCTAACCTTATTGAGTAACAAAACTAACCATCAATTATTTCTGTTATCAACTCAATTTTCTTCTTCTTCGTCATCATTATAATTTGAAACTTTCTATGGTACCTGTGGGCATTGTAAGTTTTCCTGTAAATTAAAAAAAAATCACTACTGAATACATATATTTATTGTAAATTGAGTAAATTCAAAATGCTTTTCTGATAGTTAAAAAAGTTTCAAGTACTCAGTTAATATAAACCCATAATTTACTGAAATATCCCAAGAATGTAAATGTTTATTAATGAAAAATCATGACCAGGAATGAAATTTACTGGTAAAAAGGGCAGATTTGAAAATTCCCACTCAACAACACTAAGTTAAAAAGATTTACACCAGCACATATGTAAAATTTATGAAGAAAAACTAAAATTAAAAAGTGTAAATCATTTACAAGGTAAATTTGAAAAGACTGTTGTATGAAAATAGTGTAAATAACTTACCATTATTCCATTGAACATTAGTAAATTTCCATTTCCATCTGAATGAAGAACTCATTTAATGTCCCATTATAATTTTATTAAAGTTCACATTAAATTTTATTAAGTTGTTTCATCTAAATGGCACTTAAGTCACATGTTTAACTCTACTCCTAATGTTATAAGCACTGAGGTCCAAATGAACTTCCTGAGTAATATTTGAATTTTCTGAGATCAGATCCTGATACCAGATTGGTTCAGGATATTAGATTACATGTTGTAAACCCCACTTATCTCACACTTTCCTTTATATTAGATAGGTGAGTTTGACATTGGTCATTATGTAAACAGCAGGGAGAAAGTAATTAGTTGCACTTGACCAACCACTCACTCTGACCAGTTACAAATGTTTATGGCATGTACAGTATGTTACTGTTACAGTCTACAATTAATACTCATGGGAGACCATCTTATATACTATCAATAACTTCTGCACAAGATAGTTAATATTTAATTATAAGAAGGGATATACTGAATGTGCAAATGAATTAAAAATTAGACCTAAATAAAACAAATTAACAAGTGATTGAAAGAAAAAAAAAATAGTCATTAGACAATATATAATGTTGACATTATATTTGATTGTAATTGTTCACAGTTGTTAAGAAATGTGAATTTTGTTAACTTTCATAATAATTAATTTAAAGTACTGACTTTATCTTAGTTTAATTGTGTTGAAAACTTTTATTAAAAATTTGTATGATTTCCTCTTTCATTTTGATTTTGGGTTTCTTTTTTTTACTGTCACATCATGCAGATGCCACATTGTGGTGTTATCTAATTTTTGACATGGCATCAATTAATAATTTTGAGAAAGTAACAAGATTTTAATAACAGTAATTAAAAAATTTGATAAAGTTATATGAATCTTAAAAACATAGAATGTATTAGACAGGCAGATAAAAACTAATTGAAAGAAATGTTATCATTTGAATCCCATTATATAATATAAATGCTAATTAGTTTGAGTGAAATGATTTTTATAAACATTTTAAAGTTTTTGTGCTTAGAAAATTTTCACTACTTTTTATTTCCCAGACTGCTTTAATCACAGAATTTTCTAAGTCCAAATTTTCAAAGAAGCTTGCGCAAGCTAATGTGACAAAAATTGTTCTTGTAAGCTTAGTGCGCAAGTTAAAGAATTCTGTATGAAATTTAACTGGCAAGCTTACAGCAAGCATAAATAGCCAATGTAAGCTTGCATCAAGCTTACCGCAAGCTTTCCTTTTGGTTTGGGGAGGGTGGTCACAATCGACACAAAATGGTGTCAAATAAGACAAGTTTCAGTGATAAGAATTAAATACTGTTATTCAACTGACACACATTTTAATACTCAAAAGCTAATACTAACAGTTACTGTAAAAGATCAGGACTACCATTAAACAATAATGGAAATACTTATGTAAAAATAATGATTAAATCATTAGAATATGTAAATATACATAATTATGTTATTTTTGTTTGACAGTGTGTACTAATATTCAAAATATGATGAAGTCCGAAATTCCGCTTAAATTGAGTTGTCCGCATAACACACAAGGTTTCCTTGAATGACTAAGTCGGAAGTTACGCCTAAGAAATAAGACTAAGTTGAATTTTTCGCCTAAGACTTTACATTTATCCTTTTCTGGCTCAGCTCTAGGCGGAATCTGTTTGAGAATTTAGGCGGAAATTTCAGAAACTTAGGCGGACTTTGCTAGAAATTCCATGTCCGCCTTAACCTAGCAGGAAAATGTGGATTTTCTGAATATTTTAGACGGAATCCGCCTTATATAAGGCGGATTCCGTCTTACTTTTTCGTACGGGATTATTTCCATTTAAACAAAATGATATAGATTTAATTTTTGTATATTAAAGATTTACTTAAATTACAATATTATTTATCTTAAAGGTTTGTAAAATACTTAAATGCATGTAATACTTTCACTAGTTAAAATTGTTGTCAATTAAAGCAAAAGTTCTAATAAAGATTCATGATCAATTCTGATGTAGCAGTCATTTAACCAGTAGGAATGCAAATAATTTTCAAATGTATTGTTTATAACAATTATAAACAATTGCATTGCTAGATATAGATCTACATGTTGTTGACATTATTCATAGCAATATTTAACAAAATTGAAAACTATTGCAGCTTGAAGAACAATTTTAAATTTATAAATAATAATTAAACTGGCAAGATTGCCAAAAAATAAAATTTTACTATTGCCTAAGAAATAATATTTTACTATGCCTGTGCTTTCAAATATTGATCTTTTTAATTACATGATAATAATACCAATCATATGCATACAAAACATAAATAATTAATTATTATACAAATATTTTTCAGTGTGTACAACAGGCTTTAAATGATATGGATAGTTGTGTGCCACAGTGAAGCCATTCTGAAAGACTGCATCTGTAAAGGACATGATTTATCATATTACAACATGGATACTTATTTGGAAAAAAAACAAACAGTTATCTTAAATAAATATTTTGTTTTATATTTTCTCAGCTTGGTAGACATTTATTATTTTTTGTATTTGTGCAATAGAATAATGTTTGTTAAGATCTCTAATGTAAATCTAGAAATATTAGTTGAAATGAATAAATTAATTCTATTAAATATTAGTTTATTAAAATATTATACCTTATTACATGACAATTAAAATTTTTTATTTGTTACAAGGCGGAAATTTTTCCGCCTAGGATTTTTCCTGCGGAATCCGCTTAAGGTAGGCGGAATCCGCCTAAGGTAGGCAGAATCCGCCTAAGGTAGGCGGAATCCGCCTAAGGTAGGCGGATTCCGCCTACCTTAAGCGGATTCCGCTGACATTGCCAGACTTTAAGCGGAATATTTAAATGAGCTAAGGCGGATTCCGTCTAGATAGGCGGATTCCACCTTAGCTCATTTAAATATTTCGCACCATATTCCGCTTAAGGTCCGCCTAAGAACCAATATTCAACTCTATTCAGTTTAAGGCGGAATCCGCTTTACTACATAGGCGGATTCCACCTACAGTCAGGGCGGAAGTTTTCGTACGGGCCATGGTCCGAAATGTCCTATTTCCGTCTTAATAAGACTAACACTATGTACCTGATATTAACAAGCTATTGTATGAGCCAATCTGCAAAGAATGGGACCAATGTGTATAATGTCCCAATGTGTATAACGGTTTGCGGATTGGTTTACATGTGTAATGAAAGCTGGGAGGCCGTTCTATTCTACAATATAACAGCTTTTAGACCAAGAAAATAATAATAAAGTCATCTTCTGTCACTGTTTATGAAATTTTTTTTTATAGAAAGATGTGTTAAATGGTATATTAAGAAGCAGTATATGAACAATTGTCAAAATAAATGTATAAATCTTCATTTATTTACATAAGATATAGTTACATGTACATATATAAACACAATAGTTTCAAGAACTCCAAAAAGTATAATATATAATCAATATAAGTCCAAGAATAACGAAAGAGATGAACGTGTTTTTTCCATTTTCTTTCCGAAGTTGACTTATTGTAGTTTCTGAAAATAAAAACATCATTGAAGTAATTAGTTATAGAATGACACATATTTAATAACTGCAGAATTTCATGCAAATTTTAAACCCTTATATGATAGATAATCCACGTTTAACGTAACAGGCTGAATTTACATTTTGAAATAGCCCTGCTTTGAATATGAAACAGTTCATTTGAAGTTTTAGGGGATTCCATGAACTTTTGTTTGGTTTTACCTACACCAGCACAGTATAGGTCCGTCATATGGTGACTTTCCAGCTTGAATGGTGCCCTTCTGCTCACTATTTCAGGCATGAAGGGCACCTGGGTGAAACCACCTGAGAAAACCACCCACATTATGTGAGCTTGCTGGATAGCTTCCTTACATGAAAGTTTCCAAAGTCCCTCAACAAGTTGAATCAAGTTTTGCTGTTATAGGTTCTAGTGACTGGAACCTTTGACATTTTGACCTTAAAAAGGGTGTGGCAGGTAGAACTCATACTAGTTTATGCATTTACAGACAATGCTTAGTTCTTAGGTCAATTAACTTAATATAACAAAAGACATAAGACACTGTAGTCATTATTGCTGCTATGCAGTCAATGTTTTAAGCAGTACTGTTACACAAAATGTTTACCATGCTTCTTTTTCTCCTTTTGAAGTTCTTTTTCTTCCTTCTCTAATGCTTTTCTATGTAATAATAAAAACAAAATACAAGTACAAGTGAATATCTAAATCTACATATTATATATGTTGATGATTCATGTTCTTTAAATTATTATATCATTAAATGTTTAACAATGAAAATAGACTGAAAATAAGAACAGTCAGACAGAATGCCCTTGACATTTCACAGTGCTTGATAGTAAAACAAGAACAGATGGGTGATCAGTTCAGTGATACAATAGGAACCTTGGGTAATTTTCTTATGTAAACATGTATTACTTTTCCTTTATATCGTGGAACAACTTAGTGAACTTATACAAAAGCTAGGATTTTAAAGGAAAATTAATAAAGATAAAATCCATGGGTCTTGTGTTACAATTTTTAACACAAAATGTCTCAAGTAAATCTATTCAGAGGCAAATATGTAGATTCATATATATTTTAACAAGGTGTTGTTAGACAGGCCAACTATTTATGCCATTTATGGTAATAATTCATAAGAGTCATTTATCACCAAAATACTTTACTATTTTATGTTCCGAAGAAAATGTAAAACAGGATAGCATTTATAATTAAGTATACTTACAGTAATTAGTATACATGTACTTACAGTTGTATATCTGTCAAATCTGATATTCTAATTTTTCTTTCAATCTTGTCTAATCTTGACTCACATGACAAAAGTTCTTGCTCAGCTATTTCAATCTGAAATGTATCATGAGAAAATAATACATAATGCACACAAAGAAAAAAATTCTAAGTTTAAGAAACTAACTGATTAAAACCTAAGGGAAATGAAGACGTTTTTTGGGGTTACATTTGTTATGGTTAGTTATTGTTGAACGAGATAAAACTGTCTCTGGTAAGTAAAGGTCCCTGACAAAGAATAGGCATCTTATGATTATATACATATTTAATACTAGGATAATGCTGTCACTAACAATTTCTATTTTAAAGACCCTGCTAATATTGAACAGTTAAAATCATATAAGAACAATATTTGGTATAAGATAGTTCTTGACAATTGTAGGAAATAAAGTTTAAAAATGTTATTAAGAGTTATAACCTGTGACACAATTGTGGGCATTGTCTATTACAAAAAAAACCCCAAAAAACTGTAAACTTTTTTTCCACGTCTTTAAGCGATTTTTACAGATGGCAGAAAAAACGATGACGATGCGTTTGATTTTTATGAAAGATATTTGTATATTGATTTCTGCTGGTTTTAAATCATATCATCTGATACTCACGACCAATTAATTATTCAATTTCTTAACATTTCCAAAATCACATTGCATTTCAGCTATTTAGACTAGATAAACATGCGCGTAAATACCCTTTGAAGATTGATAGTTTCCTTTTATATGAATTTGTTCTTCTTCATAAATAAAACTATAATAGCTAATCAAACACACATATAAAGCAGGAAGTAGGAAAATTAGTAATTTACTTTTTTTTCCATCATTTTAGATGCATTAAAGTTTTCATTTTAAAAGAAATAGACGTAATCTCCCTTCTTCTTAATCGTTTTCTATACAGGTAACTTTTTTTATAATTGAATTTCAATTTCTGTATTTATTTTTCTGTTTAAAAAAGAATGAAATTCTAGATCTACCTTAAAAAAAAGAAGATTAAATATCATTGTATAATTGGCAATCTCCTGGATTAGACCCCATTGTGTAATTCAGAGGTAAAACTTGTATGTCTAATATAAAGAAAAGGGAATGAACCTTTTTATATAATTTTGGTTTAGACCCCAGGGTCTGCAAGACATCAAGTTAACAGGAGGTGACAACAACAACATTCAAGCATTTCTAATTTTCTTTCAAAATAACGCTTTGCAGGACCAAGTTCCTCCCGAGATAGTCACAACAGATCAACCAATCATCTCTGGTATTTGAAATGACTTAACTTTGACCTGCCATGTGCCTTATCCGCAGCAGGGATTTTGGAGAACGGCTAACTTAAGCGAGCAAGACTGCTTTCCATATTAATGTGTACTGAGTGCAAGTCTTCTCGGCGGCGCCAGGTCAACCCTTCCCCAAATTAGTCAGTCCAGCTCCAAGTCAGTCTGTCTCTGGTCAACCCAGTTGTCGTTTTTTAAGCATTATATTTTTCACTTTTCTTCATAAACTTTTCCTTTTCAAGAAAAATTATAAATAATGATCAAGATAAAAAATAGAATGAAGTCGTAAAAAGAAAACACCAGATAATGTCTTCAGAAAGTTTAATAATCATCACCTTTATCATTTATGGACATGTGTACTTAAATATATCTGTAGTAAAGATACAACATGAAGTAATTGTAATATATACGGTGGCATAAAAGTGACATTTGCAAATTTTTTATTTTTTTTGTTTTCGAAACTTTTTTTTATTTGTTTTTCGCAAATTTTTTATTATTTTTTTTGTTTTTCGCACATTTTTTAATTTTTTTTTGTTTTTGAATCTTTTTTTTTTTTTGTTTTTTTTTGCACATTTTTTTTTTTTTTTTTTTTGTTTTTGTAAATTTTTTTTTTTTTTTTTTTTTCGCACATTTTTTATTTTTTTGTTTTTTTGAAACTTTTTTTTTTTAGTTTTGGTGTACATATTTTATTTTAGTTTTTCGTACATATTTTTAAGCCTATCAAAACAGTTACACCTTATAGAAAAAGTTATCTCCCATAGTATAAATTACGCCATTTCCTTGTTCAAAAATGGATAACACACAAAGTTACTTCCCTTAGTATGAAATAAGCCGTTAATATACCTCGGTATACACGATGGGGTCTCAAATGGAGGAATTTCTACGAAAGCGAGGGGTAGACTCTTCAACACTGGCACGAATAGCCACGGATAAGGTAACTTGGATTTTTTTTTTTTTTTTGGTTTTACGTCACACCGACACAGTATAGGTCATTCGGCGACGTTCCAGCGAAGACCTCAGGTGCCCTTCCGAGCATTATTTCAGGCACAAACGGGCAAGGTAACTTGTTCCGAGGCATATATTATTATAGATAATTTTAATTATATATAGTAATTTTGGTAAATCTAAACCGTTGAGCCACACATAGTGATTAAAGGCAGCTACTCAGTTTGTGACTTAAAAGTGCATAAATCGAATTTTGTAAACAATCTTATTATTTAAATTTTGTATAGATAGTACTGATATATAAAAGCATATATATACCGGTACGGCTGTCCACGGTTGTGCCTGAAATAATGCATGGAAGGGCACCTGAGGTCTTCGCTGGAACGTCGCCGAATGACCTATACTGTGTCGGTGTGACGTAAAACCAAAAAAAAAAAAATCCAAGTTACCTTATCCGTGGCCATTCGTGCCAGTGTTGAAAAGTCTACCCCTCGCTTTCGTAGAAATTCCTCGATTTGAGACCCCATCGTGTATACCGAGGTACATAAACGGCTTATTTCATACTAAGGGAAATAACTATGTGTGTCATCCATTTTTGAACAAGGAAATGGCGTAATTTATACTATGGGAAGATAAACTATTTCTATAAGGTGTATCTGTTTTGATTGGCTAAAAAATATGTACGAAAAACTAAAATAAAATATGTTACACAAAAACTAAAAAAAAAGTTTCAAAAAAAAAAAAATAAAAGATGTGCGAAAACAAAAAAAAAGTTCCAAAAACAAAAAAAATAAAAAATTTTCAAAAAAACAAAAAAAAAAAAAAGATTTCAAAAAAAAAAAAAAAAAAAAAAAAATGTGCGAAAAACAAATAAAAAAAAGTTTCAAAAACAAATAAAAAAACATTTGCAAATGTCACTTTTATGCCACCGTAAATATATGAAGTTCTTTCCTTATAAATATACAAATTATAAGTACATTGACTCTTACTCAATTCATCGTAATTATTGTGTATAATATAATAGAATAATTTAATATAGTTGCATCATCTTAACAATAAATAAGATTGAAAACAAAGGCATAGCTGTTTAAATTTTTTTTTCCATTATAGTTTTATATATATAGTTTACAAAATACACATACATGTAGTTGATTTCTTTCCACAAATGAATATCAAATACATGTATTGAAAACTACACATTTATAATTTACCTAAACATAACAACATTCCATGCCCACTTCATTAGAATATAAACTCCTCCCATCATGATTGACTCAGAAAAAATGATATGCCAAGGTGCAGTATGTAATTCTTGACAAAATGGTAAGTGTACTCTACAAAGTATGGTCATAATTTCTGCAAAACTTTTTTTGCAGTAACACAGGTCAAACTAATGCATTGATGTGCATTTCTTCATGAGTGAAATTACAAAGTGACGAAGAAGAACCAAACGAGTCTACTCGACTAATGGCTGGACAAGTAACACATGCCAAATTAGAGGAAAATGGAGATCTTTCTGTAAGCTTACTTGTTAAACATGAAATTTGTGGTATATCATTTAATTTAATTCATTTTGTTTTATATATTTATACTGAACTTTATAATAGGCCATCAATTTAATATTATTAGTTTTCATGTTCATGATGAAAAGGATTGAAAAGATTAATGTCAAGTTAATATCAAATAATTATATGATAAATATAATAAAAATGCACTGTACTTTGGAAAGTAGTTATGAAAGAGTACAAGCAGCATTCCAAGTGTAATTAGTTTTAAGCTTTCATTTTCAAAAAAAATTTCAGCTACTGTTTATTTGAACCAATTTTGAGTCTACTGATATTAATTATCATGAATGTCTTATGAAGAGAAAGGTTGTGACCCTAGTAGTGCTTAGACATAATTATGTTGAGAAGCAAACACTTTAACTACCAGCCTTCACATTCCTTTACATGGCCTACAAGAGAAATACAGGACGGTTTTATGCTTAAATGGATTTGGATTTTTATATAAATTTGTATCATGGCAAGAAAATGATGATTGGCAAGAATTGTTGATCTTGGTTTGAAATATATTTTGTTTTTGTTTGTACAGGTAGAAAACACTTCCCGATCAATCGTCATGCCCAGGAGAGAGCGTCACTGTGAACGTCAGCAGAGGAGCGAGTCAGAGGCGGCTGTTGAGGAAGAAGAGGAAACGTTACAATATGGGGCAAAACATGTTGATCATGTTGTTTGTACCTGTAACATTGTGTATGATAGTTGTTTGTGGCAACCATCAGCTCTGTCTCATTTTTATACACAGAAAAATGGGGCATATCTGTAAGTGTATAAGATAAACAAATTGTGAAGAAAAATCTCTAGTTAAATAAAATGTTTAAAATAAACGCCTTTTAAGCCTTAAAAATAAATAAAGTAATATAAAATGCTTAACTCCTGAAATGATAAACTAGTGTATTATTTAAAAAATGTATAGTACCCCATGATCTATATTGACGGAGATATCTCGGGTCAAAAAGATCTCGTACATGTTTTATACTGAAATAAAGAAAAATAAGTGTCCTTATTAACTGAACTGTTAATGTGATCTAAAAAAAACCCAAAAAAACTTGCCACAAAAATATACAAAAGAAAACTTAAAAAAAACTTAACCACAAACAATATTTTATAAAGATGTATTTATAAGGCAAGAGTAGTTTTTCTTTGCCCGTCCATGTTTGGAATAAAGCATACATGGGCATCTTTGGTCTCAATCAACCAGTTTAAAAATGGAACCTGGAACCAGTTTTCAAAGATAGAGCCAGTTAAAGCTAGTAGCCTAGTATAATCACAATAATTATGACTCTTGTCTTTGGTAATGTTCATTTTGACTTAAAAATACAAAACCAAAAAATTATATTTTGATGAAATAAATTCTTGATTGATGTTAAAGAATTCAAGAAAACAGTACTTCCCCTAGTGGCTGAGGGGTGTGCCTCTAAGGGTTGAGGCATCAGAATTGCAGCCATCGTTTTATCCCTGTGTGATTGTAAGAGGTACTATATGGATTTGAATAACTGGAGTCTGTGGCATCTCCTAATTCCAGCAGATGAGATGGTTTTTGACCTCTGATGTTGCTTTAAGTTTGTAACACCCAGGGTTAGCCAAAATCATCATTCGTGTTTTAGCACCACATCACCTAAATTGTGTCTGTGTGCTGTAAAACCAACCAAAACAAACTTTAGTTCATTTCTCCAAAAGTATCAAAGATATTCACCGCCTCCGTGGTCGAGGGGTTAGAGTCGATGACATCTAATCCAGTTACCTCTCTGGCATGGGTTCGATCCCCGGGAGATGCTTTGGTAGTTT